ACGCGCGTCGGCTGCTGCGCCGCCGCCGCCGCCGTCGCGGCCGGAGGCGCGGTGGGCAGGCTCGGGCCCGGCCTGGACGGCGAGATGGACCCGGATGGCTTCTATCCAAACTTCTCGTCCGTGTCCAACACGATGGGCCGGAGCAGCCCGCCTCGTTCCTCCAACTCGGACGACGACGGCGACGACGACGACGACGACGCGAGCTTCAAGAGCACCTCTTGGGAGGCGGAGGCGGCGGCGGGCGCTGCGCACATGTGAAGAAGGGGGTTGGTTCGTTCTTGATGGCAGGTGGAGCTTCCAGGCTTGATATTCAAGTTTGCCCGGCTAGGGACTTTACATCAAATAGTATGGATACATGGCAACTGAGGGCTAGAGAGGAAGAAGCGAGAGTAGAGCAACAACGTCATAGGGTCACGAAGGGGGATTGCTCAAACAATAACGTAGTTTATATATGCGCTTGTTTTTTTTGACATGCCGCTGTCTACCAGACACGGCAATACAACAAAAGAATGAGACCTGAATCCAACTCAATCCTACATCTACTAGTCGTCATATCCCGCCTTCATGTTGCCGATCATGCCGCTGGTGGCTCTTCTCCTCTTGCCCATGATCTCCTTGATCCACTCGGTCATGGTGAAGCCCCAGTGGCCGGCGACCATGGCGCCGCTCAGGATGTTGACGACCTTTACGAGGAACAGCAGGAAGGTGTCGCGCGACTCCTCGATGTTGAGCAGCACTGGCTCGATGTCGTACTTGAAGAAGATGCCGGGGATGGCGCGCTCCGAGATCTCGGCGTTCTGCTCCGTGACGGCGTACTGGTTGGTGAAGATGGTGGAGCCGAAGCCGCCGGCCGACGACTTGACGCTGTAGACGGTCGGAACCACCGAGAGAAAGTACTGGAACTTGTGGAAGTGCGTGTTTGCGCCGTTGATGGTTCGGTCGAGCGGGTTGACGAGCGAGGGGTAGAACTCGCCAAAGGAGAACTCGTTGATAATATGGGTGAAGTTGAAGGCTGCGCGATTTGGTCAGCATCTATCTATCCGCTCGGGCTACCAGGTCGGGGGGACACATGGGGGTACTCACCATCGTGGTCCAGATGCTCGCCAAACTCCATGTATCCGTGGCCCCTGGCCGTGATGTGGAAGTCGCCCTGGACCTTGTTGAGGTCCAGGCTCCCAAAGAGGCGGCAGCTGTCGGCGGTGGAGCCCCAGAGGCGCGGGGTCTTGCCCCAGCGGGCGCGCTTCTTGCCGAGGGCGACGATGTCGTGGACGTGCTCCTCGCCGAAGCCCTCGTCGTGGCCGTCGTGCTCGAAGCCCTCGTTTGTGATGAGGCGGTTGTGCTTGTCGCGCCCGAGCTTGTGGACGCCGTTGCCGTCGACCCACTGGGCCCAGGCCGTGGGGTCCATCTTGAGGCGCGAGGCGGCCAGGATGCGGTCGCCGGCGGCGTCCTGGACGTTGACGTGCAGGTCGTCGCACTTCATGTGCACCACCACGTCGAGGTTGATCTGCATCGAGTGGCCCACGCCCTTCTCGACCGCGAACGTGTGCGTCTCGACGCCGCGCCACCACCGCGCCAGCTCCGACCACGTCAGGACCGCCGATATCACCAGCATGGCCACCGTCCACTTGCCGCCGCCCGCCGTCCGCGTCACATATTGGGGTTTTGACTTGGCTGTTTGTCGCGAGGGGGGGCTGTTAGTGTCTGCCGCCGGGCCCGCGGGGGCTTTGTCGTATCTGGGTACGTACGGAATGCGTCGAATGCGCTGACGACGCCGCCCGAGGGCGCAAACGGGTCCTCGTCGTTGTTTTTCTCGTATCCGTTCATCATCTTGCCGGCTCAGGGGAGCGTGATGCTCCGTGTAAAAAAAAAAAGAGAAAAAGGAGAACAAAAGCTCAGCACCCGCTATGTCACCTCGAGCTCTTATGCGGCATCTGCTAGAGAACGCCGCGTCTTGCCCCCGGACTGAGCTTTTTCGTGTTCGTTTCGGGGTTCGAGTTATCGTCGAGCAGTGGCAGAAAAGGGGCTCGTCCGAGGAGAAAAAGGAGTGGGAGGCCCGCTACCACATTGCCGTCGCCCAATGTTCCCGGGGTATCCAATCTCGAGGTCGGCGTCGTCGGCGTCGTCCACAGAAGCCTGGTGCAGGGTTGGCCAAAGCTGGAATTGGGATCTCGAGAATGCTCAACTACCGGCTCGGCTCCGCACTCGCGCGCAATCTGATGAAAGTCCCTGAGGACAGTTTGTCACCAGCAAACCGTCCGCCCCAGACCCCTGAACCAGAACTTTCGTCTGATTGGCGCGCCGGGGCTGCACGTGTCAGGGACCCAACCGCCCGCGCGGAGTGCGTCAGACCCCACAGGGTGTGGATTTAGAAGCTGTCTGCGACCCTAACCCCCAGCATGTTCGGATGGATGGGGTGTGGGAGGTGGTGGCTGATGAGGCAAAGAACCTCGGATAAAACACTCTCAAAAAGAGTTTGCTGTTGTCTGGCTTGATGTATCCTTGGATGTAGATGTTCTCCCTATTGTATATGTCCGAGTCTACGAGAACCCTTCGAGAAGGGTCATCCGAAGCTCACAACGCATCCACGAATACCCAAACCCCAACATAACGTAACAGCTCAGCTTCCCCGCTTGATCGGACATGCTTGATTCTTCCCACTTCACAATATTGACAAACAAGTTGCAGAGCAATGGCCTACGAATCGCAGATATCCTTCACCCTTGACACTATATGTCCATGGTAAGACGGGTTCAACCCGGCCATCCCCATGCTCTCCAAGAAACCGCTAAAAGAGCAAAGGCCAACACTAACCCACGCCAAAAAAAAAGGACATACATCGCCAAGAAGCGCCTCGACCGGGCCCTCGCCGAGCACGCCCGGTCCGCCTCGGCCGCCAAGGTCCGCTTCACGGTGCGCTTCCTCCCCTACCAGCTGCACCCGGACCTCCCGCCGCACAACCAGGACCGGTGGGCGTGGCTGCGCGACTCCGAGTTCGCCGGCTCCGAGGAGCTCATCACGGCGGCCCAGGCGCGGCTAACGGCGGCGGCGGGGCGCCACAACGACGACGATGACGACGGCCTCGCGCTCGGCCTCGCGGGCGCTGTGGCCAACACGCTCGAGGCGCACCGCGTGCTGCATTGCGTGCAGGAGGAGCGTGGGCCGGCGGCCGCGGGCCTGCTCGTCGACGCGCTGTTCCGCCGCTACTTTGCCGACGGCGCCGGCCCGGCCGACCAAGGGGTGCTGGTGGCAGCCTGCGTCGAGGCCGGCATGTCTGAGACCGAGGCGAAGGCGCTCGTGGTGGAGGAGGACAGGGGCGGCGGCGGGCGGGGGCTGGCAGAGGTGCGGAGGGCGGTGGCGGAGCAGCGGATCAACGGGGTGGACTCAGTGCCCACAGTGCTGCTGGAGGGGCGCAAGAGGGACATCACGCTGGTCGGGGCGAGGGAGGTGGGTGAGTACTCCAAGGCGATACAGACCATTGTCAAGGAGAGCTCGTGATGGAGAAGGTGGATTAGTCGTATGTCGTCATATAGTAACAGTAATCCTTGCAATTACCCGTATCCGGCCTCGCCCAACGCCATACCGAGATAGTGTCCAAGGTATCAACCAATAGCATCAAAAGAAACACTCGGCTTAGACTAGAATAGAAAGTGTGATATCAATACCGCTCTACTATCCAATCCCACCGTGTTTCAGGATCCATGGCGCCAAGCAGCTGCAGTTCCGCCCTCTTTACCTCGCTGTACCGCCCAACCACCTGGCACGACAGCACCTCTGCCAAGCGTGCATCTGCCTCGAGCGCCTTGAGAGCTTCCTCCAGCGAGGATGGGAGCATCTGCGTCATCCCGAGCCGCCGCCTGGGCCCGTCGCTCAGAGCTGCCGGGTCTGCCGTGCAGTCGGCCCAGATGAGCGGCTCCTTGCCCCTGACGCCCGCGACGCCGCACCCGAGCACGGCTGCCATTGCCAGGTACGGGTTGGCCAGGCCGTCGAGGCACTTGAGCTCCCAGTGGCTGCCCTCGATCTTGCGCAGTGGCGTCTCGCGGTTCTGCGTGCCCCAGCCCACCCAGCGCCCGCCGGCCCAGCAGCCGTCGGCGGCGCGGTCGTAGCTCGCGGGGTTGCTGTAGGTGAAGGCCAGGATTGCGGGCAGGTGGCCGAGGATGCCGGCATAGAAGCTCTCGTAGATGTTCTTGTCCACCTCGTTCGGATTGGCCCCTGCGACGGCGGCTGTATGCACCGAGACGTGGACGTGCGACGCGGTCCCGCAGGCCTTGGCAAAGGGCTTCGGGTGCAGCGTCAGCCTGTAGTCGGCGGCTGCGGCCAGCGCCACGAGGGTCTCGCGCACGTGCAGCAGCGTGTCCACGGCCTCGAGCGGCGGCAAGGGCGGCAGGGGGATCTCGAACTGCCCGGGGGCGCTCTCTGCGTGCAACTGCTCCACCTCAACACCAATGGCCTCGAGTTGCGTCACCATGTCCCTCAGCAGCTGCGCCAGCTGCGGATTCCCAGAGAAGCGTGACGTCGACCACGCGTGACCGCCCGTTGCTGGCGGGACTATGAACGCCTTCCAGGAGGTGTCATTGGCTGCTTTGCACCGCTCCATCAGCACGAATTCAATTTCGAAGCCGAGCAGGAACGAGAGCCCCTGCTGGGCCGCAACCTGAACCACCCGCTTCAGTTCGGAGCGGGGGCAGAGGTCGACGGGTGAACCGTCCTGTTCTTCAAAGTCGCCGTATACGCTGACCTGGCCGCTTATAGGCCCGGACTTGAGCGACGAAAGGTCGGGGTGCAGCCTGTACTCCCCTGTGGCTGAAGCGCTCGCCACCAGCGTGTCGTTCTGTAGCAGGCCCAGGGCGGCCTTGGTGATGCCCAGGGAGGTGGACTTGCCACCCTCGAGAAGGGCCATGAACCTCTTGAAGGGGACCATCCGCATCCGGGGCGTGGCAGTGTAATCCAGCCAGCAGAGCCTCACGAAGGAGGGAACAGGCCTGGAGCGGATAAAATCCTGCACCATCTCGAGGTCGCTGCGCTTTTGGTCCGAGCTAGCACCCGCAGTATCCTGGCCCGCCTCCGATTGTGGAAGTGACAGACCAAGCTGGTAGAGCTCGTTCGAGTTTCTGAACAGGATATCCTTGGTCATTTCTGTGGCTGTATCCCAGCTCAGTTGGCCTTTGCACACCAAATCGCACAGAACCTAGACGGTTGTGTAGTTTGTGTTAGTGGCTCGTTTGCTGCACGGCTGTTGTGTCGGCCGCAGGATGCATCCATCGCCGGATAAACGTACCGATTCCAAAGCCTGTCTTCCCTGCAACATTGCGAGGAGATATGTCTCTGGGAGCCAGTGGCCATCTGTGCTCCAGAGAATTTTGGACCAGGGGCAAAGCTCTAGGATTTGCCGTAGGATGGCTTCCTGGCCGCCCTGACTAACTTGTGGAAAGACCTCCCCGATATCAGCGAAGACATTGCTGTAAACACTGGCAAGGTAGCCAGCCTCTCGCGTGTATGGATAGCTTGCGTGGAGGAGCACGATGGGCACCGAAGGGTAATTGCGACTTTTGAAGCGTTCAACAGTTTCGTATTAGCACGGGGGTAGGTCCAGATTTTATAGAATGAAAGTAACGCTTACATGAAGTCCTGGAGGTGTGCTGGGCTTGACGTGGTCAGCGTGATATCGTTATCCCCTAATCCGGTGTGGAACTGTATCGGCTTCCTGAAGTGGGAGCTGCAGTCCCTGATGAGCACGGCCGTGTGGTGGACAAACAACTCGTTGAGCCCCTCGTGGTCGACCCTGGTAAACTTCCCACGAAGGCTGCGGTGCTGGACGATGTCGGCAAACGACTCGCGGGCGGCAGCGATGTTGACGACGCGAGGGATGGCCAGGCCTGTGCGATAGCAGATGACGGACTTGAAGCCGACGACGTCCGGGTCCTGGATGGCTTGCTTGACGTGAGTGTCGAACTCCTCGAGCATCTGGCAGAAAACGTCATCGGTCGCCAGGGTGCCGTCGTAGTGCTGTGCGTGCCGCTCGATTATGTCGGCGGCAACGGCCTCGATACGGACGATGCGGCGGCAGGGGCTGCGCACAAAGGCGTCGTGCGACGAGAAGCCGTGCACACGCTCCAGCCCGTCCAGCCCGTCATCGATGAGGATGGTCTCGGTCCCGGCCAGGCAGATGGCAGTCCATCGGTCGTAGATGGCCGGATCTGCGCGCCGGCGCTCGATAGCAGCGACGACGGCGTCCCACGAGGCTGGTAGCTCGGGCTCCCCGTCGCGCCCGCAGCCCAGGGCGGCGGCGAGCTGGCGGACGGCGCGGTGGTGGGCAAGAGTCTTGGGCGTGTCGCGCAGGGCGACCCCTGAGGCCTCGGTGACGGCCGAGGCGAGCGGGATGCTGCCAACGTGCTCGAGACGGAGCAGAGGGTGCGCGTGGTTGTCTATGGCAGGGGTCGTCCGGATAACGCGCACAAGCTCTTGCAGCCGTGCGCTGGTGATGGAGTGAGGGGTGTCGCGACCCGGACCAGCGAGGCGGGGTGACATGATTAAGCTGAGGGAAAGCGAATAGGAAGGGAGAGGAGAATGTGTCCCTCAATCTCTCAAGCGGTTGGCTTGATTCCCTTTTGAGAGGCTTCCACCTTGGAGCACGATTGCTCCAGAAGGTTCCCAACAAGCGTTAGCAACAAACAGCCGGCTTACCAAACATGAGGATGTCAGTGGCTTGGTAGATGCAGCACATATCCGCCCTAGCCAGGACGAATTGCTGGCAGGTACCAAGTGAGGCAGGAGCAAGCGCCTCGCTTGGAAGAAGATTGGCTGTTTGTTTGCGCGACGGGCCTTATCCAGACCCAGACAAGAACTACAGTTCGCGTCGCACAGCCTGACGGAACTAGAGCCGAGAAACACTAAGTCGTGGAGCTGAAAGCTTAGTTGAGCGCCTTAGCTTGGGGGGGCAGGCCGCCAGCATGCAGGCAAACGGACGGGCGGGTAGGCAGCGCGCAGCTGAGTTGGCAGCAGAGCCAAGGCGGCGTTGGCTAGGGAGGACGTATGTATAAGAAGGTATATGTAGGAGGGGCGTGGCCTTGTGCCTCGGGTACATGGATGCGCCAAACAGCACACAGGATTGCAAGGGCACAGCATCAGGTTCAAGAGTAGCAAGAACAGCAGAACAGACGCCAGCCAGACTGAGCAGGACCGGGACGGGACGAGGGGGATAAGAAACATCACGCAGGTCTCCGGCGCGCCGGGCGGCGCGGCCAGGAGGGCAAGGAGGCGGGCGTCGCATGGCCCCCGTCACACATAGTGACAGACCACCAGCCGTCGGGCATCCCTCGTCGCAATCGAGACAGATGCCGGTGGATCACGCAAGGGCAGCGGGTGCCCGGGGCCGAGCGCGCGCGCGAGATACCTTTGCGGTACAAGCTCGGCGGTTGATTCGGGAGCCAAGACTTTGTCGTCTCTGCACAGCCACGCTCGGCGTCGACCTGTGTCATTGCCTGTGCCAGCTCCGCTCCTGCCCTCTCCTATTTGCTTGCCGATTTGCCATGCCGTCGGTCCGGCGAAACGCACCTTGTCCCTCCCAGTTCCCCAGCCGACGGGCAGGGGCGGTGGAAATGTAACGTGAAATGGAACAAGGGAAGAAAACCAGGGCGGCCGTCGGTATTTGCCATCTGATGTTGTTGCCGTCGCGTTTCCGCAAAAACAAAAACGTCAGGATGGTCCAATCCCCACGACCGAATTAGGCACGAGCATTTTTCAAAGGTCTGCCGCACGCCCACACCCTTCCAGATTTCGAAAACCCGCGCGTTGGAAGTCAGAGGGGTGGGGCCAGCAGGGGGACGACCAAGGCCCTGGCCGTGCTGGGACAATGTACCCGAGGTTGGCGGCCTCCCGCCCGCAGTGGTCCGACAGCTTTGGCCTTTGGTTGAACATGAGAGATGCGAGATAAACACGCCCATCCATTGAGCTGTCTGGTCCATGGATTTCCGCTACCTCCAGTCCTGGTGGGGCAGAGGTGAGGGATGGTCACGATACAACCAATAGGCGGCGCAGGCAGAAGGACAAGCAGCAACACCGCAGTACGAGACCGACGCCATCATCTGCGAGCCACGCCGCTGCCAAGTAGGCGGGGTCGATGGCCAAGCACGATGACGATTGGCTTGGAATAAGGGGTACTGCAGGACATCAAGGCCAAGATTGTGGAAGACAGCATGCAGCCAGAAGGACAACGCCCAACCTACACGGTGAAAGCCCTCTGGACACGCCTGTGGGGGAGAGGAGCACGACTCTCTGGATAACGAGGCACGTCGGCGGGTTTGATTGGGGCTAGGGTCCATCGTGGCTGTGCCTGCTGCTTGATGCGTGTGCCAGGCTAGGGAGGACGGCGATAAACCATGAGAAAATCAGAGGCTGGGGACGGATAGGACAGGCTGGGTCGCGGCGAATATCGTAGAGCCAGTCCAAGAATCACTAGTGCGCGACTGCGCGCTGAGTTCTCGCGATTCTGGGGCTTGAGCGTGATTGTGCCAGCGCTGGCTGAAGTTTCCAGAACATTGCGATCGCCAACGATGTGTGTGTGTGTGTGTGTGTGTGTGTGTGTTCAATTATAAACTTCAAGACTTGAAGCATTTACAGACGCGACCCATGAGTGGCAGTCTGGTCTTTGGAATTTTACTATTTTGTCATGAAATCCTGGTTGCATCCGACGGACGGATTGGCAGGGTCAGCTCGATGCCATCAACACGTTGAGCTCGCTCTGGCCTCAAAAGAATCGAGCACCTAACCACCCCTAGTGGACACTGAAGATTTTGGACGAGTCGCTCATGTGATCCGTTTGAATCCACAGCCCAACTCACTATTTGTGCTACGCAATGAAAAGATCAGCCCTAGGCTCCTCCTCCATCTGCTCTCGCATGTCTCGGCTACCGGAACTGAATTAAGCATTTCTTGGCCAAGCCTTGGACCCTCGATCGCGTGGGAAACAAGAATGCCAAGACGAGCGAGACACCAATCAACAAGCGGCGGGAGAGGGCTGTTCGGACGGGAAGCCGCCGGGAGTGGCTCTCCCTAGGGGCCTCCCCTGCCCCCAAATCTCTTGGCAGCGACGGCGCGGGATCTGGGCGATGGGTGCTTCCGAACAGCTTGATATAAAAATCAGAGAAACGACCATCTGTCCGTCTAGAGATGCTCATGTCGTTCGTTTTCCTCAATCAACACATTCATGCAGCAGCCCGATCATCACAAAGACGCGATCGACATGCCCGTCTCTTTCCCAATCCCTTTTCCTCCCCCAAAACTGCCAGGGGGCCCCTGGCAGCGGCAACCGGCACGGTCTGCTCTCGAGTGCCGCGTCATGACCATGGGATGGAGACTAGCAATACGGGCAGGAGGCGCAAGATTACATGTCCTGCGACGGCTCCTGCCAGGCCCGTCTGAGATGGCGCGCACATCGCAGCCGCTCATTGGCGGCGACCAGCAAGCGCATGGGGCCGGGCAGCCGATAGCCTTGTTTTTTTCGACAGACTCCCAGCTTATTTCGCTGGCGTTGTTCCCGGAGACGGCCAGTCGCCCGGGTATACGGGCTCAGAGGCTTCTTGCGGCCTTGATAACGCATGAATCAACCCACCCCCGTCCCCTTTTTCCAGCAGCACCCCGGCCTGTCCCCTCCAGCCCACCAGCAGCAAATATGTTTGTTGCTTCCCCAGCCAAGGGAACCCCGACGGACTCATCGGATCTCCCGTACAGAGCTGCCTCGTTCTCTTTAATCCTGCCCACATCTCGCCCATTCCTCCTCATACTTTGTTCCGACTCGATGGTCGCTTGGCAGCAGTCCGGTTTTCTGACATTTGAAGTCTACGGCCACGTCCACTCGCTTCTACCCGCCCACCTTCCTCTGAACACACGCCCGGGCTCCTTTTTTTTGTTTCCTCGGTCGAAAATTTTGCTACTTTTCAAGCATCCATCCGAAGTCCCAAGACATATACATGAACGAAAATCGCAAATAATACCGGATAAACCCATCTGGGTTGCCACAACTCTACATCGCGATTAAATATACCACCACTACCGTGTCCCGCGATTGGCCTCCATTGTACACCAAGACATGTTTGCACCTCTTGTGCGGGTCGGAGCTACGGCTCTACTGGCTGGCGGTCTTGCTGATGCCGCCTACAGCATTGCTAGCGCAGGTGCGTTAATATAACCCTGAACTGTGCACATAACTGGCACAACACGGAGTGTGAGGATGAGGACGACGGGTAGCTCCGAGAGGGTGACTGGTACGGATCCGTGCCACTAACACACGCACATCGCAGCCGATATAAAGTCAACAGCATCCCTGGTCGCCGCAGATCTGATGACGTACTATAAAGGAAACCTCCCGGGCCAGGTCCCCGGCATCCTGCCAGGGCCGCCACCAGCAGGAGACTACTACTGGTGGGAAGGAGGCGCGTTGATGGGACAGATGGTAGAGTACTGGCACCTGACGGGCGACACGACCTACAACGACGAGGTGTCACAGGGGATGCTGCACCAGGTCGGCCAGGACAGAGATTATCAGCCCAGCAACTACACCGCATCCCTAGGCAACGATGACCAAGGGTTCTGGGGCATGTCGGCCATGACCGCGGCCGAGCTCAACTTCCCCAACCCGCCCAAGGACCAGCCGCAGTGGCTTGCCCTGGCGCAGGCCGTATTCAACACGCAAGCCGCCCCGGGCAGGCACGACAACACGTGCGGAGGAGGGCTGAGGTGGCAGATCCCCCCGACGAACAACGGATACGACTACAAAAACAGCATCGCGAACGGGTGCTTTTTCAACCTGGGCGCCAGGTTGGCTCGCTACACCACCAACAAGACGTACGCCGACTGGGCCGAGAAGCAGTGGGACTGGGTAACGTCGGTCGGGCTGATGGACGCGCAGTACAACGTCTACGACGGCGGGCACATCGGCAAGAACTGCACCGACATCAACCGGGCGCAGTTCTCGTACAACAACGCCGTGTGGCTGCTCGGGGCGGCGCACATGTACAACTACACGGACGGCAGCGAGGTGTGGAAGGGCCGGGTCCAGAGCCTCCTGGACGCGACCCTCAAGACCTTCTTCCCCGACGACGTGGCGTACGAGATCGCGTGCGAGACGGGCGACACGTGCACGACCGACATGCTGAGCTTCAAGGGCTACCTGCACCGGTGGCTGGCAACGGCGACGCGCATCGCGCCCTTCATCCACGACAAGACGCTCGCCGTGCTGCGCAAGTCGGCCGAGGCCGCCGTCGCCACGTGCACGGGCGGGAGCAGCCAGCGCGCGTGCGGCTTCAAGTGGAGCACGCGCGCCTTTGACGGCAGCGTGGGCGCGGGCCAGCAGATGAACGTGCTGGGCGCCGTCACGTCGCTGCTCGTCGACGACGTGCGGCCGCCCCTGACCAACGACACGGGCGGCACCAGCCAGGGCGACCCCAACGCCGGCACGCACAGCACACCGCACCAGACGTTTGCGCCCATCACGGGCGGCGACCGGGCCGGGGCCGCCTTCCTGACCATTGCCGTTCTCGGCGGCGCCGCGTTTATGTTTGGATGGATGAACAAGGGCGACTAGTCTGTGAGGAGTTGATCCGTGGGCGGCTGGCTGGCTTGAAATTTTTTTTTTTTTTTTTTTGGATTTGCTCTTGTGGCGTTTCGTGTCTGGCTTTGTTTGTTCTGCATGTCGTTTGGAATGAACCAGAGCATGCCGCTGGATATCCATTTCTCATACCTATCAGGAACTTGTGAGGGTATTTACGCTATGAATATAGGATTCACTCATGGTTCCGCAGTACTTATGAATGGTTTAGGGTTAGGGGACATGATACAGTCTGGGCGCGGGCAAAAACCCCCTAAATGGGCCCATTGAAACCGCTACAGTGGACACCTCGACCAACTGCTCATAAACTGGATGCACACTGGCAACTACTACAGAGTCACATTGCTGGGCTATTAAATAATCAAGCAAGGTCAAGATACGGACAAGCATAATGGCGGCCCTCCCAGACTTCACCGACACTAGCCGGTTCCCGACCTTTGCCACCATCCCCGAGGCCGGCGGGGAGGCGCCCCCGCCGCCGGAGCCGTGGTACCTGCTGGCGCGCATCAAGGACGACATGACCATCACCAAGCCCACGCTCGTGGCGCTGGACCGGGCCGGCTCCCCGTTCGCGCTCCTGTTCGAGGGCTTCGACCGCGACGGCATCGACCTCAAGGGCCGGGGGCTCAAGAAGGGCGCGACCGTCGTGGTGCCCCGCGCCCTGCGCACGCCGCCGGCCACCGAGGGCAAGCGCGGCTTCGTCCGGGTCGACAAGCCCGACGCCAACTCGGTAAAGGCCATCCCCGGCCCGCTCGAGAGGGTGCTGGAGCTGGGCTCGGGCTCGGGCTCGGCAGCGCCCGCCGCGGGGTGTTCGAGTTGTGGGGCGGATGGGCAGGACGAGCAGGCTAAGCTGGCCAAGTGCACCGGCTGTGGGAGGGCGAGGTATTGCGGCAAGGTGAGTTTTGCTGTTATTGTTTTTTTTTGTCCCCCGTTGTGCATTTTGTTAACCTTTGCTGACTCTTGGATTTCTTGTCGACCGCAGGACTGCCAGGTTAAAGGGTGGAATGAGGGCCACAAGGGCGACTGTAAAATCTACAAGGCTCTAGATTCCATATTCAGCCCGAGCGCCTGATTTGAGTGGTACAGGTACAGCTGTGAAGCTCTAGATGTCATCTGTGGGTAGAGATGAAAGCGAAATGAAATCAATCAATCGCCACCGCCGGACCTTTCTGTCCGGCAGTTTCTGGGCGCGGCAGATCAAGCTTGACCAAAGCCCAAAGTTTGGTTGACGCGGCCCTGTCATGTCACCCTGTGCCTCGTGTACATACATGTGGCAGGCACGGCGGACAATCTAGTCCGTTTCGGCCACTGATGATCGACACAGACCGCAGCAAGAGCTTCTGGGATCTTCGTCATGGATGCGTCGTGATAAGCAAACGAGTGGCCAATAAAGGCGACCTGCAAAGTCGCACGCGAGCCCTGCCTAGCAGCGAATGGGAATTTGCGCCGACATGGCATCCCCGATAAACGCATGGATTCACTCACCTATGGCCTTCTTTGGTACCCAATGTATGATATCACCAAGGCTTGCCCGCTCGGGGCCACATTTACACTCCGCCCTTGATATCAGCGAATGACCTTGCTGTGACAATCTACCCATCTCTCCCAAGTATAGACCTCACACTCATCTCTTCACCAGACACACCCACGTGTACACCCAAAATGACACCTCAGGAGGAGCAGGTGGCCAAGCCGCCATACAAATCCATCACCAAGTTCGACCTCAAGGATGCACCCCAGCACGCCACCGGCATCCAAGGTGCCTCCAAGGGCGGGCGGCGGTACGGCCATCTCGCAGAGCTGGACCCGGCCTTTGCCGCCGTGAGGCCCCGTCTCGACGCCAACGCCAACGCCCTCTGGGACGTCCCTGACCGGAACTGGAGCACACTGCGCGAGACCGTCAGAAGGCAGTCGCGCGAGCAACAGACGGAACGTAGCTCCGTCGGTGTCGACGTCTCTCATGGCACCGTCAGGGCCAGGGATGGGGCCCAGATCAAGATCAAGATCATGAGGAGGGCATCGACCGCCCCCGCCAAGGAGCAGACAACAGAGCAGGATGGCTCGCTGCTTGTGCTGCGGATACATGGCGGTGGTTGGTGTCTAGATCCCGAATCCGCTAGCGAGGAGGCCGAGGATAGCCGCATAGCCGGCATGCCGAACGTGGTCCTCGTCAGAGTATCATATCGACTGCAAGTTTCTTCCGGCAGCTCGTTATCTCTAACTTTGACCACGCTGCTGACACTAGATATTCATACAGGGCGCCCGAGTATACATACCCGTACGCACTGAACGACTGCTACGATGTGCTGCTATGGGTATGCTATTCAACCCCCTTCTATCATGTCTTGCTATGGCAATCCTGACATATTCGACTTTGTTGCCGCTAGTGCAAGATCAACGCCAACGGCATGGGCGTGGATCCAGAGAGAACACTGCTCATCGGTAGCGGCGCGGGAGCGAGTCTGGTGAGATATTTACACTCTTGTGCCCTAGGAAAGCGAACCTGACTCACTGACACGGCATTAGGCCGCTTCCGTTGCCATCAAGGCGCGGGACAAGGGTGTCAGTGGGATCGTGGGGCAGGTGCTCGATTTCCCCATGACCTGCCATCCCAAGTTCTATCCCAAGAGACCTCTCGAGCTCAAGAGCTACGAGCAAAACAGCGAGGCTACCACCATTTCCTCGCCCCTGGTAGACCTCTTCTACGACGCTTACGTGCCAGACTCTGCAGAAGAGGTGTCCTATCATTCACCACTGCTGGCACCTTCGCTCGCCCACATGCCACCTGCCCGTAAGTTCAGCCTGGACCGACAAGCTGGTGCTGTGTGATCTGTGTGATACATGCTGACGACGGAGCAGTCGTGCAGGTTGCCGGGTTCGACCCTCTCCGTGACGAAGGGATCGCCTTTTCAGAGAGGCTCAGGGGTCAAGGTGTTGCCTCGGAGCTCCATGTCTACAAGGGGCTGCCTCATGGCTTCCCCGACGTGCTCCCGGACTTGCCACAGACGCGCGAGTTCCACAAAAGGCAGCTGGAATTCATCAGGATGTGCGTCGATCGAGAGGGAATATTCTCATAGAGGTCGCAGCTAAGCTTTGAAGTAGATAGTATGAGACGCCCGAGCGTGAGATTAAGGGCAAGTAGAGGAAGCCAACCAGGAGAAACTGGTTTTAACCCACGAGAACCAACCTGACTCAAAAAAGTGCAGAACAATCCTAACAAAGCCAAACCTACGATCAAACTACAGGGGGCTTAGCCTCCAAGCCGCGCATCTGGTACTCGATGTCGGTCCTCATGGTGTACTTGACCCCAGCCTCCACATCGTCCCCCGAATGTCGCAACCGCTCGTGCTGGAAGATGAGAACACGGCCGGCTTTTGGGTTGATGTCGATCTTCCTCTCGCCGTCGGACGACAGGAAGCAGGTTGCGCCGCCCTCGAGCTCGGCGGCGTCGCCGGCCTCGGCCTTGGAGTCGTTGAGGTAGAGATGGATCGTGTACCAGGTCCGCAGTATCTTGCCGTCCTCCTGCGACGCGTAAGCCCCGTCACAGTGGGCTGGACGAGGGCCATGGGGCGTCAGCGTCTTGCGTCCGAGGCAACAAGGGGCAGGGTACATGGATAGCATTACACATACGTCTAAAAAAGCCGCCCGGCTCGTACTTGAGGAAGCGCATGCGCCGGTTGACCCTCAGAAAGTCCCACCTGACGCCGAGGTCCCGGGTCGCGGCCTTGGAGGCGGGGAGGACGCGGCTGTTGGGGGTGACATTGGCGAGGACGATCTTGAGGCCCCGGGCCTGGGCCAGGCGGGCCCAGAGGCGGTTCACGATCTCCTCCTGGTCCCAGATGATGCGGTCGCTGTTGCGGTAGCCCTTGTCCCGCACCTCCCAGCCGCCGCCCACGTGAACCAGGGCCGGGCGCCAGGGGTTCTTTGTTTCGCTGCCGCCGCCGCCGTCGTCGTCGCCGTCGTCGCCGTCGCCGTCGTCGTCCCCTTCATCCGGGGCGGCGGCCTGACGGCTCTGGCGCGGCTTGCCTTCCGACTTGGGCGCGAAGCGCATCGCCTCGGGCACGCTGTCCTCGGCCATGCGCAGGAGCTGCCGGCACTCGCTGGGGCTCAGGACGTTGTCCAGCACGACGGCGTAGCACCCCTTGTACTCGGGCAGCGGCGTCTGGGCGAAGTCGATGGGCTTCATGGTGATGGGGAGGGCGTCGGGCGGCGGGGACGAGACGCTCAGGAAGTCGTCGGGGATGGCAACGTCGTTGGATATATAGATGGGTTGTATGGGGTCCTTGCCGTAGGAATCGACATCATCATCGTCGTCGTCGTCCTCGGCGCCGCGGCCGCGGCGGGAAGCGAAGAAGTTGGAGGCCTTGTTAGCCCACATGACGGACGGACCGACTTGTCTGGCCGTATTTGGGATTTACGTGAGAGTGAGAGAGGTGCACGATGTGAAAAAAAAATGGCGGTAGGGGTTGGGCAGAAGACGCGGGTTTACAAGAATCCCTCCAGGCTGCACTGCAAAAGCGCCAAACTGTCGGCAGGTGAGATTTTATTCAATCACACCCTGTAGGGCCCCATGCTGGAAGAAAGCAGAGCCCAAAAAAGCCACGCCAAGGACACGTCAGGAGAATCGAACGATGCAGGCCCGGTCTCGACTTGATCGGCAAGCACTCGCATTTGGTGGCGGGGCCGCTCGTTCTAGGCGCAGCAAGCAGCAATGGTTTGGTGGCAGTTCAATGTTGGCCAAGGTCGTGCAGTGCAGTCAGCCCCCAGGCAACCAACAGCGAGTGGGCGTGAGAGCCTGCCTTGGGCTGGGCTGCAAGGGTCCAAGGGGAGGACTGGATTTGGGGCGGTTCCTGTGTTCCCCGTCCCTCCATTTCGGGACGTTGCTACGTAAGAGTTGCATAACCCAGGTCGGCTACGTGGTAAGACGGACGTAAAAAAAGGAGAGGACCCAGACGGGGAACCTGCTCAGCCCTACCTACCCTAGGTATGTACTGTAAATGTAGCAGACAATTCCTAGGCCATCGTCTGTGGGGCAGAATTGAAAGTCTAGTCATCGCTACAATAATGGCCCGAACGACCGAAAGCTAGGTGCCGACGATGGGGACGTGGGGCTTCGGCCTATTCTTCTGGACGGGCAGAGAGAATGGCAAGGAGGCTGCTCTTCCGAGCTCGTGCTCCATCCCATGCCTGCCGCCCGCAATTTCCAATTTCCCCGCGTTTCCGTTCCGTCGTCTTGATAGTTTGGGCAGGCCCTTGAACCGTGGGGGGACGGGCTTATAAGACGGGTCATGACCGACATACATACACTCTCCTCGACATTGACAGCCTCAACAGGTACACAACCATAAAACCATAACACGCACACCACCGACACAATGGCCGCCCCTCCAGCCCCCGGCATCTACCCCCCGGTCCCGACCTTCTTCGTATCGCGCAAGGCGGCCGACTACAGCGACCACGCCGCCCCCGTCGACGTCGCCGCCCAGGCCGCCCACTCGCTGTACCTGGCCCGCGCCGGCATCCACGGCCTCGTCGTGCTGGGCAGCACCGGCGAGGCCGTGCACATGACCAACCAGGAGCGCGCCAAGGTCCTCTCGGGCGTGCGCCAGGCCCTGGACGGCGAGGGCTTCAAAGACTACCCCATCATCGCCGGCACGGCCAGCCAGAGCGTCGACGAGGTGGTGGAGCAGCTGCGCGACGCCCACGCGGGCGCGGGCTGCCAGTTCGGCCTGTGCCTGGTGCCCGGCTACTTCGCCGGCGCCGCGGGCCAGGACGGCATCGTGCGCTGGTTCACCGCCGTCGCCGACCGCTCGCCCATCCCCGTCATGATCTACCACTACCCGGGCGTGTCCAACGGCGTCAAGGTGACCGTGTCCACGTTCGTCAAGCTGTCCAAGCACCCCAACATCGTCGGCTGCAAGCTCTCGTACGCCGACCTGCCCGCGCACCTCGAGATCGCGCTGAACCCGGACGTGGACCGAAAGGGGTTCGCCGTCTTCACGGGCCTGGGCTCGCAGCTGTGGCCCGTCGTGGCCGTGGGCGGCGCGGGCGCCGTCGACGGCGTCGCCGCGTTTTTCCCAAGGGCGGTCCTGCGCCTCTTCGCCCTGGCCGGCCTGGTGCGGCCGTCGGACGCCGAGGACGCCGAGCGCAGGCGCCTGCAGTACCTCGTGACGGCCGTCTACACAAAGCTGATCCCCTTCGGCACCGTCGCCATCAAGGAGGCCGTCGCCCGCCTGCGCGGCTTCGGCGACCCGGACGGCACCCGCCCGCCGCTGCTGGCCGGCTTCCCCGACGGCGACGCCGAGTGGGCCAGGTGGAAGCCGCTGGTGGACGAGCTGCAGGCTATCGAGGACAAGCTGTGAGGAGGTTCTGCATATAGGTTGCTTCTTTGGGCATAAATAAAATAATTTTGCTACATCTAGGCCATCCATTTGGCTTTGTGTTGCACTAGGATGAATCTAGGTCTAGCAGGTACTTCCCTGGAAAAGGGGGCAAGGGCAAGCTGATATAACAGTAACAAAGTGCTAACAAATTGGTGCGTCAAGCCTCCCTCATGCACACCGACGTACACGCATACCGACTTGGCCAAGGGACGGCTACGTTGCCGCTAACGGACTGCCGCTCCGCTGCGCCCCAGTAGCCGACAACTCGCGCGGCATGCTCTTCTGCTCTGGCAGCGGGATGGCCTCCGCTGGCCCGGGCCAGTCCTCAGCCGGCATCTCCACCGGGCCCGAGACCAGCACCGGCGACCCCGCTGCCTCCTCGTTGCCGCTGTGGGGCGGTAGCGGCTCCTTTGGCGGTCTCGGCGGCGGGGATGCGTCCGCACCCGATCGCGGCCGAGCTGCCCGGTCCACATCATCGCCAGCATCCCGTCGCCTGTCTGGCGTACCGTGTCCCCGGCCCGGGGGCGCCTGGGGAGAGTCCTGGTGCGGTAAAAGTGGACGGTGATCAAGGCTGGGCGGCGGCGCCGGTGCTGGGAGTTCTCTGGGCCCCCGATCACCGCCGCCATCTCCGGCCAGCTCGGGCAGGTTCCCAGTGCTGTCGTCGACAAGCGGGAGCTGCTGCTGCTGGTGTTTCGCCGCCTCGAGTCCGCCAGCGGCCGCTGCCAGACCGCGCTGTTTCCTCCGCCGCATCCAGACAAGCCCCGCCAGCACGAGCGCGACGCCCACCACGAGTACGATGGTGATGCCGACTATGCCGCCGGTGCTGAGCCCCGTGCTGGGTGGGCCGGGCTGCGCTTGGCTTGACATGGGTGCCCGTCGTGAGGGTCTCGGTTCGCACAAGTGGCCCCCGGGGAAAGATCGGGTGGGCGCACTTGGGGGGATCTGACCCTTTGGCCCCCAACCTTCTTTTCGCGTATTCTGCCTCTTGTCTGCCGCCGTCTCTTTTCTGTTCTGCTTCTGATAGCCTCGCTTTACCGACTTGAAGGGGCGTGCTGGTGCTGTTGAGTTTGCCTGGGTGCGGTGTTGCCGGCTTGCTTGCACGTCCCAAATAGGCAATTCGAGAGTATTACTAGATGGGTTGTTCCGTTCGGGACGGATACAAGGCGCCGCCCGGTTCAAGCCGGGAGAATCAAAGGGGATGGAATTAGAGAGAATGATGGCGAGTTGTTAATGAGCGGAAGAGGAAGGATCTGGGGGGCGAAATAAATAAAGGGAAAAGTCCGGCGGGAATAATGAGCCTGAAGGTGACGAAGGGCACGAGCGTTGATACCGCACCTGCTTATGCTGGCCTCACTGGATTAAACACAGGCCAGCACCGCCCCGCCTCCAGGTGCCCCCCCTGGCACATCGCCAGCGCCATCTACAGCGGCTAGGCAAAACACGGCCGTCTCCAAGCAGGCCAAGCGGGGGCCCGCAGGGCGCAGGCAGCAGGCACCAACATCAAGGGCCTCGCACTCGCCTTCTTCTCTACTCGGACTTTTTGCAAGTGGAGACAAGACGCGCGCGCTCCTGGCTGTTCGCTTTGGCCTGGGGTGCCTGGCTAGCCTGGCACCCTGGTTTGTTGACGGGGTGGTGGCGTCAAACAATATCGAGGAGGAAGGGAGATAATTTGTGGTCCAACTTTTCCCCCTTTGCTTGCAAGTTGCAGCCTTGGTCCATACCTGTTTACGAAAGAACTCCCAATTACTCCATCGACGGACTGGTTTTAGAGATAGTAGACCACGGAGGAGTATTGCCAACTTTGAATCTGCACGAATTAGCTTCTGTCGGCCTTGGGTAAAGCGTTACGGCTCCCTTCTATAATTATAAACCATCTAAAACAGAATATCTGTCTCTTTTTGAAAAAAAAAATGAAAAAAAAAACACAGCTAGGCAGCAATCGCGACAGGGCCACGTAACCACGGACCAGCGGTCCTCTTGACCGACAGCCATAGCTCAAAAGCCTCCAGCTTGAGCTCAACCTTGAGGAAGTCGACCCAGGCGGCCAGGAGGCGGATGGTGTTGGGCGGCCAGAACAGAGACCCCCTCTCGCGAACGGCCTCGAGCCGCTCGTGGAAAACGGTGCGCATGCAGTACCGGGCCAGGATGAGGAACGACCGGACCGGCCCCTGCCGGGTCTGCAGGTTCTCGTCCAGGCTGCGCGTCAGGTCGTTGGTCTTGAGGATGAGGAGGATCACGCGTGGGATGCGCCCTAGGAGCTGTACCAGGTCCGCCAGCATCCCGTCCTGCAGCGCCCCGCTCATCGTCTGCTTCTCGTCGAGGGACCGCGGCGCCATGACGCCTCCCGCGTCCGAGGAGCTCGGCGAGGCTGCGGCCGAGAGGATTCCAAAGTCGCGGCCCGTGATGGCCGAGGCGAAGAGCGGGAAGGTTTCGTCGGTCACGCCCGCGATCTCGCCTGCCCACTTGCGCATCCCCGCCATATCGCCCTCGACCACGGCCAGCCACATCTTGGCGTAAGAGCGCCTGATATCGACAGGTATGTCCCGGTAGAGACCGTGGTCATAAAGAATGATCTCAAAGTTGCGCCTGCTGCCTCCTAGACCAAGCAAGCGCCGGAGACCCAGGCGGGAGCCGCCCTCGCGTTTGCGAATGGCGATGTTGCCGCCGTGCGGATCGCAGTGCAGCGGGGCACCGTCTCCAAAGATCATCTCGTTGAAAAGGTGCGCCAGCGTGGCCGAAACTTCGTCACGGTCGATGCCTTCCGAATCGATGTACTCGAGGTCGTCTAGCCGGTGGCCCGACTCGTTGGCCATGACGAGAATTCGTTGCCGGGCGGAAACAACCTCGGGGATGATGAGGGGCAGACGCGCCACGCGCGCAAAGTGCTCACGCGCTCGGTCAGCGTTGAGGGCCTCCTGGGTAAAGTCGAGCTCCTGGGGTAGCGACAGGTCCATCTCCTTGGAAAGCCAGCTCAAGTCGTACTCGGGAAAGAACTTCTTGAGCGTGTCAAAGCTATAACGGGTCAGGGCCAGATCTAGCTGCGTCCATTGCGCCAGCTCCGGGTGCTGCACCTTGACGGCCACGCGTCGGCCGCTGTCTTTGAGTGTGGCCAGGTGGACCTGCGCCAGCGAGGCGGCTCCGATGGGTTCCGGGCTGAACTCGGAGAAGTGATCCCACAGCTCCTGACCCGTGTCTGCCCGAAACATTTCTTGGATAGACTCGAAGGACGAAACGGGACACTTGTCCTGTAGAGGGATGAACGTCTCGGTCCACTCGGTAGGTAGGAGGTAGTTCATGGCGCTCTGTGACAGCAAGGGAAAGTGTTAGTGTCGTGGCACCAGTGTAGATAGAGTGAGTGGTGCATGGGACGTGAAGGGATCGTACCAGATGCTGCCCGAGCTTGATGAATATGCCTCCATTCTTCTCCAAGACCCTGAGCGTGCGGACGGCGCATCGCTTGTGGCAAGCACCTAGCTCTTTGTTGTACTCGTCGTGGTCTTGTATCTCCTCGCGGGGCTTCAGGGTCGAGCGGTAGCTGTGCATGTGGCCGGGTGGTCAGTCTCGGCTGGGCCGAAGTCGGCGTGGCAGGGAGGGGGGGAGACAAGGGGGTGTTCCGGGCGAGCGCTACTCTTGAATGTTGGTGTAGAGCGCCACAGCAACCCTGGCGCAGCGCTCGGCGACCTCGTAGCTCTGCTTGATGTCGTCGGTGAAGGCCAGGAGCCCCACGCTGGCGGCACCGCCCGTGGTTGCCAGGAGCACCTCTCCACGCCGCGATCTTTGGCGCGGGCCTTCCCCTTGTTGTTGCTGGTGGTGGTGGGAAGAGCGGCTGGGCCCGGGGCCCGACGGGGACGAGGAGAAGGAGCGCTTCGAGGACGAAAGGGACGAGGCGGCGGTGACGTAATAAGACCGGACAGTGGGAGCGGCCGGGCTCACGACCGCGGTATGCAGGGCTCGCCTGCCGGGGCCGGGGCCGGCGGACTGGCTGCTCCGACAGGCGGCGCATGTCCACTCGAGGCGCGGCCGGGGGCGGGCCCCGAGGCGGCCCAGTGACGGCGGGCGGAGGGCGGCGACCTTCATGGTGCTTGGAGTGCTTGGGGCGTCGGCATGCTCCTGCGACGGCGCAGTGGTTTTGGCAGCGTCTGCTGCGGTGGGCGGCGAGGCCAGATTGCACTAGGCGGCGGCGTCTGAAAAGGCTCCAGCTCAGGGCGGTGTCGCGCTTCACCGGTTCCCAACAATCGATAGAGAGTCAATTGTTGAGTGGGCATTGGTCCAAGCCGACGTCTTGGAGCTCCATCCATTTCCCGATTTTCGATCGTCTTTTTCATCCTTTTTTTTTTTCTCCCTCATCCGTCATTGACCGGAATCGCAGCTGGCAGGGGCCCGCACATTATTACCCACTCACCGGCGCACTGGGACGCCGAGGTGGCGGATCCCTGCTTGCTGAACGCCCCCTTGCCACCGCCAACCGCATACCGTAGTGCAGCAAATACCAGGTACCACAGGACATGCGCTACGGGCAACTTCGGGGACTTCCGGGCGCCCGAATGCTGACATGTGATCTCAACCGGCGATATCGTGTATTCAGCAAAAGTATACAACGTGAGAGTGCCATCTGGAGATAGCACGCCTCAGATAATCAACCCCCTGAGCTCCCGCCGGACCTTCCTCTATCCAAATAGCTTGCTTAATAACTCTTCAATGTCGGCTGTTGCGCCACCCACACCTTGCGTATGAAGTTGCAAAGTATCTGGGATCGGGCACCTCTAGCTCTATATACATCCATGCATCATGTCTCCGGCCACATGGCATAACTACCCATCCGTTCGCTGTGCTCTACTCTGCAAATCTGATTTTCTTTTTGCTCTTTTTTCTCGAGACTCAATTTTCCGCTTGGACCTTCCCCCACCCGCCCATGCTTGTCTACACCGCTCACGCAAGGATGTCCTCGTCAATCTCCAGGTCGAGCGCCCCAATGATGTCGTCGTCCATGAGCGGTTTGTGGATGGTCGGCAGGCCCTTCTTGTCCCTGTTCTGCTGCAGCTTGGCTAGGTGCGGTAGCAGCACCGGCTTCTGTGCCCCGAGCTTCGGCGTGCCGTCGGCCGGCGTGCTCGACCCGCTCTCCACGCCAGCGGATGCCTTTTGCGGAGACTGTGTCTGGCTTTGGCTGCGCTCCAGCTTGCGCTCGCTGAAGGTGCGTTCCTTGAGCTGCGCCTTGCGCACCACGTCGCGGTTGCGCTTTCGGTTCTCAATGTTGAGCTGCGCCAGACGCTCCTGCTGTGACATGCTGCTGTTGGAGCTGCTGGCGGGCTTTTTGTGTTGTGTGAGTGACGTTCTGAAGGCCAGTCGCGGAGTCTCGAGGTTATCGAGCTGCTCTTGAAGCTCCTTGGCCCGATCTTCGTTGCCCACCGCCCGCGACTCGGCAATTTCTTGCTCCAGCTCCATGCGGTCATAGCCCTGGAATCGGGCCTTCAGCTTCCGGATCCTTTCGATCTTCTGAGAAACCTCCTCGTTGGTCCACGCGTGGGCTAGGAGCCCATTAATGTCCTTCACCTTTGCATCAATTTTGGACTCGGTAGGAAGGGGCTCCCCTTCCGAGGCGCACGTGCTCTTGTATCTCCTCCACTCGGACTGATATCAGATACGAGGAACCATCCATGTTAGCAAAGCGCAGCCTTTGTTGGTTGTGAATCATGGCGGGTGGGGATCGCGTACGTCAGTAAAAGGAGAGTTGGAGCAGGCGATAAAGGGCCAATCTCTGACAGCCTTTCCATGTGCTGCAGTGACATACTGGTCCGTGATGATGGTACCATGTGCGCCATCGGTCGCGTATTCTTTGCCCTTGGCAATGCCTGTCCAGTGCGGCCAAGACGTCACATGTCAGTTGGGCAGTCCCTGTCAAGTCTGGCGGTATTGCGCCATGGCGGCGAGACTCACCCTTAATGACTGCCATGCGGTACACGTTCTCGCCTGTCTCCCGATCGGGCCCGATAGATATGCGCACGAAGCAGCCAACCATGGCTTTCTCGAATCCCGGATGGAAGCAGACCTGGCCGAAGCGGTTGCGGCTCAGACGGACCCGCTGTATGTGGTCCAGCTCCGCCGGTAGGTCCTCCTTCTTCGGCTCCTTGTCCCTGGCCTTGGACTTTGACGGTCCGGCCCAGTCGACCTCGCTGTCGGCATCGCCGTCGTCCTCGAACTCGTCGTGGAACGATGGTGACCTGCCCTTGCGGCGCTCCTTGTCTTCTTCCCGCCGGCGCGTCCGCTCTTCCTTCTCGGCCCTCGCCTTCTTGAGAGTGTCGAGGGCCGAGTTTGTCTCGCCCACGCGGGTGCCGCCGATTTTGGTCCGCACCCGGGACGTCTTGCGCCGGTCGTCTTCGAGGCCTGCGGAGCTGGCAGTGCGCTTCTTTTGCAGCTCATTGTTGCTGACGAGCTGCCGCAGCAGGCGGTTCTGGATCATCTTTTCCTTCTCCTGAGCGCGCTCCGCCAAGATCTCCTCACGCTCGATCTCGCGCAGGCTCATGATGTGGGCCTTCTCTGCAAGACTCAGGAACATGCCCTCTACGGGGTATTTGTCCTCTTCGTCATCGCGGGTCTTGCTCTGCCGTCGATCGTCGTCCGAGTCGGATTCGTCCATTGGCACCGACTGCTCGGATCGCGGGCTGGATGGCGCGGAGGATCTGCGCAGCAATGAAATCGTTAGGGCCGTCACTGGTTTCGATGGGCTGGTAGGTGGTGGAAGCTGGGTGGCATGCGGTGCTGGCGAGCTAGGGTCGGACCCAAACGCAGTCACAGCTTTGGGGTGTGGGATGGGAGATATATAAATCATGGCACGTAGAGGGACAGAGACAGAGGGTGGAATGGCGTGGAAAGCGAGAGGCAACAAAAGATGTTTGCTTGTCGAGCAACCAGGGAGACGAGAAAGCGAGGGAAACTGGAAGGGCGGGTGCCGGCGGCGGGCTGAGGAAGATTGGGCTCGAAGAAACCAGACTGGCGCGTGCAACCAGGTTGTTGGTACTTACGCCTGGCCCTCCTCCTCTGAATCATCTGACGTCGCCCGGGCCTTGGGCTTTTTCGCCTTCTTTGAGGCGCCGTCCTTTGTGGCCGAGGCGTCCTTCTTGCCGGGCGGTGGAGACCGCGACTGGCCCCGGCCCCGGTTAGACGCAACCTCCTCCTCGTCTGACGACACGGCGCCGCCGGCGAGGGCGAGCAGGTCATCGTCGATGTCGGACATGGCTGCTGCTGTGCGGGCAAGGCGATGGCGTAAATGCTCGCGCAGACGCGGCGTCTATGCCGATGCCGCGGGTGGGTGCCCTGGCTTGTAAGTCTCGACTGGCTGGTGCACTCGGACGGTGCGCGCGCGCGTTTGTGGGCCAGAGTCGGGCGTTTGAAGTGCGCCGCGACGGGGGATTTCGGATCTGCGGAGGACGGCGACGGTCGCGAAGCCAAACAAAAGCTAGATAGATTATTCGAGTGCGTTGAAACACGGGCCCGGGAGTGGGTGCGGCGGGAAGAGGCAGCGATAGTAACGAAGACGGGAAAACTGTCCGTCGCTGGTTGTCCCAAAGCCCATGCCCGTCGCGAGTGCCGGACACCAGGGCGGGTGGGTCGGTCGGGTTCTACAAAAGGTGAGGTGAGCCAATGAAAGGCGACGCCCGCGCAGACCCCCAACCGAGGCCTTGCAGGTCTTGGCTAGGGCCCACCAGAGGGGGAGCGGTAGCGCCCCACAACAGCAACCTGCCGGTGCGATGCTGGGCCCAGAATGGATGGATCGATATGGGTTGAGGCTCTGATTCTGATGTGGGAACCCAGATATCGCATCTATATTTCTCCCCCATGGCCTGATTCCTCGGCCTGCCTCCCCAGCATCGCACTGCCGCCGACATGTCCCCACTGCCGCCCACCGCCAGGTCCTGCCTCCGGGCCGCGCGGACGCAAGCAGCACTTCCGGTGTGCGACTTTCTGGCCCCAGCCTTGTTGTCCGCCCGCAGCCGCCGATGGCTCTCCGCAACGGCCCGCCTGCGCGCCGACGCCATCTCGCCCGCGCCCGCGCCACGGCCGCCGTCGGCTGCGAAACCAAGGTACAAGCCGTTGACCGAGGAGCAGCGTGAATTCTTGTCTGCAGCTGTAAGCCCCGCCCGCCCCTCGCACATCTTTAGGGAGGGGTTAGGGAGAGGAGGGTGCATCTGTCCCGAATCGGAAGCGGCGCGGCCACCTCGCAGTTCCCCGTGCTAAATAACGCCTTGCCTTCTTCCCACCCCCGCTGGCCCCGTCCCCGCCCGGCAGCTCCGCGTGAACCAAGCAGGCGAGCTGGCCGCCGTGCGCATCTACAAGGCGCAGACGCCGCTGGTGGTGCGCCGGGACCCGCACCTGCGCCCGCTCATGGCGCACATGCTGAGCCAGGAGGAGGGCCACCTGCGCACCTTCGACTCGCTCGTCTCGCGCCACCGCGTGCGGCCCACGGCCATGTACCCCGTCTGGTCCGCCGCTGCGAGCGCCCTGGGCTGGGCCACCGCCATGATGGGCCGCGAGGCCGCCATGGCCTGCACCGAGGCCGTCGAGACCGAGATCGGCGACCACTACAACGGCCAGATTCGCATCCTGCTTGAGATGGTTGCCCAGTGGGAGCGCGAGGGCTACGACGTCGGCCCCGAGTTCCGCGACCTCATCTCCACCCTCCGCCGCATCCGCGACGAGGAGCTGGAGCACCTCGACCACGCCGTCGAGCACGACGCCAAGAAGGCCGAGCCGCACTGGCTCCTGACCGGCATCATCCGTTACGGCTGCCGCGGTGCTATCTGGGTGAGCGAACGGGTGTGAGGGTCGAGGTGAGCCTTTGGCGGGAAACTGTATTTCACCCTCTTGTACAACAGATTTCATCACTAGGGTGGCTGCGTGCCGGGAAATACTATATCCGCAGGGTAGGAATGTGGCAACATTCCAGTGCTCCTCCAATATTCTCAGCTGAATTACGACTTTTGATTGTGGTCTTATGATACTCTAGGGGCAGTAGTTTAGGGTTGCAGGGAACAAGGGGGAAAAGCAGCTACAAACTGATGCTTATTCACCTGCTGCCCAGAAGGGACAAGGTCCGCCGGATCCCGGACGCCAGGCATGAAAATGCAGTTTCAGGCGAGCAAACGGAGAACAACAACAAGATAGAAATGACCCGACAAAGTGAAGTGTTGCTGCAGCTCGATCAGTTGCTGCGGCAGACGGTTAGCATCATGAATATATAATCCAAAAGGTGTGGCCTGCGGCCAAGAATGGAACTCACTAGATCTGCAGCGGCGCCACCAGGTCGGCCTGGTAAAGCCAGTTGCCATTGCTCTCCTCCACAGTGAGCCAGTCGTACGGGAACTGCACCAGGGCGCCCTGCAGGAAGCCCAGAACCTCCTCGGCGTCCCCCTTTGTCATGACCTGATCAGCTTGGAAACCGCGCCGACTTCCCTTAGTGGTGGCACGCCTGCGGCGCGGCAGCGTCCCGCCACTGCTGCTCCCGCCGCCGTTGTTGCTGGACCCGCTCACACCCGTGCCGGGCTTCTCCTGTGTCGCAAATGTCGGTCGCCTATCCCTCGCCTTTTCTTTGCTGGCTGGGAAGGCCGACGTGCGCTCCACCTTGGGCGTGTGGAGGGCCCTCTCGGCCGCTGCAGCCATCTCGCGATCAAGCCTCGAGTTCTGCCGGGAGTGGGCCGGCGTGGTGAACGGCCGCTTCTCCGTCATGGGATCCACCCCGGCCCTGGCGGCATCCGCGCCATCCTTCTGGCTGTTCAGATGGCTGGCCAGCTTCTCCGACAGGCCAGACACGGCCGACGCCGCCTCGGGCGCCGAAAGGCCCGGCGCAGCAGCTGTCGGCTTCTCCGCATGGCTTGTCTGCTCCTTCTCCATGTCAACATCAGGCCCCTTGGCAATCATGGCGTTGTTGAACTCATCCTGAAGCGCGAGGTATTCTTGGTACTCGTGCCAGTTAGTCACCTCCGAATCGGGCATGCAGTGAAACACCCTTCTGAAGATCTTGGTGTTGTTGTCCGCCACCCTCGCCCACACGTCGTCGTAGAAGGAGGAGGTCAGGGGGTCCAGCATGCAATCCTTGTGAATATAGGCGGGTCGGATGTCGGCGGCGAACATATTGGGGGGGCCCTCCTTCATCTTCCCGTTCGCATCCACCGACGCAGGGGGGCCGCCTATATCGGTGTCGTCAAGCACAGGCAGCGAGGGGAGCTGGTTGACCCGAGGCAGCCCTTGCTGCTCCGTAGTCAGCCGGCTTAAGATGGGTGGCAGCGGGGGCAGCGATTCGCTGCCGACGCCCGTGTCAAAGGCTGGGAACGGGTCCTTGGAGTCTACCGTGCCTTTGCCCTCGGGGAAGATGTTGTGCAGCAAGACTTCGCGGCCGTCAACAACCGCACTATCACGTCCTTCATCGAGGCCTTGGCTCTCGGCAGACTTCCACCGATCCAGTCCGTGGCCTTCCACCTCACGGCGCTGGCTGGCCGAGCGGGAGGTCTGCACCGATTCCTGCTTCGATTGCCTCCTGTCAAGATTGTGTTCGTCGTTCAGCACTCCCCAGTCCACGTCGTGGTTGAAGCTTGAAAAGCGCCTGTGCTGTGGTATCGGCGACGACGAGCTCTCTCCGTGCGGGCCCGGGCTTGACTGCGCGTCCGAGTCGCCAGACTCGCCGTATATGCGGTCCATCTCCTCGTTGTACTGCACCTCCTGATCCAGCTCGCTCTGCCGTTCGCTCTCCTGGATCTCATCCACATCCAGGCCGAGATGCTCTCGCATCAAGCGGAGGCGCAGCGTATGAGCAAACCGGCCAACTTGATACGGCTGCCCGCCCATCGTGGACCAGATCATGTCCCGATCTCTGACAACAGCTGCGCACTCCGAGTCTCGGGTACCGAGCAGCGACCGTTCATTGATGTTTGCGGACCCGATGAGGGCGGTCCTGTCATCGACGATTATGATCTTGGCATGGATATAAAGCTGCTCCGTCACCAGCATGTTGTTTGGCCCGATGCGCCCCCACGACCGCAGGCTGAAGAACTGGATGTAATCGTCCGGTTCGATTCCGGCGGCGCGGAGCCTGGCAAAGATGGAACTCTCGCCACGGCAGATGCTGCGGAACTGGCATTGCATAATCAGGCGCACGCTGCTGCCGTCCTGCTCTGCGACATTCCCCTCGAACCCGGGAAGGAGAGGGATGAGAATAACAGCGCGCCAGTCCTCCTCGTTTTGGTGTGCGCGAATGATGCGCTCGACGAGGGCGTCAGCAATGCCGTTGGTGAACTGCACCCCCATCGCCTCTCCGCCCGTGATGAAGAACTGGTTCTCCATGTAGACAAAGTGATCCGACTCCTCAATCAGCTTCAGATAGGCGGCGTGTATGCTAGCCTCGGTATCGGTAATGCCTAGCGACCAGTTCGTGGCGGACCGCAGAATCTGTACCTCGCACGTTCCCGTGATGCCGAGTTCTTCCAGCTCCTCCGCCTTGCAGTCCGGCGGCGGCAGGAGGAAGGGTGTTGGGCGGGTCGGCTTGCGCCCACGGCGGATGTAGTTCCACCGTTGCACAAAGTGGCGCGTCAGGTCGCGGGCAGGCTGCCCGACCACCTGCATCGAGATGTCGTGCCACGGCATCCTCGGCGTGACGGTCCGGTCGTACATCTCCTCGTACGGCAGGTTGAGCCTGACAAAGTCCATGACACGGGCGTTGGAGTAGTCCTTGCCCGGGAAGACCTGAGTGTGGTCCGTGTCCTTGGGGTAGTCGCCAGGCTCGAATCCGGTCAGCTTGTCGTCGGCGACGGGATGCTGCGGACTGTCCCAGCGGCCAAAGCAGAGGTCTATCCCGCCCACAAATGCGACGATATGGTCAACGATGCAGATCTTCTCGTGGTGCGCAAAGAAGAACTGGTTCTTCTTGAACTGATGCGGAGACCGCTGCACAAAGATGTTGGGATGCAAGTTAAGCAGCGACTGCTTGGTGTAGTCCGAGTCGATCGGGATTGCTTGCTGGACGTTGCGGTAGATGATGATGAAGATCTTCACCCCCTCCTGGGCCTTGCGCTGTAGCAGCCGGTCGAGCCGCCACTTCTGGCTGATGCAGGCGGGCCGTCGCATGTATATCTCTGGGCTCAGCCACCAGTCGTGGATATATATCACGTCCTTAGCCATGTTGATGGCGCGAGAGACATTCCACATGTAGTCCCGCCCATCGACGAGCCACTGCGCGAAAGCGGCCTGCCTGACAGGGGCAAAGCTGCCGAACCTGTTTTCTTGATGCCACGGAGTCTGGGCCAGCATCCCCGTGATGGATTCCTCAAACTGCTTGATGAGGTGCTGGTTACGCGCCCACAGCTTTACCTTGCGCTCTGAAGTCATCAGAGTCACGCGGTGGTGTTTCTCCTGGGCCTGGTCCGCGAGGTCCATCTCCTGCTCTGCGTCTTTGTCCTTGTTCTTGCGTTTCGATGCTATCTGCATGAGCTTGTTCTTCTTGGGGATGATCTGGAACTTGGGGTCCACCAGGTACACGTCGTAGATATTCATGTTCTCTGGTGACTCGACGCAGACGATGTAGCTCTGCCGGACGAGGAACCACTTCCTACTGTGCCTCTCGATCACAGCTCCTGGTGTAAGCACACGCCTGAAGTCGAGGCCCTTGGCTGACTGGATGTGCAGGAAGCACTCTTTGCCATGGTAGCTGCCCTCGGCCGCCAGCCTGACCCCAAGTGCCGAGAGCTCCAGGAACCGACACAGCCGGTTGCTGTCCGCTCGGAACATGAGCCACCGCACCATCTCTTGCAGGTACTTCTCCAGCATCTTGCGCTGCTTGTCGACATATCGCTTCCGCGACTGGAGGGCGTCCATGGTACTCGCGGCATAGTTGGGGTCCATTCCAGGACTTGCGGCTTCGCCCAGGTTAGTAGCGGACATGTGCTGGCGGCCCTGCACGGCGCTGCCTTGTCGTGATCTCCGTCTTGCGAAGATCCCACGGTCTTCAATATCAGTCGCGACGCCTTCAGCGGCCGTTTCCTCGGCGCCTGTGTCTTCGGCATCGCCCTGGATACTCGCTTGATCATCTTCCTCTTCGTCCTCGACTCCACGCAAGCCCCTGACGTAGGGAAAGACAGAGGTGGGAAATCTCGGCTGTCTTGGCCTTGAGCCCGGGACAGCCAGGGAGTATTTCTTGTTGTCGATGGCAAGCTTGTACTTCCAATGAAGGTTCAGGATCTCTCTGATGGTCCGCTTCACGGTCCAGCACATCCTACTCGGACCGCTGCCATACTCGAGATCGATGGTGAACAGCCAGTGCCTCTCGCTATCGCCTTCCACCGGAGCGCTGTCTGTTATCCTCAGACGCAGCTGCTCCAGCAGGACCGGAATCCTCTTGTTTCCGTGCTCGTCGCGCTGTATCATGCTGGCGAGCATGAGCACGGCGGGGGCACCGGCCCGGAGCTCGGCCATGAGCTCGGCGGACTTGAGGTAGTCGAAATGCTCCGGCTTCTTCTGGCGGAGGAGCTTGATAGCACCCTTCACCTGGCGCCACTTTTGAACGCCAAAGGTGGACGCACGGTCGGCACCGAAGAAGGGGCGGCGGGGAGTGGCGTCGCCCCCGTCTGAAACACCTCCTCCACCGCCAAACCTGGAGATGCGCCGGATGTGACCAACCCTCCTGCTAGGACCGCCGGGGCTTTCGGCCTCATCAGTTTCATGTGCCCTCCCGATCCAAGACGAGCCCCGCCGCCAACCGACTTGACGAGCAAAGTGGTCGCGTCCTTCGCCCTCAGACAGCACCCCGCGGTATTCGGTGGCGTCGGGCATCGTCGCCCGGCGCTGCAGCAACCTCAGTCTTCGAGAGCCGATCGGAGAATCTAGGTCGCCGTTCCCAGCCATGGAGGGGGTGTTTGGGCTGGTGTGCGACAGCATCTTGGGTCGCCTAATCCTCCGACGCTTTTTCTTGGTTCTTGGCTCTCCATCATCGGTGTTGGCCTCATCAGCCGTCTCCTCCACGTCGGCATCGCTACCCTCTTCGTTCAGGGCGCCTAGCACGCGCGGTGAGCGGGGGAGGATGGGCGAGCTCGGGGTCGAACTCGAACGCAGATGGCCGCGTATAATTCTCGCCTCCTCTTGGGGATCCAGGGGCGGATCCACCGTGGGACTCGGGTCGATGGCGATCACAGGCACGTTCGCCATTATGGCCGAGACGGAGATCAGCCAGCCAGCGAGTGTTCAGTGCGGGCTGTGCGGAGTACCCAGCGCAGCCTGACTTCTGTGGCTGAAAGTAAACCCCTGGGTCCCTCTAGTCACGATCGGTGGCCTGGTTGAGTCGGGGTCTGCTGGACGCGGGGAGGGTAGAGGCCGCAGATGCGCGAAGTTCGGACAACTACAGCAATTTTGCTTCTTTCGAGGACATGTTGTGTCCCGATAGGCGGTAGGACGGGTTTGGTGGCGTGGAAGACTCGGGCTATAGGTACCAGGTAGAGGGAGGTGGGAGAGGCGGTTCGAATCGGCCGAGCTCAAACTGTCGGAGTCAGGAGTCACAATGCGGTCCGTGGTGTTGCCAGCACACAGGAATCCGGCGCGCTTGCCAAAAAGGGAGGCTAGAAGCAGAGATAGGTTCTGGGTCAGCACAGAGGTGGTAGCTGGTGGCAGGAGACGGGCTCACAGCAAAAGCAGGGAAAGGCGATGCAGTGGTGCGAAAGCACATGTGCTCCGGACTCTCAACGGGCCTGTTCGCAAACACCGTATCCAATCCCAATAGCGGACCAGCAGAGACTAAAAATCAGGATGGGCTTCCCAGCAGAGAATTGAGAACAAGCACCCGCGCATTGCAACCAAGCTCGCTGGCTCTGGTGTGTGGTTCGCACCACCACAAGCCAGGGACTTGTCGAGGGTCAGGATAAGATTGGCCTCGACTCCTGCGGCTGGGCTCGGATGGGGCAGGGGCCAGGCCGCTCCCGAGGGTCCAAAAATTGGGGCCAATGATGTCAATCCACTGCCTGCTACATTGCTATGCACTCCAGCCTCCCACTGGGAGATCGACATGGACTTGTCGACGCATTCCACAACCGTCTCGCCGCCACGTCTCTTGATCTGCGGGCTAACACAAGATTGAAGCACCGGAGCTTGAGCCGGCCCTGGCGAGCTGTTGCTGCGAAATCAGCCATCTCGCATCGCCCAAAACGGACCCCCAGTAGCGTAGATGATATACATAGCGGCATCGACTCCCCATTTCCGAGACGGCGAAGCGATGTGAAGCACCGAATGAAAGGGGGAGTCGCGGATTTCCTAATTGAGACCTCCGATTCCAGTTCAGGGGATGGATTGCCTGACCCCGGCCTCTGCAGGGCGCTCCGTTCGCGTACCTTTTCAGCGGGCCCGGCTCTCATGGTGATGCTACACATCACAACAGCTCACTTGCACGAGCTCATGCTCGTTGTGCCCTGTGCTTATGCTATGACCCGAGCATGCCCGTGTGTTGTGCTGAGGGGTCAAGAGCTCAATCCAGAGCGGCGCAGCCTTACGCATCATAAATTGCACGAGATCGCTACATAGAGATGTCTCGAGCCGACTTTGAACCAGAACGGATTTGGGGAGACGATGCGGAGACGACCGTATTCGCCCAAGGATATGGGTTAGGCCACACGGCCATGTTCAGCTTCACCCTAGACCCGTCGAAGCCTCCGACAGCAATGTTGAACCGCATCTGTACTAGGTTCCACGCCTTGGAGACCAGTACGGAGGCGGGCACTTTTCCGAATGCTGATATAATGCGCCAGGCATTGTGGAAGGCTGTCGAAGTCGTCTGGCTGCAGTGTCTAGCAGGCCCCAGGATCGACGACGTTGGTGCTATGGTCGACTCTCACGACGACACGTGCTGGAAAGTCAATCACCCATCCTCTATTCCCGCGCTATCTCCAGTGTCTCAGCGATGCCGAAGGTGGCTTGGTTGCTCCTCGTATCTTTTCTTTTTGCTTCTCGCGCGGCTGCAAGCGGCAAGAAGCTAGATACCTAGGTAACAACATCGCGTGCCGTGACCCAGGAAAATCCCCCCTGTCACCAGAGATGGCCAAACCTACGGTAGACTTTGCGACACTCACCCGCGACGAGCAGTTGGGTGGAAAGTGCCACACGTGTCCGCTTCCGCGATGGCCCAACGGGCTTGCACGTCTTCAAGGGCATGGATTTCCGAGCCTACCTGACCCACTGCGACGACGAAGGCGACAAGAACGCTCGGCACATGATCGACTGCTAGCGCAACTCGGAGGCATTGTTCAATGTCGGGGGTGCCATCGAGAAGTCAAACAAGCCAGACCAAAGGATTCCGCCGGAGCTCAAGGTCAACCAACTTGTGTGGTGATATGACCGAGGCCGTGGCCCACACCCACCGGATTGCCAAGCCATATCACATGGATATCAAGCCGGGCAACGTTCTCATCGCCGATGGCGAGAAACGGCTCGTCCTCCGCGAGTTCGAACAGATCGATGCGCCGCCCACCACCGTAGACGGGACATGGGATGTGTCCGAGACTGCTGACAGCGATGCCTCTCGGCCGCGGTTGATCCACGAGAAGTACGCGGGCCCCGAACGCCACAACGGGGAGGAATACCTCCAGGTTGGCGACTCTAGCTGGCATTCCTGGAATGTGTTCCTGCTCTGAAACCACCAGAACACCCTGACCCTGGAGCTGGCCAAGGTCTTCAGCCTTGAGAGGACGATGTGGATGCTCCTCCGACAACCGGACATGGATTTTGAGGATGTCAAACACCCTACAGACCTTGTGACAGACTGGGAAGGCGTCGAGGACATGTCTGAGAGCTGGAAGCAGATGGTGGACCGCTGCCTATTCCCGGATCCCAACGAGGGACCAGACGTGGTGGAGGTGGTGCGTTTCTTCAAGCTGCAGGGCTTGCTTCAGGCGCGGACGTGCCGCGTCCCCACCAAAGTCCAAACCGCCTGCCTCCCTAGGTACCTACCTAGGTACCCAAGCGTCCCGCCGAGAGTCAGGCACGGTGGTTGTGGCATGGCAGGAGCCGGCGGTGGCTTTGGGTAAAAGGGGAGGACCGTCCTAAGGTAGCAAACGTGGCCGCTGCAGACATCAACGTGCGGTTTTGAAGCTGCACTCATTGCTGAAATGCTTTTAAGAAGTGGTAGGTAGTACTTGGGTAACGGCGGAGCAGCGGCCATAGGGTCGGTGTCGGCGTCCTCCCATTCCTGACCCCGTCGTCGCCATTGCCTCCGTTATCGACGGATGAAGCACGTGTCGTGGTGGCACTCCCGCCGGGTCCCATGAACATCCTTGTGGATTCCTACCACCCCGGTCTGAGCTCGCTGATACACTGTGCGCTCCTCTCGAACCTTTTACCCACTATCCCAATCGGGTTAGTCAGCATCGCGTCACCCAGCTCCAGCTCGCGTCACCCTTGCTCCCTATCATCAACCAAGCGACCTTTCGAGTCCCTCTAGGTAGTCATCGCAGCACCGAAAGAAACCTCCGGCACTGTTTGAGACGTGGGACGAATTGTTTTCTATTGCATGTGCACGTCGAGATGCCTAGGTGAGGATCTGCTTGCCCAGTGTTTGCATCTCAGAGCTGCGCCGCTAACTAGGCGTAGGGAAATAATTACCATTCAGGCCGGCCAGTGCGGCAACAGCAGTATGTTCCCCTCTCCCCATGGCCTCGGTCCCAGGGAGATGGATGTATCCCGTATGCGGGGCAGGCCGGCACGACTGACATTGGGAAACAAAAGTCGGGAGCCAGTTCTGGCAGCAGCTCTGCCAGGAGCACGGCATCAACCAGGACGGCAATCTCGAGGACTTTGCGACTGAGGGCGGTGACCGGAAGGATGTTTTCTACTACCAGAGTGACGACACGAGATACATCCCCCGGGCCATTCTGATCGACCTGGAACCCAGGGTCATCAACAGCATCCAAACCGGCTCTTACAAGAACATCTACAACCCCGAGAATTTCTATGTGGGCAAGAACGGTGTCGGTGCCGCCAACAACTGGGGAGATGGCTACCAAACGGGCGAGTCGGTCCACGAGGACATCATGGAGATGATCGATCGAGAAGCGGATGGTAGCGACTCCCTCGAGGTGCGTGCCATGATCCAGGAGCGATGTTCGCTCATAACATGACCTTACGGGACATTAACCAGCCGCGCCGCCGTCCAGGGCTTCATGATGCTACACTCCATCGCTGGAGGCACTGGGTCGGGTCTGGGCTCTTTCCTTCTTGAGAGACTCAACGACAGGTTCCCCAAGAAGATTATCCAGACGTATTCCGTCTTCCCTGACACCACCAACGCGGGAGACGTCGTTGTCCACCCTTACAACAGCATCCTTGCCATGAGGAGACTCACTCAGAACGCAGACTCGGTGGTCGTCCTGGACAACGGCGCACTGTCACACATTGCCGCTGACAGGCTACACGTCCAAGAGCCTTCCTTCCAGCAGACGAACCAGCTGGTACGTAGTCGCTACTCCCAGCCAACCTATATGGCCATCTTGCGTTCTCACACCGTGTTTTCTAGGTCTCGACCGTCATGTCGGCCAGCACAACAACACTGCGATACCCAGGGTACATGCACAACGACCTAGTCAGTATACTGGCGTCGTTGATCCCGACCCCCAGGTGTCACTTCCTCATGACATCCTACACGCCTTTTACTGGCGACCAAGTCGAGCAGGCCAAAACCGTTCGGAAAACAACGGTTCTCGACGTCATGCGGCGCCTACTGCAGCCCAAGAACCGCATGGTATCGACTGTTCCCGGCAAGAAGAGCTGCTATATCTCGATTCTCAATGTCATCCAGGGCGAGGTCGACCCCACTGATGTCCACAAGAGTCTCCTTCGCATCCGCGAGAGAAAACTGGCAACCTTCATCCCCTGGGGGCCAGCCAGCATTCAGGTCGCCCTCACAAAGAGGAGCCCGTATGTAGAAATGAGCCACCGCGTCAGTGGTCTCATGCTGGCAAACCACACCAGTATCGCAACGGTACTACAACCCCGCCCTTTTATCGACGGCAACGGTACCAAATCCGGCTGACACCCCCATTTCTCTACAGCTCTTCAAGAGGATCGTGAAGCAGTACGATGGCATGAGGAAGCGCAACGCATTCATGGAAGTATACAAAAAGACTGCGCCATTCTCGGAAAACCTGAACGAATTTGACGAGTCTAGGCAGGTAGTCACCGACTTGATTGCCGAGTATGAAGCAGCTGAGGACGCCACCTATTTGAGCGCAGAATCGGACCAGCCCACCTCGGCAGATGCAGACAAGAGGATGGGTTAGGAGAGGGCTATGGTTTATGTATTTCTGTGCTTCCATTTTCTCGGTCACTTGGACTCTTATTGATACGGTCTTGGTGTGACAGGGACGCGGGCTTGCAAGGATACCTGCGATACCTCAGTCGGGGCGTTGGTCTGGACATCCTCGGGGGTCTGCGGAAACGAATGATTATGACATGAATAGAATCATCCCAGCTGAGCGTTGCCCGCCCAGATCTACCACGTAATGAACCTCAACCACATCAATGTGATGTCATACCCCACCCGTTCTTGGCACCACATGTGTGCAAGCGCCTTGGTCGACTGCCCGACAGCGATCAAGATTGAGGCGAGAAAAGGTAATCCAGGCATCAGCCTGGACCTTTGTCTTCTTTTCTGGTGAAACTATCTCCTACGACCTGAGTCCCATAGGGTAGATCGTAGTCGATGCTTTTCGCCGGGAAAGCTCACCATGGCTGGTGGGCCCTTGGGCCGTCAGTTCGACGTCATCGAAGTCGATCTTGAGGATTCTCGGTTACGTCAACTCTGATGCCCCCGTGTATAAAAGACCTCTGGCTCACAGGGCTGGTGTTTTGGACATGGCTCCATCTTAACCACCTTCTCAGCGTTGCAAACAAAGCTCACTTGACCTTACATCATAACGAAGCAATAATGTAAGCAAGCCTCAGCATTCCCCTACTCCTGCCTCTGTAAACGATCAGCTACTCCAGGTACGAGCCATGCTTGGGCGGCAGTGAACCAGCTAACACTAGAATGCAGCAACATTCCAGATATTGTCACGAGCCAACGACACGACAACGCAAATATGGGCGAGTCCAAGCAAGATATCATCGACAGGCGTCAGGCCAACCTTCCCCTCCCAGAACAGCCGCCCGTTGCGTCAGACTGGCAGTCTGCAGATGCGAGGAACGTGAACGTCGGCTCAGGAAGGGTCCAATCCGATATCTCGGCCGGCGACGCAGCCTCGACCGGCCTCAGAGAGCCAGCAACCGTTTCGGCAGGGGCCGACATGAGTGGGATTGGCAGGCAAGGAAAAGACAACCTGAAGGAGAAGCCCAAAGATGCCCGGTCATCTTGAGGCCGAGGGGTCAAGCTATAGGAATGTTGCTGTGCTTGGAATCCTCGGGGGGATATATGATTGGTCCGTGCGTCTTTGCGGGTGTGTCAACGTGGCGCATACCCATCCGTGAAGGGTGAACTTCTGGAGATATCAGGGACATTCTAGACTGCTACCAAGCCTTTTAACATACCACAATAAAGTATTAGCCACCTTCTGAGATCTTTGTCCTCTTCATTTGGTAGAAACATGTTCGTTTGGTGATAAAGGGCCTTCTGCTGCCAAGACATTCGTGGATGTGTATAAGGAACGTATGAGTAAATAAAGACGTGATACGTTCAGCAATATACCTTGTTTCGGTTTCCAGTATCGAATTAATGCGCTTGACTTCTGCCAAATATTAGAAAATGGCGAAGCCTCACGCCTCTTGCACTAACCAACTTGTCGAGAACGCTCAAACCTGCGTAGCATCCCCAACCTACAGCACTAAGAGGGGTGCCAAAGGGCAGCTGCCACTTCGACCAAGAACTTGGCAAGCACTAAGAGGGGTCCCGGATGTACTACTGGTAAGTGACGGCTGTTTCTTTGGAGCTTGCGCACCTGTCCCAGTGGCGACAGGAAATATAGGGGCATTTGGATCATGTGGTAGTGGTGAACCCGTGGTGTCTCTAGTTCAGTTGGATGCCCGACTGCCTGGAGGAATACATCTTGAGGATTTATATATGATTGGAGTATCGAGAGGGCCGAGAGCAGGGGGTCCGTGGTGAGGTGCGCTGATGTCTGGCTCAATATATCTCTGCTTGTCGGGTACATACATATGCGGGGTTATGTGCTTCCCGTTCTGGCCCTGGCGTGGACGAACGGCAGGGTATCATGATGCCGTTTGCTATAGCCTCACCGCCTGAACCGAAGGTTGAAGCAGTAAAAGCCAGTGCACACTCCCCGCGGGAAGCTGTGTAAACAAAGGAATCAGAGGGTGTCTGCACTCTGCCCGTTGATTCCTGCACTGCTGCCTGATTTCAATATCAAGAAAGAACTACGTGTAACGCTCGTCTCCGGTACGTGTTGCGGCCCTAGTTTGTGCAAAAAGCCATGGGAAGTCCCTTTCCTGCCTAGGGCTTCTCTTTGGGCACCTGGAAAGCGTTGCCGGTCCCTCCGATCCCCTCGGAGGTCCACAGACTCTGCCAAAGAAGGTTCAGAGCCATATATCGGCCGAGCAACCCCGTGACTACGACCGGCAGGGTTGCTGCTGCTACTGGCGCACAGTCCCGTCTCTTTCTTGCCACAAAACAGATACCCCGCAGCAGATTTCTTCTCGACCTCCCTTTCTCTTCCTCAACACCACTCCACACCTCTTCCCACAGAGCAGCCCTTTCTTCAACCTCAACAAGAGCAAACGGAGATTCCAGACTGAACCAAGGCGCCTAGAGAGCTTCCTCGTTCTTTTAGCCGCTTTGCCAGAGTGTATCTCTGCTTTGGCAGGTTAGCCTATCTCTCTTTGATACCTTGCTCTGATATCTCAACCTGACGCATCACTTGCACGTCAGCGGCCCTGCCACGCACAGTCGGTAGCCACAGGCTATCAGCTTACCCATCAGACATTGAGGTGATAGCCATCTCGTACACGACGTCTGAGAAGTTCCTCAGTCAATATCAAGCAGAGTTGGTCATTCTCCATGCCTCACTCCTCCGCTACCCGCCTCGAACTCCGTGTCGAGTAACACACAGACATGCTACCTACCTAGAGGCACTAACCTAACCTGTGCTAGACGGCAGTATTCTGGTTGCTGCTCTGTCATCACCGTCCTCGACAGAGTCAAGTACCAATCAGACTGGAAGGTGTATCCTCAAGGCTGAGCATACCACTCACCAAGCCCGGTCGTGCCTTCCCAATCTGGACAATCGCCGCCTGCGTCCCGAACCTCACTCATTGGGCTTCACTTGGCCCGTGCCACTTGCCGCTTCCTATCTACCTTGAACCCCTCTACTCTCTCATCTGCTCAGCTCGCTCCAGGCCTCTCAAGTCTGGAAAGCACCTGTCATCTTCCCTCGTGATCGCCGAACCCGCATACCACCTGTACCAACCTTCCAGGTACCTACCTGCCCACCTCTAGCCTTGACTTCCGCCCGCTCCCCAAGGTCGGCAAGCGTAACCGCCGCCTGCCCAGTCGACCGATCGCAAGCGATGTTCCAGGAAGCTGGATTCTAGGTGGCAGATAGTTACAGTCTTGAAAGGCAGAGCTCTCTTCGTTTCGCACGAGGAATCTTTCAGGATGCCTCCCAATCCCAATCAGCATGATGCCATCGCCGAGGCGATGAAGGCAAGTAGTCTCCCACACACCCTCACGCCTCTGCGCACTGCAAAACGGCATAAGAGCAGTTTTGGGAGCCATAGCTTGCTGATTCCCAAACCCAAACTGCGGCACGAGGACCTGTGTGCTAACATCTACGCAACAGGAGGAGCTTGGCATAGGCCGTCTCCTGGATCTTCCAATGGAGGATGGTAGGAGGGATGGCCGCGGGCGCATGGTTTCGGGCCCTGTCGTCAACGTTGATGGGCCGCCTTTACAGTCGGCGTGGCAAAGTAAGTGAAACTATCGTCCACAAACTTGAATGTGTCATACTGATCAACTTGGCAGCTGCAATCGCGGATGGCAGCTTCGAAGACGATGACGCCGAGGCGGTTAAAGGCCTGGGCATCCTCGGGAATGGGAGGCTTCATGCCACCCGCGACCAGGATCATGGCAACCGTGGTAGTCAGCATCTAGCCGCGGGTCACCATTACACGAAGCGCCCATCTCCATACCCTCTAGGCCACGACCTCCAACAGCCTGTGCCCGGTTTCAACTTCGGACCGCTCTCATCTCAGGCGCCGGCTGCGGCGAGGCTCCAGCCACAGATCGCAAAGGGAAAACAGACGGACCAGAATGAACCGGCAACCAACGTAGCAAGCAAGAAGCGCCAGGGCCAGCAGCAAGATGTTGTGGCCCACGTTGACAAGAAGCGTCGGGCAACTAGCGTTGCGTCTTCGGGTCAGTCGATACCCAGCCCGAGGCAGCCCATCACAACTAGCTACCGCCTTCCTTCGCGGCCTCCTCCGGGACTGCTCTCACCCACCCCCAACAAAATTGTGGACATCTCCAAGAGGCTACCTGGAGTGGAGATATTGCACAAGTGTATGGCCCAGCTTCTAGCGCCTTCCCCTGAGCCCGCAACCGGAGCGCTCGTTACCTGGTGTCGCCCTCCACAGGCGGAGGAGCCAATGTTCCTTGTGCTTGTGGGCATGGATATTCGCCATCAGTATCCTATCACATTCTGGAAGTCCCAGTGGAGCGGCGGCCCGGAGACTGTCTTCATCACGCTCAAGGAGGGCTCGGGGGCGGAAGTTACGGTTGGGCTGATGTTCCCAGCCCAGCCAGCTGCCGACGCCTTTCTCCAGTTCTCTCGCAAGCTCATCGAGAAGGCCAAGAGTCAACCCAAGGCCACCTCACAGTCTCTCGAGCCTGTGGCCAGTAATGCCCCAGCGACTAGCGCGTCTCTGCCGCAGATCCAGATCACGCCGCCTTCGTCTGGTACATCGGAAGCCACCCAGCCATCTCAGGGCAGCCAAAACCTGCAGCCTCAAAAGAGGCTCATCGCCAACATCGTCGGCACTGCTCAAACCAGCCAACCCGCGTCGAACATCATTCGCAATGGACAGGTTGCGGCTGTCAACCAGATGGCCAAGCCAAAGGCAGAGGGTTCAGAGGTCAAGGTTCCAGTGGAGGAGGCATTCTGTCTAATCTCCGTCGACTCCGTTCCGGCCACAACGACACCCAAAGCCTGTGAAAAGAAGGCTTCGTATACGAACGAACTCTTTGGCCTGTCTATATGGGATGAGGACACTATGAAGACTGGACAGCAGCCCGGGAAGGATTGCTTCCCTGCTTCCCTGAATCCCCAGGCTGCTGTTGCCAGTCCCACTGCTGCTGAGAACGCGAGCGAAGTCTTTTCTCGATGCAAGACCATCATCTCACAGACCTCGGACATCCTCCGCCTGGATCCCATGGCTGGTATATCTGTTGATGAGGACATGCGCCGGCGACTTCTGGGCGAAATCGCCGAGAAGTTCAGTGGTATCAACAAGGGTCAAAAGGGCTATGTGGTCTCTATGCTGCTGCGCCTATTCGACACAGTCATGCGCCCTGACGGCCTGCGGTACTCCGCCGAAGAGCTTGTGAAGCTTCGGGCTGACGCGGCATTGCCTTCTGGGTGGGTGTGCCATAATGTGCGCGCCGACCTATCGTCCTGCGTCAGCGACGGTGATGATGAGGAGCCTGTGCAAGGTATTGCGGATCTCCGGAAGCAGCTCGACCGCGTGGCGGGCAAGCAAGCCGAGCTTGCCAAAGCACAGGCGCAGGCGGAGCTGCAGGCCGTGGCTACGGCGCAGCCAAGCACTCAGGATGAGCTAGCCCCCGCCAAGAGACCTGAGAACTCGCGTTGGGCCGCCATCGCTCCCAAGGGTGGTGCCTTGAACGATCTGGTCGCACTTGTTCCTCGCATCAACCCGGCCAGCCCGGAGACTCAGGTCAACAACATTCAGACCCCAGCAGTGCTCCCGCCACAGGGACTCGCGGTAGATTCGATGGATGCCCTCGACATGGTTTTCAGGGGTCTCTCCTTGGCAGCCGTTCCCTCGGCTCGCAACACTGTGGCGGAAACCCCGGGTAATGTTTTCAACAACAGCAACGGCAACGCCCCCACAAACAACAGCGGCACTTACCTGCTCCAAGGTGCCAGCATGATATAAGTTCCAAGCACTTGTCGCTGAGACGCGCTGTTCTTCCTTGGCGCACCGAAGCATCCTGGCACCAATGTCCGCTCGGACTACTTCTAATGGCGGCATGCTGGGTCACGCAGGAGGATTCTGCTCATTGTATAGGTAAATACAGAACGGCCTCGAGAGTGTGTCGGGGCTTTTGGAGCTAGTGTGCGATTTGTACGACTTTTCGGTTGACTGATGTAACTCGGGGGTGGTCAAGTGCCAGTTCAGTCCAGCGAGCCAAATTGTGGGAATATCAAAGTCTTTGAGAAGGAGTTCAGGTGGCACGGTATACGCGGCCCTCGGCACGACAACTGGAGGGTTACGCTACATCCTATCAGACAAATACGGGGTGATCTGGCGCGACTGTGCACCTTGATAGGTAGATAGATAACAGCCGTCCTGACGAGTACATAGATACCTAGGTAGTCAAGTTGGCGCGAGGAAAAGAAAGATAAAAAAGGAAGATCAAGGACATGGGGTTGTTGTTGGAGATAGTTAATAATACATCCTGGTCTTCCTTCAGCTGCCTGCTCATACACGGTCATTTCTGAAGAGCACCGACCCAGGCGACATCCTCCTCGCTGACTATGACCTCGTGCGGGGTCAGCCTGAGGCGCAGGATCTCGTGGCCGTTGGGGAGGTCGTTCTCGTCGGCGCGGCGCTCTGCCTCCTCCCTCGTGGCGCAGATGCCGGCGGCGACGTGGCGGGCGGCCAGGCGGCGGCGGGCGACGCCGGGGTCGACCTCAACGAACCAGCGCTCGTCGAGGAGGGCGGCGGCGGAGCGCCAGGGCTCCCGGTCCAGGAGCAGGTAGTTGCCCTCGAGCACGACGACGCGGTGGCCGGGGCGGACGGCGATGGAGTCTGGCGCGGGGTCCTTGACGGCGTGGTCGAAGGACGGCGCGAGCACGTCGGCGGCGGCGGCGGCGGCGGCAGAGTGGGGTGGTTGGGGGAGGAGGGGCGCGCGCAGGGCCTCGACCAGGGCCAGGAAGCCGGCGCCGTCAAAGGTGAACTCGGCGCCGCGCCGGGCGTGCGCCGCGGCCGGGTCCGGCATGGCCGACAGCTGGGCCCGCGTCAGGTGGAAGCCGTCCATGGGCACGAAGGCGGCCACCTCGGCGGCGGGGTGGCTGCCGGGGGAAGCCGCCGCTAATGCTGCTGCTGCTGCGGCGGCGGCGCGGGCATTGAGGGCGTGGGTAACGACTTGGGAGATGCTGGTTTTGCCTGTGTTTGCCACGCACGGAATGGGTTTTTGATTATTACATGTTTCTGTTGGAAGAGCTCACATGTGCTCGAGATGCTTCATGCACCGCTTGCTTGTTGGTGTAGTGTAAGTGTGGTTGTGCTTGCGCTGGGTCGGGCGTTGATGAGACGAGGCAGGATGACATGTGATGATATCCTGTAGGAAAAAAAGGGGTCACTCCTTGCCTGAGCCTGGAATCCCTGCAATGCCGATCACTGGCGCATCGAGAGCGATCAAAGTTAGCAATTGAAAAAAGAAATGCGGAGGACGGGTGGTGTGGACATGTTTAAAATGCCTATTTCTGCTCGTGAAACGAAACAAAAGACATCATCACTAACGATCATCGGCATGGGGGTTGGGCATACACAGTCGTGCGGTCTCGGGGGTCTCGAGGTATCTCTCCCAGGCCTTGTCCACCAGCCTGGCGACCTTGCTCTCCATGTTTTCCAGTCTGAGTGCGCTGGGCGATGACACTACCGATGAGAAAAGAAGATCCGAAGTAAAGAAGAAAAAAAAAACCAACGTCTAGCACAGTGATGGTATTGCCACAGGGCAAAGGCGAAAGTTGGTACAATTGCGATGAGAGATGCCCAGGTCGTGGCGGGCTGAGGTGTGGGGACGTGACGTCCAAGGGGACAAGAAATGATTTCTGGAGAATGACTTGAGAAATGCCCCGCAGTCTACTCGTCCAGCCAAGCTCATTGGAGATTTGTTTCGGAAAGCTTCAACCGCCTGCTTGGTTATCGTTACCGACCGGCCTAACCTACATTGGAATCTTCTGCAGCCGGTGCTCACAAGCTCCTCCTCCTCGTCCTCGTCGTCGCTGGCCATGGCGGACGACCTGTTCGCCATCGACCTCTCGGGCGATGAGTCCCAGAGCGAGGTGGCCAGGGACAAGAGGTCCAAGCAAGACAAGAACCACCAGACCGAGGAGGAGTTTCAGCAACTCAGGTCCGAGTACAGGCCAAAGATGGAGAATGGTGAGGTGAGTCTCGGCATGGCGGGAAAGAGGAGCGGGAGGCAAGGGCAGTTTGGATATACAGTGATGAGACGCAACCTGCTTTGCCACATCCCTCCCAATCAATTACGGTTGGTTTGCGGGATCAGACTTGACACCCGATATGAAGAGAGAAACGCCCGGAAACTGAAACTGCATGATGCAAAAAAAAAGCTATGGAAGACTATAAAACTGCCTCTCGGCCAGGCCGCAGTACCAAAGCTGGAGGCGCAGGACCTACTCCACGCCGCCGAGGAACTCTACTTCTATAGGCGGTACGCCGAGGCCGCCGACTTTGCGCGCGACGTGCTCGCGGGCGACCCGGGCGGCCTGGACCAGGACACCAAGGCCATGCTGGCGCTGTACCGGGCGAGGTGTCTGCAGAAGCAGAAGCGGAAGGAGAAGAAGGAGGAGAATGAGGTGGCGGCGGGGTCGTCGGCATCTCCAGGGTCCCCCGCGGGGTGATGGGCGCGCGAGGGGAAGGGGGATATGAAAACAAATCGTGACAACAAATCTCTCTGTTTTGCGGGATTATTCCATGTACCCCTCTTTCCCCGGCCCCCGCCTGCAATACCAACCAGAAAAAAAAGGGCTCGGCCAAGCGGCGGGGGAGATGGAACTGCCGCGGGCTTGCGTGCTTCACCACTAGACACATGGCCGCCGCCAGAGCATTGGGCAAAGAGGCACGCGCAAGGCGGCAAGTGGATATGGACCAGCACATAGCACATCATGCGCACACGCACCACCATTGGCAGAGGCAGCAGCCCAGCAGATGGCCAAAGAGGAGAGAGTCCAAGTTGTATTCTCTAATGTCCCTTCAACACTGGAGGGAAGAAAAAGAGATCTGGTCTAACAAGTCTATCGTTCTATCAAGAGAAAAGCAGTGCAGGTGGTGGGGTGTTGTTTTGATCCCTCGGCTGTGTGGAGAGGAGCCAGAGGCAGGAAACACAGCTCTCTGGAGAGAGGGAGGCAGAGCCGAGAACGCCGCTGAGCCGCCGAATTGGTGGGATTGAGGGAAATGTAACCGCACTTTCTAAACCGGGGTATTTCCGAAAACGCCAGTAAATCCAAAAAAAAAAAAAGAAGAAGAACAACAATTACAGGTCCCAGGGGAGTTGGAACGACAAGATCTGCTTGTCGTCTTGGGAGGGAGGGAGAGGATGAGAGAGTCTCGACAGAGAAGAGAATGGAAGCCAAACGCGCAAACGATATATGTGCCCAATAACTTTTAGGTAACCTTTGTCCCCCTTTTTTTTTACCCCGCAAGGATGTTGTAAAACAGGCGCGCCGGCAAATGCTGCAGAAGAGAAGTCGAGAGTGGTGGAGAGAGTTTTGGTCGCGAGATGCGAAGACGTAAAAAGAAGGCAAATCGTCCGTCATGGAAGCCCCGGCCCGTTGCAGCCCAACAAGGGCCGCACGCAAACCAGGTGGCGGCTGGTTATTGGGGCATGGTGACCTGGCGGGCCCTCTCCTCGGCGAAGGCGCGCCTGCTCATGGCCAGGACGCACTCGAAGCCCTCGCGGCCCTTGACGGCGTTCTCGCGGAAGCGCGTGACGAGGGCGTCCTCGATGGAGTTGCGGATGCGCTGCCAGCCGCCGCACAGGGCCGTGATCTTTGCGTCCTGGACGAACTGGGTCTGGTGGTCGTTGAGGGGCTTGTATACGACCGTCTCCTGGACGTTGATCAGGTTGGACCACGTCAGGTTCTGCGACACCATGGTGACGGTGCGGCTGGTCGGGTCGACGTACGAGACCTCGAAGACGTAATTGTCGCTGTTGGAGGCGCCGAGGAGCTTCCTGACCCACTCCGGGGCGCTCTGTCGGCATGTGATGAGCCGCTCCGTGCGCAGCATGCCCGAGGCCTCGTCGATGCTCCGCGACAGCGTGTCAACGGCGATGACGTGTGTCGACTTGTCGTTCCATGGGCAGTACTTGAGCCAGTTGGCCGTCGACACCTCCTCCCAGGAGTAGTTGAACGTCTCGGTGTTGGAGAAGACCTTCATTTTTGGGGGGGCGCGTTCGTGCGTAGTTTTTTTTCTTCGGGTCGTGCGGGATCGCTCGCAGCAGTCGAAGGATTAAGAGAGACCGAGAGGGTTGTCGGCCTCTCGGATCAGCGGAGGGCGTAGGCAGACAAGGAGGCGTCGCGTGCGCTGCTGCTTGCTGATTGAAATCGGTCCGGGTTGTCGGACCTTCGTGCGGGAATTGCGGATCGCTTTTTGCAATCTGAGTGAGGGGATGGGTTCTTGTCGCCACCACAAGCCGGAAAGAAAAGGAACGGGAAAAGAGCGTGTCAGGGCGACAAGGGCAGATAGCCAAGTAACCGGTAACAAAAAAACGAAGCAGTCTCGAGTGAAACAAACAATCCAACGAAGCACCGCTGCACGACGCTGCTCAGTGCTATAAAAGATGGATATTTGCTGGATGACTCTCCGAAAAGAGTTCCCTCGGGCTTGGTTTAAATTTTCTGCCCTTCGCCTTGCAGCCCATGGATAAGCAGAAAGTCAGTGCTCTTTAGTGGTCCCTGGAACGACCGGGGTCTTATCGGAGACCCACGGAACAATGCGCGGACAGTGGTTGGATGGGCCCCGGCCGCTTTTGAATTCTGCGCCGGCAGTTGGCTGCTGATTTTCGCCCAGAACGGACTAGCGCCGAACTGGCAAGAGAATACCTCGGGATCGAAGCTTCGCACCGCTTGCCCTCTTTTTGTTTCAGTGGCAAAACCTAGCTGGTCCGTACGCCCGCGGGCACCTACACAGTAACCCCCCGGGGACACAGCACACCCCGCCACACCCGTAATAGCATGTGTGCGTATGTGGTGTGTGTGTTCATGACATGCAGCCTTTGGTCAATGCAGGGGAGTTCGATGCGCCCGCCTGTGATCTTGACCAAGGCGGTGACGAATCTCCACGTCAGTCGGTCCTGCGTTCGACCGATTCTTTTTTTACACCGCGCAACCACAAAGCACTTAAAGTGATCCACCGAGGGGAAAAGAGGAGGAGCAGCAGGCATTCCATCTCTAGAGTCATGGAAAGGAACAGGACGAAGAAACCCTTAATCGCTGAGGCCTAGACTTGGGGTTCCATTTAGTAACGTGGTAGGCATCGCAACCACGTATCAGTGAGGGGTCCGAATCCCGAGTCACCACCACCGCATGAACACCCAAAGTTGCACAAGCCTGAAGTACCTATTTTCATGTCAGGGCAACAACGGTCGCGGTCCGGCGAACCTGAGATGCCCCTAATAACCGAAGCCAATCTACAACGACGGTCGCGCATTAGGCCCCTTTGCATAACACCTCCACCCATCCTTTTTCCAGAGGCGGTGAATGAATGTGCCAGCGATGCCACGATGCGACATTGAAAGCCTGGTTTCTGGAAATCACTATCAAAGTTCCACCCATTCGATAGCCATCATCCTTACTTAATAGTCGTCTCCCCGGCTGATAACCTCCTTGACCGTTGGCCTGAGGAGAATGGTCTGGCAGTCAGAGTATGAGTCGTTAGTAGGTGGGCGCCCCTCACATCAGTTCCTAGATCACCCTTCTCCCATGCAACCTACATGCTCATATTGGGCCGTGTAGGAACCCTTCTTGTCTACGAGTGGCGGGTATGCCTCAACAATACCGTTCGAGACAAGGTTGTTGAGCTAGAAAAACAGCGCCAAGAAAACCCGCATGTCAGTCGCAAGCCAGCGCAACCAAGGCAAGCTCTAGCTTCGCGCTCGAATTGGGGTCATTTGAGCCAAAAGTCCAGGTAGGAATCAGCCACTTACACCGAGAAGGTACTTGTCCTGGCCTAAGCGGTCAATGTAGCGACGGCAGAAGGGCAGCGTCCCAAAGTTCTTGTTGATGATGTTCAGCACGTTCTTAGCCGAGGTCAGGCGCAGGGCGACGTTGGGCGCATCGGCGCGCTTGGCATAGTGCGAAACCTCGCCCTCGTCGCGCACGTAGCCGTTGCCGGTGCTGCCAAAGGTCTCGATGGCGTAGATCTCGCCCTCCTCCATCTTGGTCTGGTCGGCCGTCTTGACGATGGGCACGCTCTTGCCGCCGTGGATGCTGAAGCGCTCGATGGTGTGGCCGTTGAGGTTCCGGATCGACTTGACGGGGAAGGTCTCGCCGTCGATCTCGACCTCGTAGCTCTCCATCGTCTCCTGAATGGCCTCGCCGATCTCGCCCAGCCGCGCGTCGATGCCCGCCTCGCGCACGCCCGTGTTGGTCGCGTCCTTGACGGCCGCCAGCAGTTGGTCGTAGCGCGGGTTCCAGGCCAGCGTGAAGGCGCTGTCGACGATGCGCCCGCCCACGTGCACGCCAATGTCCACCTTGAGTACGTCGTCCTGCTGCAGCACCATCTTGTTGCCCGCGTTGGGCGTGTAGTGCGCCGCGCAGTTGTTGATGCTCAGCCCCGTCGGGAAGCCCATGCCCGCCACCATGGCGTCGCCCTCGTCGAGCCCCTGGTGCCCGACCAGCGCCCGGACCGCGTCCTCGACGTTGTTGGCGATCTCGGTCAGCGACTGCCCGGGCTTGATGCTCTTCTGCGCCCACTTGCGCGCTTGCCGGTGCGCCTCGGCCCCCTGCCGGTAGTCGCTGAGCAGCTCGCTGTTGAGGTTGTCCAGGTGCCGCTTCTCCTCGCTCGTGGTGCGGTACCGGTTCTCGTTCACGTACTCCACCTCCTCGCCCTTGGGGTACTCCTTGCCGGCGAACAGCTGCGAGATGGGGACCCTTGGCGGCTCCGTCTGGGCCGACGCGCCCTTCTTCTTCTTCTTGCGCGGCTTTCTCTTCTTCTTCTTGGCCGCTCCTGCGGCGGGCGCGGCGGCGCCGGCATCGTCGCCCTCCCCGTCATCGTCGGAACCGTCGCTGTCGTTCTCCTCTCCGTTGGCGGGCGGTTTGCTTGGCGCGGCCTCGCCGTTGCTCTTGGCTGCGTCCTTGACTGGCAGAAGACGGCGTCCGTTAGGCGACCAGGTCAGGGGGGGCTTAGAGGCAGACGCGCAAGGTCAATCCGACTTACCCTGGAGCTTTGCCAGCTCTTCAGCTGGTGCTTGGTCGGCCATTTTTGGCGAAATCGGCTATACGCCTTCTACAGTGGGTCGCGTAAAGAAGCTGTAAAAGCGCCCTCGTCCCGCGACGCTTTTAAACCCCGCCTTCGGCCTTGCCAATTTTGGGGGCAGCACGGGCGCCAAAAGGCGCGGGGAATGACATCTTGTGGCGGCACTGCATGCATGCGGCGCAGGGGGTTAGATTACCCCAGCCACACATCCTCTAGCCACGCATCCCTGCAATTTGATTTCGTCACCAGCGACCGACGGCCAGTCACGGCAAGCCCGAGGATCGGAATTGCCCGGCCGAGGAGCTCAATCGCCTCCAACCTCCTTTTTCCTCCCAAACGACACACCTGCTCACCTGGTCCCAGACGGAATCCATGCCCACGTCTGGCATCAATTCGGGATGAGGAATGCCCCTCCGTCATGTCCCACGCCTTGCGGCATGTCCCCCAGCTCGCCCAACCGGCCGTGCCTCATTCCTTCACCTGCCCCCGCCGCAGCACCGCCCGTTTCACTGCTCGTGTGCGCGCAGGAACGCCGATGATGATGGCGGCCGCAACCACTACGAGATCCTGAACGTCCGACCGCACGCCTCCGCGGCCGAGATCAAAAAGTAGGCCAACCCTTGCGTCCGTCAATGGGCCCGCCAAGCCAGGTATATTGGTTTGGAGCAGCAGCAGCAGCAGCAGCAATCAATTAGCTAACGCGCATGCACCACCCCCCTCTCATCGCCGCCCAGGTCCTTCTACGCCCTCTCAAAGACTCACCACCCGGACCACAACCCCTCGGACCCGGCAGCCCCCGAGCGCTTCATGCGCATCTCGGCCGCATACACGGTGCTGTCGTCGCCCGACAAGCGCGCCGCCTACGACCGCGACGTCATGCACGCCAGGCACCACCGCCACCACCACCACCCCGCGCCCCACAGGGGCTCCTACAGCTCCACGGGGCCGGCCGGCGGGCGCCCGGCCTCGGGGCTGAGCCGTCGCCGGAGCACCTTCACCGGCCCGCCTCCTTCCTTCTACCGCAGCGGTGGCTGGGGCGTCCACGGTGCCAAGCGCTCCGCCGCCCACGAGGAGAGTACTGGAGGCGGCGGTGGGAGCAGCAGCAGCGACATGGGAGGCATGGGCCCGTCCCATGGGCACTGGAACCAGGAGGTGCCGCATTTCGACGCAGACTCGCACGAGCGCACGCACCGGCGCATGGAGCGCAGACGGCGGGCCGCCGCTCCGGACGAGTTCCGGCCTAGCTTCACCTCGGAGCCAGGTGTCATGGCCAGCTTCTTCATCGTTTCTGCCGCCTTGCTCGGCGCCCTCCTGACACCCGTGGTCATCTTTGCAAAATGGGACCAAAAGAAAGTGCGTGGACAGCAGGACCGAAAGGTAAAACCTGCAGCGCCAACGTAGAGAAGACAACAGCCCGCCTAGTTTGACGCGGCAGGCAATAATACCAGGCGCCATCAACGAATCTCGGATCGCGGGAACCAAAACGTCGGTCTAGTCTACCTACTATACACACCAGAGCCGCTTCCCATGCAGATGCACCGGACATGTTTTCAACTGAAAACAGCAGTGTTGGTACAAACGCTTTTCCCTACCGACCGAAGAAAGATAGCTACCTCCTGTCTATATGAGAAAAGGTCTCCGTAGTCCAACCAGGAACTTCGAGGGAGGTCCAGGAAACGTGATTTACCCGGGTCCATAGGATGCGATTTTTTTAAGACTCGAAGGTGAAGCTGGTGCCGACCTTGTGGGTGGCCTGGTCCAGCTTCTGGGTATCAAAGGAAGCACCGACGCCGAGGGTAACGCCGGGACGGAGGAGGACGTTGTAGGCGACGGCGGCGACACCGCGGTCGTTGATCTTGCCCTGTTCAATGAGTCAGTACAGCCGATGCTACAGTAGCTCCATCGCGCATTGAAGCATAAGGAAGAGAAGTGGGTAGGTGGGGTAGCATCAAGAAGGCTCAGGGGAAGAGGAGAGATTCAGGTGCCGACATGCAGGACTTGCGACACGTCGGCGAGACAACATACCTTGACGAACGAGACGGGGTCCAGGCGGTACTTGCTGGCAACCTCAAGGCCGACGCTGTTGCCAGCCTTGGAGTTCCAGGTGGCCTTGGCACCGGCCTCGACCTGAGAGTTGACCTTGTGGTAGTAGCTGGCGGCGAAGACGCTGAGGTTGTCAATACCAGTCACGGCGGCAGTGTACTTGGGGGCAGTGAAGCCAACAGCGGCGCTGTAGGTGGTGATGGCGGCCTTCTGGACGTCGTAGCCGGCGGCGGCACCGGCGAGGAAGCCCTCGTGGCCGACAACGGCGTCGATGTTGGCGGTGGGGCCCTTCAGCAGGTCGAAGAAGGCGCGGCCGTGGAAGTTGGACTGCTTGAAGTGCACGTTGAACTTGGCGCCGGTGGCCTGCTTGGCGGGCAGGAAGGAGAAGACACCCTCGGTCTTCAGGCCCTTGGCGAGGGCATCGGCAAGCTCGAGCTTGGACTCGAGGGCGTTCGCGGTGTTCCACGTCTGCGTGACGGTCAGGCCTGTCCGTTGGTACCACATGATTAGCGAAGGCTCCATTTGTTGGCAAAGCACCAGCGCGAACTCGACAGGCAACCCATTCTGGCGTCCGCCAATCTTGGAGATGGCGAGCTTTCGCCAGAAGGGGTTTGGGTGCCGAGTTCGTCTTTATCCCTCGGCTGTGCCGCTGATGGTTCTGGGTTTCGCTTTGGTTCTAGTTTGCATGGTGTTGGTGGTGGCTATTGTCTGTACCGAGAGACTTGTCCGAGTATTTGCCCTCCAGCTGTTGATGCACCGAACATTGGCCACATTAGCGCGCTGCCCCGATGCCCGTCTCCCGTCCTTCGCGATGCCCGCCCGGATCGGCAGGGCTGGTGGTGGGGGAGTCCTGCAAAACTTACCGCTCCGCTGGTCGCGCGGTCGTGAGTGCTCTTGCCAGTGACCTTGAAATCGACATTGTTGGGGGTCTTGTTCTTGACCTCGATGGTGCCCGAGGACAGGTGGTAGAAGTCCTTGTTGAGCAGCTAGACGTGGGGGAGAGGAAGCAAGAGAGGCGGTTGGTGAGCTTTGATCCTGCATCTCAGAGAGGGGCTCGCTGGCCGGGGTTTGCGCCCGCAATCTGGCCCTGGCGCTAGGCCTTGGGGGAGGGAGAGCTCTCGGGGGCAACTGCGCAGCAAAAATTCTGCCCTGCAGCCCTACTCACGTCGTTGGCCGACTTGGCGATATCCGCGAACGCAGGAACCGACATCTTGGAAGCTGGCTGTGTGTGGACTGGTGGACGGCGTGGGAGGCGAGGGTTGGCGATTGGTATGGGGAGTGTGAAAGGGAAAGAAAGGACGGCTGCGCGCTGCGGGAAACCTGTGGTCCTGAAATCGTTGGGCGGTTTGATGGAGACGAGGCCGGGGATGTGGATGGAGTCACGGCGTGCCGTGGCAGTCGTCTAGTCGGGCTGGCCAAAGTGTGGATGCGCTGCCCCGGCCAGGGCAAAGCAGAGGCGACCCAAATTCGAATTGACTTGGGGGAAATTTTCAAGAGCTTCGATTGGCCACTGCTCAGCAGAACCCGGCTTCGTCCGCCTGCCGCCCAGGTTGGCCCATGCATCCTCGCCCTGCTGCGGCCTTCGGATGTGTCCAATTTCCCCACGTGGTGTTGGCCAGGCCATGGCCAATCTGGGCGAGCTCAAACACGCGACCAAAATGCAACCGAAGAGCCCCTTGGGAAGCGGACAAGCAACAGAGAGTAAGAAGAGAGGAAATAAAGGCGTAACAACACCGCGGTCCTTCAATCTCTCATGCAGCAACACACCCCGTAATCTACTCACCTTCTCAGTCAAAGGCAACGTTAGATATACTTGGACTTATCGAGAGGTATCCAAATTTCTCTTTTATTCTATCCTGGCCATCCATTTGCAGCCATACCACCCAATAAGGTACTCCAGATATAGAAGCCATGCCAAACACATACGACGTCGCCGACTCCTTACTCCGTAACATGGTCATACTTGTCGGCATGGACCGCGATGGCTCTGCCACTAGGGTCCGTCTGCTTGGACCAGGTCGGCGTCCATCGCATCACGGTTGAAGCACAGGACGGCGGGAAGTGCTCGTCAAACATGCACCGGTACCAGTAACTGTCACATTGCGCGTCAGCAGGAGTCATCCATCAGAGGCATCACCAGAGATCAACACTTACGCCTCCTTGGTGTCTGGGATGTCGTCGCCCCACTCCGGCTTGGGGTTCTTCATCATCTCGTCGGTGACTTGGAGTTCGGCGTTGTCCTTGAGCGCATCGATCCATCCGTATCCGACGCCGTCCGAGAACTGCTCCTTCTGCCTCCAGAGGATCTTGTCTGGCAGGTACGGCTGCGCGCTGGGGTCGTCCGACGTGTCGAACGCCTTGCGGAGGATGTACTTCTCCAACTTCTCCTTGGTGATCATCTTCTCCTGGGGGTCAATGTCCATGGCCACCTCGAGGAACTATGGAAGCCGATTCGGGTTAGTGCGATCCGAGCAGTTTTCAGCATTGCGGTCATTCTCGACCTCCGAAAGAGTGGTCGTCTTGTACCTGCTTGTCCAGGAAGGGAACACGGGCCTCCAGACCCCAGGCCGACGTCGACTTGTTGGCACGCAGGCAATCGGCATAGTGCAGGTTCTTCACACGGCGAACCGTCTCTGCGTGGAACTCATCCCTGTTGGGCGCGTTGTGGAAGTAGAGATAACCGCCAAAGATCTCGTCGCTTCCCTCGCCACTCAGCACCATCTTGATGCCCATGGCCTTGATCTTGCGCGAGAGGAGGTACATTGGGGTCGACGCCCGGATGGTAGTTACATCGTATGACTCGAGGTGGTAGATGACGTCCGAAAGGGCGTTGAGGCCATCCTCGATGGTAAAGGTCATGACGTGGTGCTTGGTGCCCAGAAACTTGGCAACCTCGAGGGCGGCAACGTTGTCGGGCGAACCTGGGAGTCCAATAGAGAAGGAGTTGAGCTGCGGCAGGTACGTCACCGTGCTCAGCTTGTTCTCGTCGTCAATGCCCACGAGGCCCTCTCCCTTGTCCTGGTCCTCCTCAACAGGGGGCTCGGCACCCCCGTTGAGCTCAACAGCCAGTTGTTTCTGGCGCAACATCTCACGCTGGGCGATCGACGCGACCAAGCTGGAATCGAGGCCGCCAGAGAGGAGCACACCGTATGGGACTTCGGCCATGAGCCGTTTCCTGACGGACCGCTCAAGCGACTCGCGGAGCATTTTCAGGTCCAGAGGTGCGGTGGGGACCTTGGCGTCATCCCACCACGACGGCTGGAAGTAGCGTGTCCTCTCGTTGGTCTGGCTGTCGAAGATGTGGCCGGGCGGGAAGGATTCGATCTTGTCGCAAACCGGATGCAGGCACTTCAGCTCCGAGCCGAAGTACGTCGCCCCGGGTTCCTTGGACGACCAGCCCTGGTAGAAGGTCGTGATTCCGATAGGATCGCGTGCAGCGATAGTGCGGTCGAGCTTCTTGTCGTACAGCACAAACGAGAACATGCCGTCGAGGAACTTGGGCGCATCGATGCCGTGTTCCATGTACTAGCGCCGTTGTACGTGAGCACCCGTTCGGCTCGAGGTCTCCTCCCACACGCCAACGACGACCGCAGATGCAGCCACGCCTTCATCGGACTCACCAGAGGGATGATCACTTCACAGTCGGAGGTTGTCTTGAAGTGGTAGGGAGTCTTCAGGTTTTTGCGGAGAAGACGGTGGTTGTAGATCTCGCCGTTGACGGCGAGGATGATGCTGTCATCGGCGTTGGTGAGCGGCTGGGCCCCGCTCTCTGTTTCCGCGTAAGTGCATGGACACACGCATTTGCGCCGCCTTGACGCCGCAGACTAGACCAAGCTTGACATACCAACACCGACGATGCTGAGGCGCTCATGGCATAGAACTGTCGAAAGGCACGCGCCGAGTTAGCACGCGTGCACTGGCGAGGCTTCCCTGCCCTCTCCCTATTCCTGCATATCCTGGGATCCTTACTCGTCTTGTTCGACGTAACACTTCCGCCTGCGCAAGGGAGCGGTCACGCGAGTTAGCAAACAGGGATATCTTGGCGAGTTATCTCCAGTGACTCAGATTACGCGCTCACTCCAATCGGGGCCCCGATGCCGGATACTGCAGAGATAACAGCTCGATTGGTCAGTCCGGCTAGCCCTCTTTCTCCCCCTGTCGCCGTCTCCTGCGGTGCCTGCGAAGACCTCCTTGTCCCGCCTGGGCCCGAGCCGGGAGCAAAGGGTGCGGGGAGAACGAACGCTTTTGCGAGCCGAAGCGCGGTCGGCTTGAACTTTTGCACGTCGGGGTGACTGCGCAAGACGTGTTAGTGATCTCGGCGTACCAATTGACCAATTCCAATGACATGTGCTCGCCGCCGTGGGGTTCGTCTGCCGTAGCGGGGCAAAGCAAAGGGGCTCGAGCCTGCTCAGTGAGCCGAGACAAGCTTCCGCTGTAAGTGAGCCCCTCCAGCGTAGCACCACATGGATAGGGATTCTCGATATGATCGGCGCACACTCGGGGCCCCAAGAGCTGAAAGCGAGGGGGGATATGTGCGCACAAAATCGGCGGGGGCCGGTCCAAGAAAAAAACGAGGCGCGGGTCGAGAACACTCACCAGTGACAGGCGAAGATGCCACACATGGTGCAGAGACGACTTATAAATGCGCCCTTTGTTTGTATATGATTCAGGGGAAGCGTGGGCAGGACACAGATCTCGACAGGGCGTTACCAATGGATTGGGGGCTCAGAAGGTGAGCAATGGCGGAGGGTATGGTTCGAGTGGGAATGGAAGACGAGGAAAGCAAAGACAGAAAGAGTGACCGTCTGTTCAGGGGGCGATATGGACGTTTTGTGGTGCCCGTATCTGGAAGAGTCATCGGCTCTTGATACACTTTTAGGCCGAGCTGCCCCAAGACGGCAGGGGATTTTTTCCCCCTCCGTTGCCAGCCGCAGAGATCAGGGCACTCAGTCGCCCCTGGCCGATGTCGGTCCCCGCGTCAATTGGCTCAGACGCCTGCGCGGGCGCGGATGGGTCTCTGCAAATATGACCACATTACCTAAATCGGCCACATACAAATTAACCCCCGCGGAGGACTGATAAGCCTCGTTTGCGACCACCCTAAGAGGTACATAGCGGAGATCTCTTTATATAACCGTTGGAATGCTAGTTTTCACCGCCGGTTCATTATCATTTCTAGTACTGATAAGCTAGAAAGTGCCAACATAGAGGCTGGAAGATACCGGGCTGGCCCGAGTGGAAGAGCCTTTTATCCGCTTCTCAATAGCAAGGTTATCGACTGCCAACTCGTTGGATGCCTTTAAATCCACCAGTACGTCACATTTTGCCGCGATCCGCGTATGCTTTCATAAAAATGATACACATGCCGTATTTCGGCACCCATACTCTCCCCTGTGTGGGAGCATCCCTTTTTGGTGTGTAAATCCCACGCGCCACAACTAGCTCAAAACAAGCCAACAAACCGCTTAGCACGGAATTCCATCTCATCGCAGTATAGACTGCGGGGTTACAGTGGGGGTTGCTGCAATGGACCCAATAGCATCAAATGAGACTACTTCCAGTTCGTAATTATATGACTACGCAGTAGCCGATGAGAGGCGGTGGTTAGAAGAATGTTAACTAGAAGATCGGTTCGAGTGAATATCGTGAGCAGTTATCCAGTGGCGCGCAGCGGGTCCAAGACCAAAAAGAGTAAGCAGAAGTGACTGTTGCCCTCCTAAACGCCAGAACATTAAACGCCGCATCTGGTATTCCGAGAACGCCGAGAATTCCATACCCAGTCGGGACAGCTCCCGTCTTTCTTTAGCCGTCTCGAGTCGCAAGTCGACGATTAGGCAAGATGGGGCATGTGTCACTCCCTAAAAGCACCGTGACGGGCAGTCCCGCTCCGTCCGCTCAAGGGGCCGGGTTCTCGCGCACAACCCGCTTGACCCTCTTCTCGTACTCGACGCGGTCTTTCTTGAAGAGGTTGTATGCTTCAGCCTGGGCTGGAGACTCGGGGTTGGGGTCGTTCAGCAGATCCTGCACACCGAGGAGGATCTGCTTGATCGTGATAGACGGCTTCCAGGCCTCCTCCTCGTTGAGGATCGAAAGGCAGACGGTTCCTGACGGGTAAACATTCGGGTGGAAGAGCGGAGGGACAAATTTGCCTGTAACGTCCAAGTCGGTCAGGGAGCTGGTCGAGAGATACAGCTACATGGGGTCTAAAGATGCCAACTGACACAGATTGTCGGGGAACTTACACTTTGGGGGCTTTGTAGGGTACTCTAAAAGTAATGTGGCGGTAGCAATGTGATGGTATTGACAGTTAGTGGTCACGTATCAACGGCGTACAAGGGCAGTGAAGCACTCACCTTCGGGAAACGCCATGGTCAGTTTGAAGAGACCGCCCTCCCAGATGGTCTTCTCCTTGCCAGGAATTCCGCACTCCCACAGCTTAAGATCGAGTACGCCGGTCGAGTTGCGTTGCGGCCGCGCATAAAAGCCGAACGGGTGGTCCTTCCGCCATTGTTTGCTGACGTGACGTCAAATCCCCATGTTAGCACGCCGTGCACTGATCGGCTGGGAAGGCCACTAACCGCTCCTCCTGCAGTCGGTTCTGGCAGAGAGACATGGTTGCGGGTTTCGGCGCAGATCTTGAGCGCGCGGTGGTTGGACGGTTCGAGGTTTCGAGATGGAGGTCTGGACGAGATCTGGCTGTGGCGCGGGGCAGAGCTTCACAGGCTAGGTTGCACAACAAGGGCGTTGTCGCGCTCGAGGTTCGGAGCGGAGCCGGCCCGGAGCGGGATGAAGGCTGATCGCGGTGACGGTGCGGTAGTGATGTTGAGCGGTTGAATGACGAGAGCTGCACGGAACTTCCCAGCCACATCGATGAAGAAGTGGTGGGCGGAGGGTTCTGTGCAGATGCTCGGTGGCTATCACGAACAAACCTGTCGATGTGGATTTGTGCGGGAGCCAGCCCAAGGCGTCGTCGCAGGTGCAGTCAATTGGTTTGCAGTCAGCGCTGCAAAACCCTTTTTGACCAATGACATGCTTATGCCAAAGCGGCTCGGCCCACTTATTTTTTTTATCCCAGACACCACCCGCGTCCACCTCCGTCCACCTTCCCACCCCACTGTGACCTTGCTCTCCGTGGAGCGAAGACGGGGTATGCGGGGCACAGGACGGAGAGGCTGGGCGCATGCTAATGGATACCATCACCGAGAACCGAGGGACAGCGTAGTAAACCCCATCGAAGCCGGCGTGCATGTAAAAGACGGTCCTTGCGCTTTGTTATCTACCTCGCCCTATCCACTCACGGCTTGCAGCTCTGAGTTGGTATTCTTTCGTGTCGGCCATTGGCGCAAAGATTTGACACTGTCCTAAATTCCATCTTATTTTGGTTGCAGTTGTCAGCGCTGCGGTAACGGAAGCTCAAACAACACCCATCCCAGCTCACAAGCGCCCCGCTGTCGGCGTCGTCGCTGCTTTGATCGACATCACTCCATCCAGGACATTCTCAACTCCCGTCCTTGCCAGCAGGATCTCAGACACGGGTACACGCACCGAGCCACCAGCTTGACTGGTGATCGCCGCAGACAACTCCCGCAAACAGCACTGTCCTTGGCGCATGCTGCATAACATTCTGCGGGGTGTCTTTGCGCATCTTGGAAAGCCGCCTCTCATTGTGCGCCGGGCTTCTTCTCGTTCCACCGTTATCTTGGAAGCGTGGCGGGATTTCTAGCTTAGTGGTGGCCATGGCAGACCAGCTCGACCCTGTTGTCGCCCCTGAGAAGGAGGGCGCTGCTGAAACCACAACTGCCCCTGCCGAGCCTGCAGCTTTGTCTGTCGCGGCTGAAGATTCCAAGCCTCAGGAGACTGCAGATGTTGCGCCCGTCACTGCTGCAATCGGGAATCGCACAGCTGGGGAGCCTACTCCAGTTGTTCCCGCGGCCGGAGAGTCAATGCCTCAGGAGGCTGCAAAGGCGGCGCCAGTCACTGCTGTGGCCGAGGATCCCAAAGCTGAGGAGCCTACTCCGGCCATTGCCGCGGCCGGAGAGCCAAAGCCTCAGGAGGTCGCAGAGACCGCCCCCGGCGGTGTTGCAAGTGGAGAAACGAAACCCCAAGAGACGTCACTTGCTGCTGGGGCTGCCGAGGCCGCGGAGTCAGAGGAGTACATCGAGGACATCCCTGACCCTGACGAAGATGACCTGGACGATTTAGATGGTGTGTACCTAGCTGCTCGAACCTGCCTTTCAGAACAAATAATAACGTGTGACTATAGACATGCTGGAGGAGTTTTCGGCTGCGAAGATCGACCCCAAGGCCAAGAGCCCAGCAGCCGCTCCCCCTGGCCCAAGCATACCAAAGCCCGCTCCGCCGGCGGCAACAGTCGAGGATGGCTTCTCGGAGGAGGAGTTTGCCAAGCAGCTCCAAGCTGGCATGGCTGACCTGCTGGGAGAGATGGAAACCTCGGTAAGACAAGATCATTATCAGCACGACGGCCGGGAACCTCTCTAACATGTCGCAACAGCCGGAGATGAAAGCCCAGTTTGAGCAGTTTGAGAGCATATTCAAGGAGCTGGGGGCAGCCGACGTAGCCGCCGAGTCGCAGCCACCTTCCGGCGCCGGCGCCGCGCCAAGTCAAGGGGCAAAGGGCGCCGGCGGCCCTGGCTCCACGTTCCAGGACAACATCCGCCGGACCATGGAGCGGATACAGGCCTCGGGGGAGTCGGCGACGGCGGCCGCCACGGCAGACTCCCAGTCGGCCGACGACCTGCTGGCCGAGATGCTCAAGTCCATGAACAGCGGCCAGGGCGGGCTGGGCGAGGGCGGCGAGGAGGACTTCTCCAAGATGCTGCTCGGCATGATGGAGCAGCTGACCAACAAGGAGATCCTCTACGAGCCCATGAAGGAGCTCAGCGACAAGTACCCAGAGTGGCTCGAGAAGAACAAGGGGACCATCTCGGCCGAGGACCTGGCCAGGTACAAGGTGCAGCAGCGCCTAGCGGGGGAGATCGTCGCCAAGTTCGAGGAGAAGTCGTACGCGGACTCGAACGCCGCCGACCGCGAGTACATCGTCGACAGGATGCAAAAGGTAGGCTGGGCGGCGCCCCGGAGGACCCCGATGACCTCGTCGGGATGGTGTGCTGACAGCATGTTGTGGATCAGATGCAAGCCGAGGGGTCGCCGCCGTCCGACCTTGTTGGTGACATGCCGTCCGCGCAGGAAGCACTGGGAGGACCGGACGAGGAAGCGTGCAACCCACAGTGACAGATGTTTGCACGGTACACGGCAGCGACTTGAACAAGAGCGTTTGTTTGTATATAGAAGCCTCTCACTGATAATTTGCAGCTTTTTTTTTTTTCTCATGCAGCGCTCACTGCTATCTTGTTTCTACATGGCCATCTTTTCCTAGATGCTCTCCTATACCCTGACACCCAACATTGTAAGTGATACAAGTCTGCCTATCCGAGGCATGTAATGCATATATCCGAGAACCCCAGCCGAGCCGCCGTAACTCCGATGTCAAGCCAAGAACAAAAGCTGGGTATTATAAGCCAATAAGAGATGTGTGTGAAGGGTACGATGTATGGTTTTTTTTTTTTACGACATCTCGACATCGCTGGACGAAATGGGTAATTGGTTCCCCTGTTCAGAGATCAGGTCCATAAACAACGCGTCATAGTCGTCGTCGGACCAGTGGGGCGACGCCGGCCTCCCGGGGCCGCCGGAGGACTGGGGCTGGCTAACGCCTGACGAAGAGATCAGAGCCTCGAACTCGGCCTCCTCCTCTTGTAACATGGCGTCGGCCATCATGTCGTCCGGGCACTGGTCGAACTCGTCGTACAGGCCCTCGGCGTCGGCGATGTCAGACTCGGTGATCATGCCCTCCCTGTCGAGCATCTTTGCCTGGCGGCGCGCGCGGTCCATCTCGAACCACTCGGCGCTCTGGAGCTATTGTGTGTGTGTGACGTAATCGTACCGCTGGTCAGCCCACCAGCAATTTCGGAGATAAAAAGGTGTCAAAAGAAGGGCGGGGGGGACTCGGACTCGGACATACCTTGTTCTCAACTCCCCGACGCTCCCACCTCTTGTCGTCGGACCGCTGCTGCACCTTCTTGAGGAAGAGGTTCCGCCGGGCCTCCTGGAACCCCTCGCGGCCGCGGGCGACGGGGTTGGGCCGCGCGGGGCGCGACGCGTACTTGAACATGGACGACGGCTTGATGGGCGATGACTGGATCTGCCGCCTCTCGTTGGCATCGCGCGGGCTCAGCGGCTGCGGCGGTGACGAGGCCCGGATCGGGGACGACGACAAGGGCGACGGCACCGTCGTCGGGTTGTGGTGCGCCGGCAAGTAGTCCTTGAAGATGGGGAGCGGCATTATGGAGAACATGCTGGGGCCGGGTTTTCTGGGAGGGAGGGTGGGAGGATGGAGGTTTGGTGGGGTTGTTTTGAGGGTGTGGGTATGTTACACAGATGGGTTCCTCGGAGGTTTGGATATGCTTGATGGACTGATAGGAAATCTTGATCACATTACGGTTTGGTGGTGCCAGTAACGGGATGATATACTTGGGGAGGATGGCTTGGGGAGGTGGTGATTTAGAGACACGGCAATTAAAGTGTGGGGCGCGAACGCGTACCGCGCCCTCTACAGTGGTCCAAGCCTGTCGAGACGCGTCGCCACATCTGTAATTGACAAGGGGCACGTGTGTCACATGATCGCGGTGGCCCGGTGGCCAGTGCAGCTAGCTTGCACCAAGTCCAACCAAATTGACTTTGAAATCTTGATCCAATGAAGACGAGAGCCAGAGATCCGGGATTGTAAACGTTAATTCATTCGCGAGATCTGCAACAAACCCCACCCATGTGCGTGTGTACCAGAATTCCCGTCGCTGCTATCGATTTGTTCCCACCATCCGCCACGACATCTTCTGCAAACTCGATCTCGTGCAGCGAGGCGGAAAGGAGACGGACGAAATGGAACACATACTGCCCAGTAACGGAACTGACAAATCTAGTCGTGCAAAAACCAGCCAAAGAAAGGGACATTCTGCTGCGCAATCTGGAAAGGAAAGGGGGAAAAGAGGATTCAGAGGCGGCGGAACAGCGATACGGAACGCCCTCGTTCGGTGGGATCGTAGCCGCTGAGCAACCGCGCGGGCGCAGTTTCCTTGTTTCTGATGCTCCATTCTGAGTATTTGGTGTGGGAACGGGATCGAGACATCATGTGTATCGCGTCTCGGTGACCCTCCCGTCATTGCCTTTCAGCTTCATCGCGGAGCGTCTGCTCCATTCGTTCCCCGATGGCCTGGGCCTGGGCCTCTTCGTAGCCCGGCGGCGCCTCGTCCGGTGGTGGCTGCGGGGTGTGGGATGGTTCTGATGTCTGAGCCACTAAAGGCTGCTGCTGTTGTTGCTGCTGTGGTTGAGGTGCTGCTGTTGTGGTGGATGTCGACGGCCCGGCGGCCGATGCGTTGCCGCCCGCTGGCTCGTATTGCGGCAGAGGCTCATCAACAGGGATGTTCTGTCCTGTTTCTGCCCTGATGTCCCGCGCATGCTGGAGGCGCTCCTTGATGGTGTTGAAATTCTGGAGAAAGGCCGAGAAGCCACCATCGTTGAATTTCAGCTTGATCTCCAGCCGAGGGATCTCCGAAGGCACATTGCCACCTGGCACAGGCTGGACCAGCCCGATCCAGGAGTAAGCGCTAAAGAGGTCAAGGACACCGCTGGGGCTGTGTGTATCCTTGAAGTCGAGCACTGGCGCCGCAAAGGACTTGAACTGCTCCGTTGGCCTGGCGGGCAGGTAGATGACCTTTTGACAGTGGAATTGATGTTAGCTGGGCCGGCTGTCAAGTGGTTTGTTCCTTGCTTCTTTTCCTAGCTTCAGTTCGGCAATGTTATTTATTCCTCCGGGACGTTCCCCTTGTTTCTCTTTTTTGTTTCTCTCCAATGTCCGCCTCTATCACCACCCTCATTAATTCGTTATGAAACCCATGGATGACCGCAGACCATGAAAGCAACCAGCGAGATGTAAGTGAATACCATACCCTGAATGTGGTGATATAGACTGTGCCTGCGTCACTTTTGACGCAAAACGGAGGAGCGTTCTTCAGTTCGGAGGGCGTTGAGAGGGTCAAGGATATCCGGGATTGCTGTTTATATAGGATCCTCTCCTTGGACAGCGGAACGATGCCGCCATCCCGATCCAGCATTACCCAGCTGTCGGTCTCGTCAGAGGCATTGTCTTCATCGGCGAAAGAGAAAAAATCCGAGGCATAGTAAGGGGTATGCCCGACATAGTCCATAGCCAACGGCGTGCAGAACGGCAGTAGCCCAGGCCCGGCAGGGCTTGGAGAGGACGGCGTCGGTGGGTACAAGAGTGGAGCACTCTCCGGAGGTGGATAAGGATGGTTTGGCAAGAAAAAAAAAGGAGAATGGGCAAAGTCGGAGCGCCGGAACGGCGGCGGTGTTTTCCTTAAGCCCAGGGGATGGGAGGGGCCAGCTAAGCAGGGGGTGCTCTACCGGGAGGACGGGGAAAGGCATGGACTATCGAGAGGGAAGGGAAAGAAGGGGGATGAAGAAGGGCCGCCGACATACTTCAATGACATGTTTGTTGATGGAGCAAAGAAAAAAAAGTAGGCTGGCTGGCCTGGCAAGCAGCGGCGGGAAGTAGGGTCGTCAAGCTTGCGGAGCAAAAGGTACCTACCCAGCGGAGAGGGTGTCGGGCGGGTGGTGTATGGTGTAGGTAGACAGATGGAGATACCTGGGCCTCCCAGATTAGTCTTGGACGAGTGGATTAATAAGGTAGGGCAGGGCTAAGCGGGCGGGTGCTGATGGTCGGTCCCCTCTCAGTTGCGGCGATGCGGATGGAGGCAGACAGACGGACAGGCAGGCAGGAGAGGCGGGCAGCCGGGTACCTCGCTGTTGTTTCGCTCTGTTTTGGCCGTCTACACACCACCTATTCGTCCTCTCTTGTCTTCTCTCGGTGGAGGAAGCAGACGGGAAGGCCTCGCGTTACGCGGCACGCAACCACGACCGCTGTGCAGCAGGGCGACGGAGATCTGGAGGCAGGGTCGTATCGACAGCCAGCAGCGGCACACGCTCAACAGAGTTGTGGCGTGGGATGATCCCGGCAACAGTGCAGCTCGTCGAGGAGCCGGTTTGGCGGGCAGAATCAGCTAGGAGAGCGTGTCGAAGGTGGGCGGGCGGCCAGCAGGGTGGGCCGAGGGAGGGAGCGACAACAGCGAATGAGTTGAGCCAACGAGCTCCACGGAGCGGGCCATTACGGGAAAGTGCCCCGCTGTCGAGGTTTGGGGGCAGTGGTGTTTGGCCTAGAACTGCAGGCCCGCCGCCAAGCCGTCCCCACCAGCAGGCGAGGACAGCGTGATCTTGCAGCTGCAATTTGTCGCTGCCACATGCTTGGCACCGAGGTGTGTTCTGAGAACTTTTCTTTTTTTGTTTCCCTGTTGCTTCCTATTTCTGATCTTGGCCGCATTGCCACTGTGCTGTCGCCAGTCGGGACATACTGTTCTGCACCCGAGACCCGTTGTTTGTTTTGCTTTCACGTCATCGGTGGGGGATGGCGGATGGGTCAATGTTGAAGGGCGCACGCAGGAGTCAGTCGAGAGTTGGGTGTAGCATTATTACCAACAACGATCGGGTACGTGGTAGCGGATGAACGGCCGCCTGCCTGCAATCGAAACCGATACCGGTTGGGGCTACCGCTCTCTAGGAAGGTGGATGGAGACCGCATCGTGCGCAGCGCGCAGCTACTCGTTACGTTGGAACAACGCACTTCCAAGCGCCACCCGTGGTGCGGTGGAAGCAACAGGATCAATACAGTCCGAAAAAACCCCCAAAAAACCCCCCAAAAAAAAACACCAGGGGCCTGTTTGGCGCTGCCAGTCCTGTCCCAGACAATCGCTGGTGTTGAACCCACCAGGGAATACCCTGCCATACCCCGGCGGGTGGCCCCTCGTTTTGTCAGGCCTGTCCATGAACCTGCAGTTGGCCGCGAGTGACAAGACGACACCCACCAACCCCGAAGCCCATTGATCCATTGATAGGCACACCGCGGTGCGTGGCGTCGAAGGTGAGGGGGACGCCTCACACCTGATAGGTGCCTGGATTTGGACAGGTTGCTTCCTAGCCCTGGGCAGGTCGGGGTGGCACTGAGTGGTTCCCTTGGCAGCAAATCGTTTGGCCCGCCGCGGGTTATCGATATTGACAAGACGTTCCCAGCCCAGACCACGGATACCAATGCTCACCAGGTAGGTCTAGGTCACTCGGGCTCCAATTTCCGGTTCTGGCCTGGGCTAGCCCTCCCCCCGGCCTGAGATCTGCCTATTTCCAGAAAAGCGGGGGAGTACAGAGCCTCCAAGCCAGGCAAGCGCAGCCCCGAGCTTTCTTGCCATATCTAGGTAGGCGCACACCTGCACCACTGCACCTGCCACGCACTCCACGCCGGTCTGCCGGGAGCGTTTATACTGTGTCGTGAGACGCACGCACACGGTGGCTTCGGCCTTTCCCTTTGGAACATCTCCAACTGGTCTGGAAGTGACGCCTCCACTGGCAATTCGACAGCTCCCGGCGCCTCACATCTCTGAGAAGGCACGCAGGCCAGGCTAGGCCAAGGTTGGCAGGTTAGGTACCTTGGGTACCCAGGCTAAGTACTTTTGCCAACCGGTCAGCCACGACACAACCACCTTATGTACCTCGCCCCCATGCACATCTCCGGGATAACACAACCTTGTACGACCGACACAGCACCTATGCTGACCTTCGAGTCGTCTTCAGCTGCCGCTGCCGCCCAGTCGCGCGCCTCGATGACACTTGGCCCACTCCGTCTCGCCCGCCTGTGAGCCCCTGGGGCCAAGCCTCTGGCACGTCCGGCTCGCTGTGCCGCCGCACATGACGGCGCCACTTAATACTGCACTGTCATCGGTAGCATATGATACGGCCGCTACCTCGATGTGTACCTCGTCTCAGCCAGGCACTCTCCATCGCTGAAACCTACCCATCTACCTAGTCTGCAGCATGCAGCATCCTTGGTTGCCTCTGTACCTACTTAGGCTCGCATGATGATTGCATCCAGGACACTCAGGAGCGTGCCTCGCTTCACCCCTTCTCCACCGCAATTGTCCGATGAAGCCGGTGAGCGAACGAGAACACGCCGACCAGACGCCAGATGAAGTGGCTGGAACTGCATGCTACACTGCCTCGTACGCATCCGGAGGCTTATACCGACTTGCTCCAACATGGTCAAAAAGGGGTCTTCCTGACCGAATGAGGCCCCGTGACTCCCTTCTGCCGACTCGCCTCGGCCGTCGTGGCATTTTCCAGCATGATCCAGAACTTCTCCGGGTATATCCTTTTACCCTTTGGTCCATTTGGTCCTGCGCCGGGCCGTCTTGGATTTTGAACAGGGCAACGATCATCATCTGCAGCAGTTGATTTACGACGCTCCGCGTGCTCACCGCTGTTACCGCCGATGAAAGCACCCTGGGTGTGGGAGACTTCAACCGAGAGAGAAAGAGTGTGAGAGGGACAGCGAGGAGCGTGTGCCCGCCTATGCCACCAGGTTCGATTCGCTCCACGGCTGGTGGACCACCATTCTCGCATATGCGAGGGACGAAGTTCAACTGAACTCTGGACTCCGAGGCTGCTGCAAGCCTTCGCCGACACAACAACCTGCCAGATGCGGCCAAGGAAGCCATAATCCTCTTCGGCGCTGCACGTGGCGTGCGCCGCATCCTGCTGGTCACCATTGCGACTTGATAAACAAAGGTCTTTGCAGCTCGCAACCTAAGCCTTCCTTGGTGTTCGCTCCCCACAATCGCTGCCTTGTTGGGACCCGGTTGGCCACGGGTACAGTAAAAACCTTAGCCCGGATCCTCGCCGCTTCGTTTCTAGCTGCGGGCCGTGGGCATGGTTGAGGGGCTGTGATGTCGCAGTCCTCATGCGTGACCAGACACAGGCTCTCAAACAGGGATAGCACTACTGCACGTGGCTGTCTACGTAGCAGTGGGCAGATTATAAGGGAGATATCTGCCGGATGCGGTCGTCTTGTTGGTCCGCCCTCGTCGCCCATGTGGTGGACCCGCAATGGCTACCCCCAGCCGCTGATTACTATGTGAGCCCCATGGGGTTGTTTCTCTTCCTTCCCTCTACGTGCCTGCTCATGTGAAACCAAAGAAGATCCTTACTGGTATACAGCCGGCTCTAACCCACACCTGTCCGCCTTGCTTCAGCTTCAAACTAAGGAAGGAGGAGGCAGAGTGGAAAAAGAAAGAAATGAGTGAAGAATGGGGTTATTGCCTGGCTCGCCACCTCAACTGAAATCCTGGAGACGCTCGGCCACAGGCTTATCGAGCGACCTCTCGGCACATAAACCGCCCGGAGCCGGACGAGACGCCCGAGGCCAACTGTGTCACCTGCGCGCAGGGATAAACACACCGCGGGGGACAACACTCCTTCGGGGGCACAGAAACGCGCTCTATGGCGTATAATAAGGGGTTGCTGTATCTGCCACCTGCACGGCCTACTAATCCGGACGACTAGCGACTGCCCGGGGATACAGGGAATCCCAGGCCGTCACGGCTAGAAATCGCGCATGGAAAAGGCCACACTTGGTCTCCCGCCTCTCCAAGGCTGCCGACGGCCACTCGGGATATGAGGGTAGCAGGTATCTGGGCGGGCCATGAGATCCCTGCTAGTGTAGGTGACTGCGTACGTGTCCGGCAAGACTGCCGGATACCAACGGCATGAGAAAGACCTGGCTTCGTCGACGGCGCACAACAGCAACAATAAGCAATAGTAGCACACCAGGGCCGCCGCCACCTCTCAAGCCTCACGTTTCACAAAGCGGGGGAAAGTAGCGTCCACCACGCGGGATGCGCTGCTCGACACTTGGGAGGCGGGCCGCGACACATGGCCAACTGACCCTCGCGCGCTTGTTGCAGGAACCTAGGTTAGTCCCCCGTCAGCCTTTGCTTCTTGCCGCGAACGGCAGAGCAGAAGGGCCGGAATGGAGGACGGAAAACAAGCCAGTCGAGGAAAAAAAAAGAACTCGGTGGCGTGGGGGGATGCCAGGGAATACGCAGCCCTCCCCCTCGCCGGGTTTCCTTTTCCAGGATTTCCCCGCTCGGGAGTCTTCTACCACGATGAGGCCGCAGGACAGCATCAAGTGGCCCTTGGTGGCCCCGCTCCCGACTCGGGCCAAGGGGTGCTGGATGGGATGGATGGGTGGATAAGCAAGGGAGCCAGGCGGGTGGGCAGACACGGAAGACGAGCTGTCAGGTCAGACCTGCACCGGCAGCGGAGGCTTTCTCTCAGGCAGCCCCTGCGTGCTGACCGCTAAACGCGAGCTCTTGGCCGACGGCCCGAGCGTACGTATCCATCCGTCCCTTTGTATCCTTCTTCGCGGAGACATGGGAGAAGTAACGGACAAGACGAGAAACGAACGAAAAGAGATATATGGTACAACGACAAGGCAAACAAGAGCCCAAAAAACAGAATTATAGAAGCTTGCTGTCGCCAACAACATGGCATCCGTCACCCGGCAACTGGCATAGCTGCTCCCAGTAGAAGCCTCTTTCGGACCTTTCCGGCCGCCTGGGAGCCGTCAACATGCTACATCACATGTGCGCGCTCAATATTATTGACAGCTGGCTGACCTCCTTCCGTCCTCCGGCAGCGCACTCTACTTGGCCCACATACTGCTACCACCTAAGCTGCGCGATCCAGGGCTCGATAGAGCGAGGCGCTAAGAGCTCGCGCACTCGCTTCCGGCGCTCTGGCACCGTGGAACCCAGGGCTGAGCGCCCCCCATGGGCTGCCTTGCGCGCCAATCCTTTGGGACACACATGTACAGCGGCGGCGGGGGGTTCTGCCGCTGCAGTGGACACATCAAGCGATGTGCGTCTCGCGGTGCTCTCGAGAAGGCACGGGGCGGCGGTGATGATGTGGCAGATAGGAGTCGGAGGGAGAGGAAGACTTATCAGCTCTTGCAACATCACTTGACCTCTCTCCCTCCCTCTCTCTCCCTCGTCTCCTTTTCCGCTGCATGCATAGCCATTACGTTAGTAGCATAGAATCGGTGCTGTAACTCTTCTTCCCTCTTCCCTACTCCTCGTTTCCCTCCCTCCCGGCAGGCCGGGGCACAGCCGAACCGAATCGAAGGAGGTGGTGGTGGGCTGCAAGACGAGCTGGCGGGACGGGATCCTCTGACAAGTGTTTGCTTTTGCCACGCAAAGCGGCGGTGGGCAAGCGAGATCGTGTGTTAGTGTGCTGATCGACAAGACCGTCCCGTCCCCGCAAGCTCGCGCTCTTTGGAGGACCAGCGGGGTCTTGTGGCCCAGGCCTCGGAGGGAGATGCTGTCATCCATCAACAGAGCGTGGCCAAGAGATGACACGGTCCGTAGCTAGGTACATGCCCATCTGCTGCAGCAAGGCTTGCTTGCAACTTGGGCGCTCCTTTTTCTCTCGCTTCTCGAATCCCACCACCACCACCCAACCCCCCTGGCCTCTCTTAACCACCCCTGGACAACCCACCCACTTCGGCATTGGAGCCAGTCAAACGTCAAGGTTTTGGTCTGAGCCAGGGTCGCGCGAACAGGCCGGGGAAGCCAGGAACCATCCCCGGTGCCACGCCGGTCTTCTCGGCGGGGATATCATGTGAGGAAAAAAAAACGCAGGAGAGTGGCAGGGGGGGTGAAATTCAAACGAGATCGGTAGGGAAAAAAAATCTCTCAGGCGAGTAAGAGAAAGAGAAAGAAAAAGGGGTCGTTTAGGTAGTCGTTTTGTTTAGCGGATCGTCCCTTGCCAATTCCACAGTCTTAAACATGGGCTCCAGGTAGATACCTATCATCCGTCGCACGATCCGGCTCATGTCTACAATACAGCACAGACAAGGGAGGCACGGGGGTTTCCGTCGTTTCCGCCCTTCTTTTCCAGGCCCATTACGTCTTGTCTTGCTCCCCCTCATGGGCAGGAGACCGGTGAGCGCGCATCACGATAAGGGTATAGATTGGCATGGCTGGTTCGCCACCCCTCGGTCATTTCACGGGATTCCTTTTAAAGGAGGCAGGCTCAGCCAACATGCAGTCAACTCACCACTGCTCGCTCACTCGCTCACACTCCCAGGTGCCGCCCCTCGTGCCAGGGCAGTCTCACCGAGGTCCGCAAAACCAGGGGGTTCAGACCAGGGTCCGAGCGAGAAGCTCGTTGGGCGTCAACGTTGGGTCGAAATCAAGGAAGGAAGTGGAGCGAGGTGCTGACGAGAAAGTAACTGACTGGAACGAGGGCAGCAAGTAGTTGCGAAGAAGCGAGAAAAAAAAGGGAGTCCCGTACCGTGCATACTATGATTGTTTTTTTTTTCATGAAAATCATGGATTCATTAGGCATGTGATCATGAGCTACATGTCTGGCTTGTGAGAGATATTGAGATCCATACTTGGTTCCCAAGTCGGATCAGAAAAGAGAAAAAAAAAAACAATGACAAGGTGAGACAGACAAGTGAGGGCCCGAGGAAACGGAAGAAGAGAGGGAAATGAAGGAGGGAAAAAGAGAGCACAAGAAAAAAAGAGGCGCAAAACTCCTGAACAAGTAAGTGGCCAAAAACCCTGGGAACAAAAAAAACAACAAGGTGAAAAATCCAGAACAGGGAGGTGACTTCCCTCGCCCACACACACTTCTTTGCCTCCCTCAGCTCTCTATCTCCTCGCATCCTGATCGGCATTTCCCTCGAGCCAAAGTGTAGAAAGATGCAATCTGATGAGGCAATAGAAAAGATAGGACTCCTGTCGCCGTGCCTGACCGATACAGGCCATGCGATCTGCCGTATCTGTGATGAATCTTTTGTGCGCTGCGCCCGCAGAATAAGCGTACGCCACCTCAGGCTCCTCCCCCACACCCAAGTTGCCGGGTGACCCAGAGCCCCGGCAAGGCAGAAAAAGCTAGACGATGCCTGACTCCATCACCGGGGTTTGCCGCAAGTTAGGTGGCTCCCGGCAATGGAGGTGGCGTCCATATGCCCCTGTGCAGAGTCTAAACCGCGTCAGGCAGGAAGAGGCAAGAAAAATAGGGCTGGCGGTGTCGATTTTTCAGACCGCCTCTATTCAAGACAGCCAGAAATCGTGCGTCTTGCCGTCCTCCCGCGGGCGGTCCGAAGTCGCAGAAGCGACAGCGGTTATGCCCGAGGTGGGAGGAAGCAGAGGTACCCCGCCGCCAGGAGCTCCGGGAAGCCCCAGGTCCAGCTTTGGCATGTCCAGCTTGGGGGCGGGCTCCTCGAGCTTCTTTCGGGCATCAGGCGTGAGACCCCTGGACTTGGGCGGACTCCGGGGCTGCTCGGGTGGAGGGGGCCCGTAGCGGACGTCTCGGACGCCCCAGCCGTCGTCGTGGGCGGCTGCGACCCACGTACGCAGGCCGTCGTGCACGGCGCCGTAGAACTTCTCCTTGCATAGCCTGAGGCTGCCGCCCAGGCAGCGCTCCCAGCCCGATACCTTGAGCTGCTCGCGCAGCTCGTTGCGGCACATGCGCCCTGGAGTGCATGCCAGAATGGCGTTCATAAGCTCTAAGTGCGACGCCAGGTAGTTGGTCGCGTCCCATTCCACCCCGCCCACGTAGGGGGCCGCAGGCACGGGCGGCCTCTCCTGCGGGAAATGGCGCATCATGTAGGCCACCTGGGGGTCTTGTGTCGTGGAGGGAGGCGGCATATCTGATATCATGGACGGTTTCGTCGATGCTGGTGCCGATGCTGCGACTGACATGGACGACACGATGCCATCGAGCGGCTGGCCGCCCTTGGTGCTCTTGCCGGCGGGTAGCGATACCACGTTGAGCTGGTGCAGGAAGATCCAGAATACCTCCTTAGTCACGCTGACTGCTTCCTTGCACCAGATCCGGTATGGCCGCTCCTTGCGCATGTCCAGCACGAAGCTGACGGGCCTCTCTTCCTCCTTGCCTTCCTGGTCCCGCAGGTACGACAGCACAGTGGCTGCGCGAGAGACCCGCTCCTGCCACGGCGCGCTCTCGATGTAGGAAAAGAGTATCGATGTAATAATGTTGCGCGTAGTGAACTCGCTCGGTCCCTTCTTCTCCGGGTCGAATATCATGCCCAGCAACGCCGGGAACAAGGTCCCTTGGATCGTGTGCAGGTACTGCATCGCCAGCGCCGTGGTGCAGAGCGCCTTGAGGCACAAGAGGTTCTCGTGCAGCAGCGCATCCTCGTGCTCCTCCCTAAAGTTATTCTCGGTGTGTTAGTTTGAACGTCTCCGTGTGCGCCAAGCAGACATATCGCTCACCTCCACTCGACCTCCATGATGCGGCTGAGCAGGCCGACAACCTCGGCCATGCCCCCCTGACGGATGAAGTCCTCGATCCACGCAACCGTCTCGTTGCGAAGGATCAGCCGCAACTTGTGCAGCTTGCCCACCTCGACCTGCTCAGGCTTCTGCACCTTGCGCATATATGACACGAAGTCTGCCGGGGTCGGCTGTGACTTGGTCTTGGAGAAGAAGCCGCCGCCCGTCGAGCCCGACCCGCCAGACGAAGGCCTGGTGTCGCTAACGACGCTCTCGCTCGACTTGGACCGGAAGTGCCGCCCAAGCGTGCCCTCTGTCTTCTTCTTGGTCGGCGATGACGATGCCTTGTTCCCCTTGGATAGCGTGAAGCTCATGCCACGGCCGCTTTTGGTCTTGCTCGATTTGTCTTTGGTGGAGCCGGCGCCAGGCTTCTGAATGGCGTCTGTGTCCCTTTCGGAGCTCTGCCGCTGCTGTTGCTGCCCTTGTTGTTCGGCCTTGGCCTGGGTTTCGGCCCAGTCCTGGCGGACAAACTCCATCTTGATGGTAGCGTTCAGGTTGCGCATCTTGTACCTCTGGTTCTCGGGGATGTTGCGCCTGTCCAGCATGGCCTCGAGGTGGGTGTCGATGTCCTTCGGATCCATTGTCGGCTCAGGGCTCAGGGCACCTGACGCCGGGCCCCTGGCTGTCCTAGAGGCAAGCCCCGAGAAGGCGTTCATGACCTTTCCGCGCGTCGTCTTCTCCTTCTTGTTCCACGTCTGAGATTTCTGGGACCGCAATGCGGCCCCGGGTGGAGGGTCCCGGGGGCCGCCGACCACTCCGGTTTGCGCAAGCTTGGCCTGTGCCTGCTGGGCCAGATCTGTCTTGCTGGGCTTGCCATAAGGCTGGAAGGATTTTGGCCTCTGCTTCAGAGGCGGCTTGGCGTCGATGGACTCGCCCAGGCTGGTGGACGAGGTCGACACGTAGTCCCCGGCACTGTTGATGAAGACGTCTCTGGGGCCTTGAGGGCCGGACAGCTGTTCCCCAGAGCCACTAGAGCAGAACTGGGCGTATATCGGGGGAGGTTGTGCGGGCCCGTTGGCAACGGTGCCCTCCGGGGTGCGGTTCTCCTTGTCTTTGAGGAGCTTGCCGCCCTCCCCCTGCAGGCTATTGAGGTTGTGGGACGACTTGGGGCGGCTGAGGAGCGTGGTCAGGTTGTTGGACGACTTGGTCTTCTTGGGCTTCGTCGGGGAGGACTGTTTGGAGGCGAGGGACTTGAGCGAGATGTTGACAAAGCTCTTCTGGGGCGATCGGGGAGGCTGGTCCTGCTGCTGCTGCTGGTTGTGATGGAGCTCGCCCAGAGGGCGCTGGAAGCCCGGGATTCCCATCTCGACTGGGCTCGCCGGCGAGAAGGGCAGCGAGAGGGCGTCGTTGAAGGCCCGTGGTCCTTCCTGGGACTGTTGGTGCTCTGTCGCGATGGAAGAGGCCAGACCCGTGCCGCCCGAGTTGTTGCGGCGGTGGATGAAGGACTTGAGGACCGACTTGGGTCGCTCCCTGCGGTCGGTAGCATCTGCATTTATGATATTATGTGGGCCCGCCATGGTTGCCAGAGCAAGCGATTGCCGGGGAGCTGAGGCGACCCAATGACAAGGAATGCCTTGGTCTCTCTCGGGCGGGAAAAGCAACGATAAAAAAAAGAAATGGATGCGGATGGAATGCAAGGCTATGCTGGACGAGACCAACGCAGAGAAGACAGGAAGCCAAGAAAAAAAGAAGAGTGATGATATTATTCAAGCCATTGCTGCTCCGACAGGCAGTCTCGACGGTTTGAAGTGGGAGGACGGAATCGTCAACGGCGGCCAGGCCAACGCCATCTCTGGTGCCAAAAGTGGGTGACGTTACGTTGCTCAGCTGCGGTGCTTGCGGGGGAAGGCACCCCCCCTGTCTGTTGATAACCGAGCCGCAGCAATGTTGGCGCGGCAACCGTTGGGTCCCGCGTCCTGACATCACACGCGACGGCCAATTGGGGCAGCGCACAGCCAGCAGCTGCATCCACTTCTGGGCTGGTGCGACCTGTCGTCGATCGCACAAGCTTTTGGCGGGCCTGCGTGAGAGGAAGGAACAACAAGAGCGAGACCTGCAACACAATGATAAAACGAAAAAAGAAGGAAAGTCAAGGACTGACTGGCGAGAGATCACCACTCAAAAACAGGACCAGGACCGCCCACTCCAAACCCAAAATCATGATTACGACGGCTGTGTTTGGCATGCATACTCAAAGAGCCGGAAGCTGACAAAAACAATGAAACCCTTCCTCTCCCCCGACTTGGGGGTCTCGGCAGAGCTGGGCTGAGCACCCGAGATTTGCTGGCACTCCTAGTGCGGCGTCTGACCGCCCCGAACATTGCACACCGTCCCCCATCTGTGCGGCCATGATCCCTCCCCCGCCCGCCCGCCATGTCCTTTGTGCCACAGCCGCGTGCTTCGCCGAAACTCCCAGCTGGGGGACGTGGTCGACCGCGGGGCCTTTGGCGAACTCGGCGTGTCGTCGCGGCGACATTTTGTGACCTGGGAGACGGGCAGACATGAGGGCTGGTCTCTGTGCGCCACGCCCGCCTCTTGCAGGGCTTTGTGATTGGCTTTACACTTGTATTGTGACGGTGGCTGGCCCCTCGTGGGGTCCGAAGGATGTTTGGTTGGTGCGCCTTGCATCCTCTGATCTGCGACGAGTCTGCCCAACGACAAAGCCGGGCAGCTGGGAGTAAACGCAGTTTGTCGGCGTTGCGACCCTGGGGGCCACATACACAAACTTTACTGGGAGGATTCTATGTACACGAGATGCATCTCTGATGCAACATAAATAAGACATATGTATGGTTCGTCTCAACCAAGGAAATAGCAAGAGCTCGCAGGAAATCACAAGCCGTATACACAGTATACACAACCGACCAACATGAAGGAAGGTGGAGGCAAAAAGCAGGGAAACATATGATAAGATGGAAAACGATAGGAATAAGAGGGAAAAAAAACATGGTTGAAAAGGGGCATAGCACGGAACCCCCAGACCCTCCGCACCAGCTGAACGCTCTTGGCTGGTAAAGATGAGAAAAAGGAGCCAGAAAAGATGCCGGAAGAAGCGAAGAAGAGACAACCTGCTCCAAATGGAGACCAAATCGACAAAGAGCGAACAGCAGTGGTATCCAAGGAAAGCATCAATCGAACGAAAAATAAATGAGAAATCCTCCAAGCGCCATCCCGCCCAATCCAGTCCCAACCTTCATTCCCGTCCATCGCTAAGCGGCATTACTGTGAAAATACCGGTTCGTAACCCATTCTCGTCGCGGGAAAAGGAAGAAAACATAACAGAAAACATGGAGGAAGAGTTGGCAGCCGTTAGAGGAGGTCCTAGACGGCTGGTCGTTTCTTTCCCTTCAGACCACCAAGACTTGTCGGCTCAATTCGTTTTTTTATTCTTCTTTTGTCGTATTTACCAAAGAGCCTCGTCCCGGACCATGTCTGATTGCCTCGGCGTCATCCTATTGGAACTCCGCCGCTGCTGCTCTTGGCTCCCAATAGTCCCGGCGGTCCCAGCAGAGTTGAGTGGTGGACTGTTGGCTGGGGAGCCATTGGGGTCGTAGGGGGCGACATGAATTGGCTTGGGCGGCGGCTTGTACAGGTTGGGGTACTGTAGGTGGCCCGGAACCTGATGCTCGTAAGGCTTGGGCGTCCTGCCGGGGCGCTGGCAGCGCGACACGTAGTAGCTGCCCGGGTTGGAGCCCGGGGATCCCAGGGCGTACTCGCCCGAGTTGAGTCCGCCATAGGGACTGGCGTAGGCACGGCGGCGGCCGCTATGCTGCTTGTGAGGAGACGTCGCGCCCCAGCCATCGCTGCCGAAAGCGGCAGCTGGCGAGGCTGATGTTATAAGGAGGCAGGCAAACAAGACGACAGCAGAGTCGAGAACCAGGTTTATGGTGGGTGCCTGGAAGACCATCGAGTCGAAACCCGCCGATAGCTGGATGATGCGTGTTATGGCGCGGGCCAAGAGGAACGCGGCCGAGATCTGAAGACCTAGAAGAAAGAAACAACAATTTGCGTTAGTTTGTTCACTCATTCCATGTGTCCCATTATAGAGACCCGCCGATAGGATACACCTTCATATCATGTAGACTTAGACTTACAGACAAGGAACACTCGGAACCGAGGAGCCAAGTAGATGGGTGCATGGGTGTTGTCTAGCAATTCTTGGCGCCTCGAGAGTCTGAAAAGGAAGGCATAATAGACACCAAAGAATGACACGAGGCTGAGAACCTGGATTCCCATCCCAGCGAGGAGGATGTTTATGCCTTGGTTCATCTGAAAAAGCAGATCGTGTTAGAAGGCGACCAAGTTTCTCTCGTCAAGAGACGGGAACATCGAACACGGCAACGCGAGAAGTGATGAAGCTTCGACTGACCTCTGGACCAGACAGACCACCAGCAGAAAAAACACAGCCGACTACCTGGAAAGCCAGGGTAAAGACGTTAAACCCAAAGAAGATCATGCCGATCCACAGGGGCGAGGGGATGACAAAGTAGCGATCTCCATAGACGGCCAGTATGTGCGGGAGCACGACGTATATGGCAGCCGCGATAAATGTCGGGCCTGCGCTGGTGCAGATCATGTAGAGCGTGAAGTAGGAGCGGCTGGCCATGTCCTCGCGGAGCAGGATCCGACCCAGATGGCCGGCCGCTTCGAGCAGGAGGCCGCTGATGAAGAAGAGCCCGTAGAGCGGCGTGCGGTGGCGTACCCCGAGGTAGAGGTTGAACGGGACCAGGAGGGCGAAGGCCGAGAGGAGGAAGGCGTTTCCGGGTAGGTGCGGCTGCAGGTAATAGAAGCCGCCCGGCACGGGGCACGAGTCGGGCCCGCAGGGACCCATGGTGAGAGGAGAGGCCATGACGGGCGATGGGAGGGATTTTTTGTCTCCGCCGGTCTAATACAGCTGCTGTTTCTGCCTTTGTTGCTGTCTGCCTCTGCTTCTGCTACTTGCTCCAAGACAAGTGCGGGTCCCAGGGGGGAGCGCTGTCGCTTTGTCGCGTAGGTTGTGGTCGTGACAGATGGAAATCCATCCGCTGCTTTCGCATGGCGGTGGCAGCACCAGGGAAGCGTGGCACCGGTAATAGAGACGGCGAAAAGAAGCCGATTGAACGGTGGGAGCCGGACGCCCACACAAGTTATATTAGGTAGCTAGCTGCGAACGGGTGTGGGTTGGAGGATCCTAAGACTAGAGCCTTCGTGCAGATGGATGGTACTGATGGCGCTTAGGTCCGGGAGCGGATGGCGAGGGGGGGACAGGGAGGAGCCTGGGCGATGTAGGCAGTAGGGCACGAAGCCCGGCGGAAGACAAGGGCTGGGGATGCGGCGGAAACCAGGAAAGACAGAGATGTGGGTGGTGGATTCCGTTTATGCAGCCTGACTGGCTGACTACTACATAACGCACACAGCCTACCAAAGCAGGCATCTGCCAGGTGACTCGCCCGGAAGAGGAAGGGCGAGGTAGAGAGAGGGAGAGAGAGGGCGGGAGGAGGACATGCTCGAGTGGGTGGGTGGGTGAGTGGGTTGGTGTGTGCCAACCGACGTGACACTGTCCGAGATCTGCAAAATAACAGAGCGTGCTTGCATGAAATAGCCAGAAGACTTTGTCTTGTCCAACGCTCAAGCAGCCAACTCAGCCGCCCAGGAAGTAACTACCGTCCGCCGGGGCGACAGAAGTGCGGGAGGGGGAGGGACATGGCCGACACCAACGCTGCATTGCGATCCATCATGCAAGAATCAAGAATGGCAAGGCTCCAGTTCGGCAGTTGGGGCTGTTGGCAAGAGATCCCAAGGGTGTCGTGCGTTGGCAGGATCCACGGCATGTGGCCATGTTCCTCCAGGAACGGCTCGAAGAAGTGCCCGGTTGGGGGTGGACAGGCACACAGGCACACAGGCTGCTCACAGGGCAGGGCATGCCGACGACGGATGTGGCCTCTTGGTGGCGTCGCCGAGGGGCAAGGGGGGACCAGTCAGGCTGGGCGGGAGATGGGCTGACGGGAGCGTAACCCTACGGCGAAGGGCACGCTAGTGAGGTGCCCGCAGGTCTTAGTGGAAACGTTATCGTGGTGGCTGTCATTTTTCTCTTTGCCAGGCCGTAGGGTGTCAGGCTCCGTGGCGGCCGGTCGTGCGGGCAGGCGAGGTGAGAATCACGAATTGGGGGCCAAGAGACGGCAGGGGGGCTGAACAGGAAGGTTGGCCTGCGACTGGCGGGCAATTTGCCTGGGCGGCCTCCTCGTTACCGGCTGTACGGATCGGGCGCTTAGACCCCGCTTGGAGGGCAGCTGGGGCTGGCCATTGGCTCGCTAGCGTATGCTGTTGGTTGTTGGTTGTCGATCGTGCTGGGCCAGCTAGCGAATAGCAGCTCTGCCGTCAACTCTCGACCCCACCCCCAGTTGGCAACCCCTGCCATGGCCTGGGAGGCACAGATGAGTGAGTGATTGCGCGCATGGATGGATGCGGTTTCCACACACACCACACCTGGGGCCATGGCTGGTCCCGTTGGATGGCCTGGCCCGAGATTCTTTTGCTTCTGCTCCGTCCGTTTCCGCCATCATCCTCCACCCCTCTGCGGGGTCCGATGTGTTGGAGGTGGCACCATATTCCGGCTTGAGAGTGACTCTGCAGTAGCGATAGGCTCATGCCAAATGAAACAAACAGCTGCTCGTGAGCAATCTCCAGCGGCCTTTGGCCTGCCGAGCTCGACGCCTAGCCAAGTCAAGGTTGAGGCGCGGGCAGCCAAGATACGGAGCGAAGCGACATCACCACACCCTCCCGCACCGCTAGTTTCGCCAGCTAGGCAGGTGGCTCGCTATAAGCCAATACACGAGAGGTGGCACAAGGATGGGCAGGAGCTGGTCAGGCTAAGGACACCTTGTAGAACAGCAAGTGACACCACGGCAAGTTTGGGGCTTCTGCTCTGAGTGGGACGGCCATTGTCCGACCTGCCAAACCCCCGTTAGCAGTGGTCCCCGCCCGCTTACGAGGGCGCCGAGCCCTGCTCCCAAGACGGCGATGCAATATGCAAATGCAGCTTGTTGGTGTTGGCAAGCTACATCGAGAGACCAGTGCGGAGCCCGACAAGCTTTCAAGCCCGAGGTCCTTGCAGAAGCGCACACGCCGGAGCGCGCTCGAGAGACGGTGCAGACCAATCGATTTGGCGCGGTAGACGCTGGTTCTATGGCCGAACTAGACTTGATCCAGCGGTCGGGGAAACCGGAAAAGCAGAGGGAGGACCAAGAGGTGGGAGGATGGCACGCTGGCAAGAACTTGGCGCAGGACGGCACAGGTCAGGGCGCTTATGGCCCAGCACTGCTATGGTTGCTTCGCGGGCTCCATCAGTTGACGTAAGGGTCAGACGCAGCTCAGCACGCACCGCTTAAGCGCCGAGGACACGCTGCGATGCTGCTCAACAGACGCAGCATAGCGGGGGCTGCGCCAAACCACCCAACAGGGTGGGACACTGGCGTGAAAGTGCCGCAGCCGAAGGACGCTTTCTGCTCTTCCGTCGCCGCAACAGCCGCGAAAAAGCCGACCGGGAATCTTGCCCAAAGCGACGGGCAAGAGGGCGGCGGCGATGAGGCGTTGGTTCGTGGAAAGCAGGTTGGTAGAAGTCGTCACAACACAATTGAGTTGGTGAATCATGGTCTGGGCATTTTAGGCTAGGAAGCCCCTGTAACAGTGCTCGGCCTGCCCCGCCCCTCCAGTGGACATAGCACAGGGAGACAGGGTGACAGGCACACCAAAATCGGACAACTCCCGTCCTAGCGCCTTCGGGTTGTTCTTTCCTCCAGCTTCTCCAATGTCCACTGTTCACGGCCCCATGGTGCCAAGGAACCCGTCTGTGCGCTTCCCGCCAGCTGCCAAGCCCAAAAGAGAATGAGCACTGACGTCGTTGACCCAACCATGGAGCCGTTTTGGCTTGCTGGTTGGCCTGCCTTGCCTGTTCATCCGTTTTGGCTTTTCCAGTGTCGACCGGAATGGAGAGCCAATCCTGCAGGGTTGAAAGCTTCTTTTCTTTTGGGCTGACGCTACACTTCTCTGGTACCTGTCCATCGCCACAACGGTTCATGTACGGGCCTTGTGTTGTAGCTCGCGTCGGGTTAAGATGACCGCTGGGCCACCGTAGCACTTAGCCTGAAGTTGAGAAGTACCTCCTAAACCATGCCTAGCACGCTGTTTCTACGGCTCCTTACCAGGTCAGCATGGTCTAGCTCGCGTGGTGTCTTTATGCCCGCCGCCGCCGCCGCCCTCCCACCAAAGAGCACCAGCATTCGGCGGTTTGGGCAGACTGCTGGCCGTAGCAAGGCCGCAGGGGAGGATGATCCCAGACTCAAGGAAACGTTGGGGAGGGAGATTGCAGACGACTATGCTACTCTGCGGACCAACTACGGTACTAGATGCTTCCTCCCTGACGGATGGGGTGGCTTCCCGATAGAAGCACGGAGAAATACACATATGCTACAGCTCCCAACCACGTCCATCGTTCTAACAATGTCTCCCCGGTAGCAAGCCCCAAGCTGCCCGTCGTGCTGGCGCACGGCCTGCTCGGCTTCGCCACCCTGGAGCTGGCGCAGCTTTTCCCGCCCATCGAGTACTGGCACGGCATCCGGGCGGCGCTCGAGGCGCGCGGCGTGACGGTCATCACCCCCTCGGTGCCGGCCTCGGCCTCGATCCAGGTGCGGGCCGCGCGCCTGGCCGAGCAGATCGCGGCCGCCGTGCCCGCCGGGACCCCCGTCAACATCGTGGCGCACTCGATGGGCGGCCTGGACGCGCGCCTCATGGCCTCGCCCGCCTTTGAGCCGGAGCTGCTCTCGAGGAGCGCCACGGCCGGCCGCCGCCTCAACGTCGCGTCCCTCGTGACCGTGTCGACCCCGCACCACGGCAGCTCCTACGCCGACCACGTCATCGCCGCCCTGGGTCCCCGGCGCTTCGAGCGCGCCCGCGGCGTGCTCGCCTCGGCCACGGGGTGGAGCGACACGGGCGCGTTCGAGCAGCTGACCCCGCGCCACATGGACGCCGTCTTCAACCCGGCCACCCCGGACCACCCGGACACGGCCTACTTCTCGTACGGCGCCATGACGGACGGGCCGCCGCCGCTCATGTCGCCCTTTCGCGTCTGCCACCGCGTCATCGAGGAGCGCGAGGGCCCAAACGACGGGCTCGTGTCGGTCCGCAGCGCCCGGTGGGGGTCGTACCGCGGCACCATCAAGGGGGTCACGCACCTGGGGCTCATCAACTGGACCAACCGCCTGAGCTGGTCCGTGAGAAAGATGCTGGGCCAAAAGGAAACGTGAGTGCTGGTTCGGGTGTTTCTTGGACTTGCATGCTGGATCTACGGCTGACATTTTTCTCGCTCAACCAGCTTCAATGCGCTGGCCTTTTATCTTGACATAGCAGACATGCTCGCCAAAGAAGGCTACTGAGATATCCAATCTCTACTCTTTCTCACTGATTTGTTACACATTGCATGGCGTCAAGTGATGGCATAGACACGCCAGGGAGCTGGATTCCGCTCGCCTGACGACATTAATTATGGTGTTCTATAGATGAAGAATTTGCAGAAAAAAATATAGCTCAGGTTTCCAGATAAAAAGACTCCGTGGTACGGCATTTATGACGTTTTAATGCGCCGCGGATATCGGAACTTGGACCAATATCTCAGACAATGTAGCCCCTCCCCATATGCTCTTGGAATTTGTTGCGCCGAGTCGCGATGCCATAACCGCTCACATGTTTATCCCAGCTTGTATATATTGCGCCGCGCTCGTGCTTCCCGAATAAAAAAACCGAACATTTCATCATGGCAGCACAGGGACTGTCAGGCTCGCAAAAACCCTCACTCAGTGGGTAATGACCCTGACGGCCTGCAGCACGATGCCAAACAGCAGCCCCCGCGCCACCTCCTCGGCCTGCAGGCAGTCGAAGACGCGGCCCAGCGCGTCGGCGGTGGCCGACTGGCCCATGACGCCCGACAGGGCGGCGGGCACGCCGCTCTGGATGAGCAGGCGGCGCGCACTGGTCCGCAGCCGCTCCTTCTCCTCGGCCGACGGCTCCGCGGGCCAGGCGGCGAGCTCGTCGGGCGTAGGCAGGGCGTTCTCGCGCAGGCGGCGCAGCTGGGCCGCGACGCCGGCGTCGGTCCCGGCCCCGTCGAGGACCGAGCACTGGATCATGGACCGGATCGAGGCCAGGAACGGGTTGCCGGGCCGGAGGAGGTACGACTTGGCCGCGCCCAGGAGCGTGCGGCGGAAGTTCCAGGCCGACGAGAGCGTGTAGAGCTCCGTGATGATGGCGAAGACGAGCTCGACCGCTACGCCAGTCTCCTGCTCCGACAGGGGCGCGAACTGCTGCGGCTTCCTGGCGCTCGGCTTCCGGGAGAGGCCGCTGCCGCCGCCGCTGGGCGGGGACGGGTTCATGGGCGAGGGGGACGCGCCGCCGTCGATTGGTTGCAGCGGCTTGACGCCTGCGGCGCACTCGTAGTCGTCCGGCATGTCGTTGGGCGGCGGGGGCAGCTTCATCCCGCTGAGGCTCGTGGACGAGGGAGAGCGGATTGGGTCGCGCGAGGGTGCCAGGCTCGGGGCCCTGCTGTGCTCACGGCTGCTCAGGGGTCCGCCATCAGCATCAAAGCTGGGTCGTCTCTCCATGGGCGCCACCTTGCTGGGCTGGGTCGAAATGACCGAGGATCTCTGACTGTCCATGCTATCCCGCTTTCTCAATGGGAGGCTACCGGGAGAGAGGCTGGTCTCTAGCTTGGGCGACGATAGCGACAGCGACAGCGACAGCCGGTTCGAGCTCGTGCCGCTGGGCGTGACCGTGGCGGCAGTGTCCTGCAGCGAAGTGCTCGTGTTCTTCCTGGAGCCTAGGCCAATATTGCCCAAGACGCCCGTCACGCCGCCCACGACCACCTTGCCGCCCTCGGCAACTCCTTTGGGTGCGCTCGTGAGCACGCCCAGGACGTTTTTGCTCATGCTTTCAAACGCCTCAAACCCGGTCTTGGACGGACCGCGGACATGCGTCGTGTTCTTCTCGAGGAACCTCTTCATGCCTTCGCTCTCGGCGAGCGGCTTGTACCAGCAGGCATCCCGGCAGTAGCGCTCGAGCTCCCCCCTAAGTGAGCTCTTTGTGTGCTGCTTCCAGCTCGGCAGAGTGTTGTGCTGCTCGGTAAATGCTGTGGCGCTAGATATCTTTGCAATGCGGGCTAGGACCTCGTGTAAGCTCTCAAAGTCGGAATATTTCCTCACAATCATCCAACCCGGGTAGTGCGAGGTTGCGGGCTCGACCTGGATCAGAAAGTCGCTCGAGGGCTTGGTCTTGATCCAGTTCTTGCTGTCTGGCATCCCGTCGTCATGGATGCTGATTACGGCGTTGTGGAGCGTCAGTGGCGGCGGCCCCTTGTTGAGCTGCTCCGAGTCGCTGAGTTCTACATCGTCTTGTGCCGGGGGTACGAGCTGGTCGAAGCTGGTAAACTGGCCTCCCGAATCGGGCCGCCTTGGAGAGGAAGGTTGACTGCTGGGTGTGTCCATCGCGGACGAGCCAGGGGTGAGCGGTGTGTGAACCGAGCCGCGCTTGCTGGAAGCGTCCTCTCGAAACGCGTCCTTAGGTGAGGCCGGTCCTTGCGAGGTCGCCGATGGAGGTTCCGGACTTTGGGGATTGGCCAGTCCTTGGGCCGTGTCAGGTTGCATGTCCAAAGTGTCGACATTCCGCTTCAAGGCGTCAGCGAGCCTCGACGATGCCTCGGTCGCGCTGGCCGACTCAGCCTGCGGCCGAGGTGGTGGTTGCACCGCAGCCATAGACTCTCTCTTCCTACGAGAGTCCTCGTCTGCTATCATCTGGTTGAGTTTCCTCATCTCCTCAAGGGCCTCCATCTCCTCGTCGGCTTTGCTAAGTTTCTTTTTGTGTGCCATGCTCTCCTTCCGGCGGGCCTTCTCCATATCTAGTGAGTTCCGATTGCCCTTTGTCAAGCCGATATTGCCCACGTTACCGTCCAGGTCAGCGAAGGTGCTCGGGTCTGACCCCGTCTGCATGCCAACGTCGATTGCCTGGTTGAAGTCGGGCTCTCCTGCCTCTAGAAGATGCACTATCCAGCCATTGATCCACTCGGCCTTGGAGCACGAGGTCAGGGTCGACTCGAGAGCAACACCAGCCAGAATCTCGCGAAGGAACGTCCTGGCGGGATCGCAGTCGTAGGTTGGCCGGTCCAGGAACCCCAGAAGATCTTCGGCTACCATGCGAAGCTTGGCAGCCTGTTGCTTCTTGTTCAGCAGATTGGCGAGATTTGAGTCGGGATTAGCGGCGAGGTAGTTGTAGATGGAGTCGGCGGCGGTCCGGGAGCCGTCAGCAGGCATATCAGCGAGCGCGGTGGCCAGTTCGGAGAAGAATACGATTACGATGGAGGACGAGTTGGTCAGGAAGTCGAGGAAAGTGTCGGCGGGTCGCTTCTTGCTGAGGCGGTTGGACACGGATAGGAGGAATGAGGTGAGGACCTTGCGGCACGACAGGGCGAAGGCCTTGTCGGAGGGCACGAGGGGCGCATACCACCAGTTCACGTAGTCCCGGATGACGGCATCCACGAGCCCGTTCAGAGCATCGCGCGTCTCGGGCTGGAAATCCTCGAAGCCGCGGAAGGGGGCAGCATCCTCGCCATCTTTGCCGTCCGCCTCTGCAGCAACACTCAGGGCACCCTTGTAGTCTAGGATACGTGTAAGCGCATCGACACCCTTCTCGCCCCTAACGTTCCTGGCAACCTCTGGGCTCCGGGCCTCCCACGATATGACGCCAGCGGCGCCGGCGAAAGCCCCGATCAGCAGAATGCCAAGACTGCCGAGGACAAAGTATGTGGTAGCCGCAAGCCCGACTGCGATGGTGCCAAGTGTTTCTGGTGTGGCAGTGGATAGGAACTGTATTGTTTTGTTGGTGATGCTGTCGCTGCTGCTGCCGTCGTCGTGCCTGGGGTCGCTGCCGGTCTTGTGTTGGGGCTTCTCCGCCGTCTCGACCGCCTCGAGCGGGGATGTCGGCGTCACCGGCGGCGCCAGAGTCGGGATTTCGGGAACCGTCACATCGGGTGCCTTGTCGATCGCCTCTATCGCGGTCGCCGTACTGCTGTCTGGTTTCATATTCTAATCTTGACTGGTCGAAATTCGTTTTGCGCACTCAGTGCGCATCTTGGGGCAGGCTCACGAGAAGCCAGTAGCGATAGTCGGTCGGTCTGGACGTTACGAGGGTGTGCTGGCAGCGTCCGTGCCAGTCGAGGAACGAGGCCGATGTCGTCGAGGGATGGCTGCAGCGTCAAGGAGTGCTTTTTGGGGTCGAAGACAGATCAGGCCCAGACCGCACCCCAGATTTCGCGAGAAGCCAAGTCGATGGCATGGGTTTCAAGGGGTTCCATTCCTGGGCCGCTGTTTGGCAGCCAATCCCAGATTCCCAGATTCCCAGCCAATCTCACATCATCAAATCCGCATCCCTGCAGCACATCCGACTCGCTGTTCGCCTCGCCTGGCCCAAGCGCCTCATCTGCAACCCACCATGCCCACCTACCACCTACCCACTCCGCCGTTTCACCTCAGCTGCTCTAGGAAACTCCGGCCAGAGCCGATTGAGTTTCTACTGCCGTTGCATGGAACCTTGGGCCGATCCGTCCGCGCGCCGTTTCCCAGCGATTTCCCCATGGATTTTCCATCGCTTCAAGCCATCCCCTGTTTGCAGCCGCCTCTAATCGTGCTGTGTGAGCCGGCTATCTGCAGCTTGCGGTCCTCATTTTAGCGGAATTGGCTGCCCTGGCTAGAGTGGGGGACACCATGTCTCGTCCAATTTCCTAGACTGTGGTGTGTGTTGAGAGGCTGGTTTTCATCCGAGTCGGCTTCGCAAAGAGCCGAACCAGCTCAGCGCCGCATCTCAGAACCGGACGAGGGTGACGCGACTCCCCGCTCGTGGTGAATTTCGGGCTCTTGCCTGCCGAGTGCCTGTGCCAATGAACACAAATGGGAAGAGTATGAGTCTTGGGGTGCCTCTGTTTGGTTCGCAAGCCGGCTGTGCTGGCGTACGTACGACGGCGACGATATTTCTCCAACCTGCCTCTGCAAGCCTGGACCCAACAGCCTAGAAGGTGTCTAGCTACCTACTCAGGCGCCTTGCGCAACGCCTACTCCAGGCACCACTGCTGTGCCATGAGGTTATTGCACAGCCTTGTCCGGCAGTGTGCCTGGCCTGGTTTGCCCTTCGTCCAATGGGCTGCCGCCACCATCGTCTCTCTACATGGCCAACTAACAAGTGCTGCCAGTTAGTCCTTCTCACGTTGGCTCTATGACCCAAACCCGCATCTCCGGATCATCCGCCTCGGGTTCCACAACGTGCTGTCACAGCCGCAGACGCCACGGAGCGTGGGAGGTGGTTCCCGTCACGGCATACAACAGGGCATCGGCTGCCTGCGCAAAGTCCCCAAAAGATGCTTTGACAAACGCCTTGGAGGCACAGAACGTGGGCACATCAGGGCGATGCAGGGCAGCAACACGGCACATGCATGACGGCGAAACCCCACCCACGAGCACTTCGCCCCAAGCTACTGCGCATGTGGACCTGCTGCCGTCCGATTTGCTTCTTGGACGTCCTTCTCAACACTTTGACGTTCTTTGCTCTCTGCCCCCTCTCTGTGTCACGGACCGCATTTTGATGCACACTGCATCAAGCCTACCCAGTCGCCTTTGTAGGGTGACTGCGTTCTTGGCTGGGTTGAAAGAGGTTCTACAAGGCAAGGAAGTCGTGTACTGCTTGACACACAAAGGGCCGCCACACACACCTGTGCAAGAACCCGCCTTTCGTGGAACACTCCAGAGCTGTAGCTTGTTGGTTCTGTTCACAGATACCGAGGAACTATTTCCACCTGTCAATAGGATGCTGTTGGTGACGTCTTTATCTGCACTGCCAATGTACCTAGGTATGTAGGTAGCTGAGGATGCAGTAGACCTCCCCGGACATGTCATCAGACGAACAGATCAAACCGGAATCAGTGCGACAACAACAAGAAAAAGGCAGGCCACGAGGGAGGTAGCTGGTTGCGGCTTGCTCTTTTGTTGTCTTCCAGAACCGCCACCACGGCTTTATCCCCCAAAATAGAAATGCCGGGTTTTTGGTTTCTTTGTATGGTTGGCGGTCCATTTATTGATATAAAGCACATACTCTCTACTGACCCTTCTTCCCGTGTATTGCTGGTTTTATTTCAACGTGCCTATCATTGCTGCGAAACTCGCTGCGTCTACCCGTTTTATGAATATACCCGAATATACCCTTTCGTGGATGTCTATGCGCTTGCCTAAAGACGAGGCGGAGGAGGAGCAAATGCTCTCGGGGCCGCCCCAAGGGCCCTTGGATTCCTCGTCTGGCGCAGTGAGGGAGTCGATTTATCAGTACATGTCCGAATCTACGGCACGGTCTCTCGACCTCGCCGTCTTGTCGGAGAGATACTCAACCCACCAGTACATATCCGGACATGTCGGCCCCGACACCTTCGACATAGTACGGGACGTTAGCCGAGCAGGAACACAGTCAGTTTTATTGCCAGACGCCTCATCCCCTGCTTTAGCCTCGAGGGACGAATACACTGACCTTGACTCCAGCACCTATGATCTGGTATATATTAGAACACCAGCTCCGAGTAGGTGGCTCGCGCGCAAGAAGGTCTCAAGTGGCCATTCCACCCAAGCAGAGCAGCAAGACCTGTTTGTGGAGATCGCGAGCCTTCGGTCACTGCGCCACCAACACATCCTTAGGATAGCGGGGAGCTATACGGACCTGGAAAGCGTTGCGTATCTGATGGAGCCCGTCTCGGAACTCAGCCTCGAGACCTACCTGAACATCAACAGCAGCCTAGACCCGGGCAACCGTCGCTTCGTCCAGCAGTTCTTTGGCTGTCTTGCAGGGCTAGTTAGTTACATGCACCGGCCCGGCATCGGCATCCGGAACCTGTCGACGCGGAACATCTTCGTTTCGTCGCAAGGCAGGCTTTTCATCAGCGGCTTCGGGGCCGCGGTCCAGCATCCCCCCGAGGCCGAGTACGCCGCGCCCGAGTCGGGAGATCAGGGCCAAGACCACCTGGCCAGCGACATGTGGGACCTGGGCGTCGTGTTCCTGAAGGCGACTGTGTGGCTGCTTGGAGCCCCTCCGAGCGTCTTTCCGCAATGGCTAGACTCCGAATCTACCGAGACCGGCCGCAGGCCTCCGCTATGGAAGCACAAGGACGACTTATTGGGATGGGTCGCGGCTCGAGCCAGTCCCAAAAGTTCCCATACCAGGTGCTACCAGAAGCTGGTACCTCTGATTTCAGGCCTTCTACACAGCTCGTTACATGAGCGACCAGCCGCACACGAAGTAGTCGGGGAGGTGCTCAGCTGGGAGGACTGGTCCGAGTTCTGTTGCACAGAGTGTTATGGGGAGCCCCAGACGTCCGATCAGGGAAGCACTGAATTGTGGGCAGATCCGGTACCCCTGAGGACCTTGGCGTGGAGACATGCTCCGAGAGGCATGGAGGCCAGCGCATCTACTCCTCAGGTGGCCGACCCCCCTTGGACTCGGCAGACTGGAGGGATACCTGGTTCTGACGGCAACAGCGATCTACTCCCCCAACCGCCAACAAGGCTGAGCTATACCGCGCCATTTGCTGAAGCCTGGACTGGTTTCGTGCCAGGATATGAGGGCAATATAGCGACGGCTTTCCCTCCACATGCCCGATATACCAGCCAGGCGCCCCTCGAGGCAAGCCGCAGCACACTAGAGAATGACGCCGGCTATGACTGCCCCTCACCTGTCTTCAGCTCTACTGAGGAATACAGCAGTGACTCATTTACTGACGCGAGCTCAGAGAGGATATCATTTTGTTATGGGGCTGCGAGTGCCCTCGAGTCCACCCCGGCAACCTCCTTCTCAACATTAGCAGAGTCACTGAATGGCCCAGCGTACCACGTTCCAGGGTATCCGCAAGAGAAGGCTACATTTTATGACAATGTTGGCCTGGACGGCAACCAGTGGCAACCTCCACCGTCTCAGCAGCCGCAGCCGCCACCCCCGGCTTCCTGGGACAGCTTGCCGGCCACCTTCTCAGTTACCAACACGAGAACAACACGGTCACCCCCATCAAGCAAGTCACACAAATCCAAGTCCAGCAACACCAACTCGAAGCAGACGGACTTGCTGCCGCTCATGGCGTGCGCGCCAGACGCCACAATCACCAAGGGCCTCATCGACTGCTGCGCCAACGCCCACAGCACGCTGCTCGCGCAGTTCCTAGACGTGGCCATCAACAGGGGGCTCACCAGGAGCTGCCGCAAGGCCCTGGTCCGCGCCGTGGCGGGCGCCAGCAGCCGACACAACCGGTGCGCGCGCGTCGTACTCGACCGCCTCGACGACGACGCCGACGCCGACGCCGCCGCGGCCATGATCAACCAGATCGACGGCGCCCGGGGGAAGACGGCCCTGGGCCTCGCCGTCGAGCACCCGGACTTTGAAGGCTACGGCAGGCTCGCGCGCCTCCTGCTGGACCGGGGCGCGGACCCCAACGTCCCGGACCGGCGGGGCGTCTACCCCGTCGCGGGGCTGCTGCTGTCCGCCCTCGGGGCGCAGGAGGCCCAGGCTGGCGGCGGTGGCGGTGGTGGTGGCGGCAGGGAGGGGCCGGACGGGGCGCGGGGACGGGGACAGCCCCAGACGCATCATCCCATGTACCGCCAACGCCGCCCCCTGATGAGCCCGAGCCGCCTGCAAGTGCTAAAGCTCATCCTGGAGTCCCCGCGCGGCGTCTGCTGCCTGGACGTCTGCGTGCCCGGCGGCGCGGGGGACCGGCCGCTGCACCTCGCGGCGCGCGGGCTCTTCGCAGGCGCGGTGGCGCTGCTGTTGCGGCACGGCGCGCGCGTCGACGAGCCGAACGCGGAGGGGCTGACGCCTCTGCGGGTGGCGGTAAAGTCGGGGCGGCTCTGGGGGACAGCTGGGGGCACCGCCGCGGCGCGGGAAGTGGTTGGGCTTTTGGTGGGCGCCGGCGCGGCTGTCCCACCCGAGCTTCGAGGAGATCCTTCTGTGGATGGTATATGAACTATAGCGGAGCAGCCACGAGAGCCTAAGTCGATCTTGGAGAGCAGCCGAGATGTAGGATGTGCCATGGGGAGTGTAAGGTTGTGTTGGATGGTGAGTGCATTGTCGAGAAGAAAAGCTCAACGTGCGGCAGTAATAGAAGATCCAAGCGAAACACCAAGCAGCATGGGTGAGTGTCGCCTGACGAGAATCTGAATCTGATATCAATACCAAACGAAGGGCGAGGTGGGCCGCCTGACCCCAAGCCATCTGATATAAACGCCCCTCCGACTGCTGCAGTCATCGAACCCGGACACTTAATAGGTACTGGCCTTTGGTGTAATGGTTAACCGTAGCCGTTGAACCCTAATTTAACAGATTTGGGAGCACGGGTTCGATCCCCCGTATGGGGTGCGGAAAACAAAAATCGGAGAAAACCATATTACCGGGGGTTTCGTAGCTGCCACACCCTGCGGGCGGTTTAATATAGGCTGGGCAGTGACATTTTTTGCCTTTTAGGGTGGTGTTGTTCTTTTTGTTTTCATGCAGCACCTCCGCCACCGGGAATTGAAGTCATCGTGACAGCCTGCCTCAGCAACGTACCTCGAGGCACCTCCTCATGTCACCACGATTGTCAGTTAACTCACGCGTCGGATAGTAGCCACCATTTTCTTGCCTTTTACGCGACGCTAATTATAAAAACGCGCGATGGTTTCGATGTCGATGTCCACTACACCAGGCCAGACCGCGGCGAGCTTAGCCCGTCGGCCCATGACCCAAGTCAATTTCTTATCTGAGCTGTTGCTGTCGGACTGTGGACCTAGAAGAAAATGCCGGCTGGGAATAGCTTCATAATCCAAGGCACTTGCCGGGAAGAGTCCGGTACTCCTGCTTGCCATGGAGGTGCCTGGCAGACGGAGATATGCTCTCTGATACTCAAGGATTCTAATGGCCTTCCACGGACCCCTGAGAATGCTGACATGCTTGTCCTCCATGACAACCTGGGTCGCCTTCCGGTGTTATCCCAAGTAGGATCCATCGACGGGGCTGATGCCTTTGCTCCTCTTGCCTTGGGAAGAATATTGAGGATCCCGTGATCTTCCTCCTCCATGCCCCGGTGCACGCGCGCGGCCAGCGTCAAACCAAAAGCAGTGCTATATATCGCCGCCCAAAAATTGACGTAATTGCTAGCATCTTCGACCGGCGGAGTGGCATGTTCGTGTGTCAACGCTTCGTAACCATCTCCATTCTAGTCTTGCCATGCTTGGCCGTGTATGAGAGGATTCAACAAAATATGTTAAACCTTTCAGAGACGCGCTTTCCCTTTATCTTCTCAGACTACTGATACCTTTTCATTCATAGCGGCGAAAGAACCATCCCAGCTGTGCAATCTACTCTGCTATACACGATCTAGTCGACAAGATCTCTAGGAGCTTGGGGCCCAGCTGCGGCTTGATACCCACGACAAAGATTGAAATTGGCATTAGATCTCTAGGATCTATGTTGAAACGCGTTTAAAAATAAATAAAGCTAAGAGACATGGCAAGCGCCGCGTCGAAGAGCCTCCGACATATGCATCCGTAAAAACACCGTCGCTCCATGCCGATGCAGCAGAATTCAGAGGTGATGGAGAAAGATGGGCAAGATGTTACGCATCCTTGAATATGCCGAGGCACCGGCTTCAAAGCCGCCCGTCGTCGACTTCTGAGAAAAGGAAATACAGATGCGTATATGGTAGGTATATGAATAAAGGGTTACGCAGCCAAGACACGATATCCTGGGTGAGCTGCGGAACCGCCAAGGAAAAAGAAAATCGATCGATCTATGGCCTCACCGCATCCCAATCGGCCGGCGACGATAAAAGAGAATGTAGGCCGAAGTAGCCGAGTCTTTAGAATACATGCCAGCCGCCTCGGCAGCCGCATCGCTGTCGATGGTCCTGGGCGTGATGCTGGTGTCGTTGCAGTAGTACCACGAGCTGTCGCCCGCCTCGGAGCCACGATCCCTCACGAATGCCGTGTAGTGACCGCTCTGCAGGTCTCCACCGTGGATGATGGCGGCGTAGCAGTAGTACTTGAACGAGCCCTCCCACTCGTGGCCCTGGCCCCGCTCCGGCGGTGTTGGGTCCGCAACGGGTGTCAGGTCGAGGTCGTCGATCGGATATGTGACCTTGCTGTTGACCTTGGTGACATGGCCCTCGGCCATGGGGTTGAAGCGCCCAAGCGAGATGCACAGCAGCTCGGGCATGCGGGCGAGGCGGATCGTCGACGTGGTCGTGTTGAGCAGCTTGCACTTCTCGCATCGGTAGTCCTCGCGAATCTCCTTGTATGGATACGACGTGTGCAGCAGGTCCATGAGCCCGAGGGCCTTCTTGTTGGGCGGGACCGTGACTCGGATCTTGTCCCAAGGCTCGTGGTTGTACGTCGTGTTTCCGCAGTTTTTGCACTGGAGCACGTTCTGGGTCAAACCGCGCCAGTACTTGTCAATAATGGAGTCGTTTGCGCTGCGGTATCCCTTCCAGAAGGCCAGTGCGTGCTCGTAGCGATCGCCTTGGCACGTCACCTTGCTCATGTCGATGGTTATGTCGCGCAGCCGGTTGGTCTCGTCGTGGATGTTCTCCATCACGAAGATGACAAACTCTTCTGCGTCTTGTTGCTTGCTCCTGCTCCCAAGCGCGTTGGCCACGCCTTTCGCCCTGCCAAAGAAATTCTTCTGCTTCGAATCCACATAGCAGCAGTAATCCTATTTTGGGAGACAGTCAGTTAAGATCCTGGTGCGACCAGCCGACGTGCCGGCAATTGTTATACAACGAAATTGAGCGTGAGCATACCATGAGTGTTTTGCATTGCATGGACTCGAACTTGCCATCACTCATCCAGTGGAACTGGTTTGAAATGATCTTGGTGAGAAGCTGCGGGTTGTTCAAGTTCTCGTCTTTCCGTTTGGGCACCACCCACTTGCTCTGCCATTCGCTCCCCACCAGGTCTGCCGCAAAGCCGTACGAGTGGAAGAGCGCTTGGATGGAGGCATTGCCGTAACACCAAACCCCAGGGTTGGAGAGGCCAACAGGCCGCGGTCGATCCTTCTTCTCCTTAGTCTTGGTTGCCGCTGTTGGGCTGTAGTGCTCCTCCTGGCCTGTCTCCCTCAGGCCGCTGTAGCTCTGGCGTGGAACTGCTGGGGCCGGTCGGGTCGGCGGGGACGGCAAGGAGCTGTAGATCTCGGCCGATGCTGGATATCGAAGCTCTGGCTTGGCGATAGGAGAAGTCATCGATTCCTTCATGTGGCTCACGGAAGGGAATCGCCTCAAAAAGTCTTCCTGCGTGCGGACGAGATTGTTTTCCACGTTCGACAGAGTTTCCTCCCAGCGCTGAGCCTCTTCTGCATCCTGGATAGGCCTGGGCGGCTGTCTTTTGTTCGCTGGTGAAGGCAGCGGAGCCGATGCTTTCCTTGTCCCTGGGGCGGTGCCGCTTGTGGAAGTGGACGACGTTTTTAGCGCGCCTCTTCCCATGAGCCCTGCCCACGCATCTATGCCGCCTTTCAGGAGCTTGGCCGGCTTCGTGGCCTCGGATTCGTAGTCGAAATGTTTCAAAGCGTTGTAGAGGCCCAGCAAAGCCCTTTCTGTAGCAGTGACGCCTCTCCAGTTGATTTCCTCCGAGTCTTCGTCGTAGAATACTATCAGATCGCACTCGCTGCGCTTGCGGAATAGCTGCTGCTCGCCCTGCGGCGCGAGGATCATACTGTCTGCTACCTCCTCCGCTGAGATGTTCTCTCGCTGTAGGATTTCGGGCTCAATACATATGGTCCACTGCGACATGATATGGCCGTCGTCGAAATCCTCTCGGCTCCTGATATCGATGATGAGGGTCTTGAAACCGCTGGACGAGGCTTTCATGTAGTTCAGAAGATTTTCAGGGGTCACCGTATCACCGTCTGGGATGACGACTTTGGGGCGTGCAGGAGCGGCCGTCCGTCCGGCGGGCTGTGCGGGCACGAAATAGTCATCTTTCAGCTG